ACTCCTAGCTTATATATATATATATATATATATATATATATATATATATATATATATATATATATATATATAATATATATAGAAATTCGGGGAACTCAAAAACATACACGAAAATGGTTCTCAACTATTTCGCTTTAGGAATGTAGCAGATCTACTATAAACTTTAACTTTAACGTTAATCTCCATTTATAGCACGCCAGATACATTATTTAGTAGTATTCCAGAATCCTTTAAATAAATATATTGTGGAATTGTATAAGGTAGTATTTAGTTCGATAAAAGTTCACCTTTTGATTCTGACATGAGCTTTTACTTCTATTAGCATTACGAAGGCTTTGTTTGATTGTTTTAATAAGCATAGCTCACTTTTCGTAGCTTTTTCTTATCTTAATAACAAAACAAAAAAAGCCTATGATCTGGAATACAAAATAAAGAACACATTGATTAGTTACTACTATTCATTATGACAGCTAAGTACTTATTCTATACTTGCGACTCACCCTCGCTTTTAACTTTTTTAAATAAAACTTTCTTTTCTTCTTCTTTCTTCTCTTTCTCTTTCTCTTCTTCTTCTTTTTGATTTTTTTGTTCCATCTAACACCTCAGTCTCTCCCGTCACCATGATTGCTGTAAAGCATTCGAAACGTCGGGAACCAAAAATCAAAGGTGTTAGTTAGATGGAACAAAACAAATCAAAATAAATCCGCAAAAATATTCCGAAAAGATAGTTTTATTTAAAATGTCAAATATTCGCGTAAATCTAAGAAAGTATTATGACATAACTTTTTTATTTATGAACCGATTGAAATAAACACAGATACTAGATGTTAAGTGATACCTACTACAATACATTAGTAATAACCGCACCCAAATCCATTAAGCCGTTTCTGAGATCAGTGCGCACAAACGCACAGATAAACAGACAAAAATATCTTCCATGTAAAGACAGCGATCAGATACACTTTTTTATATGTATTATGTATATTCTTTTATATTAATTAATAAAAAAGACTATAGTAATAAAAGCTGTTTATATTTAAAAAAAAAGAAACCTAGCAATGACTGAAAAAGCTAACAAAACTTTGGATAATATTTCATATCAGTGATGTTCAACTTCACGAGGACGTTTCGCCGCATATGAGTTATGGCTTCACTAGAAATCTAAGCAACTTGCCTAGAGCGTTTATAATGAAAGGTAATGCTAAAACTGAGTAGGTTCTAACCTTTTCCTGCCACTTTGCTAGCGTGGTAGGTGCATCGATAAAAAACAAACTGCGTGTTATTCTAAGATGCCTCCTTTCTAAATTTCACTTAAAGTTGTTGAATTTACATCATAAAGGAGTGACGACTTAATAGAACATTCAAAAACTTTCATACTATTTTCATTATTCACTGTTTTTAATCTAATTATGCGAAATGATTTTTACTATTAATTTAAATTATACCTACTTAGGAAAAAAATACTGTTACAGTTTTACAACTAAAGCATGGTGACGAATAAGAAAATATGGTTATAATAATAATTTTAAAATTTTAAAGCGTCACAGATGCGCATATTCGGTTTTTTAACTAGTCGTCACCTTATAACTTAACTCAAAAACAAATGTTAATATTACCTATATAGAATCATCTAAAGCTATTAATAATTTAATTGCAATGTAAAAAAATAAATATTTTATACATAATTTGTATATTTGTATGTTATATTAATATTCAAATTATTAGCAAAGTATTTTGAATAATTTAAAAGTAAAACACTGTAAGGCAGTGGCATCTCAGTGCTAACGCGCTCGCTTGAGAAACCGAGTGAAGCGGGTTCAAATCCCGGGTCTCGCACCTCTGATATTTACATATGCGAATCATTTCTAACATGATTACCACTTGCCTTACGGTGAAGGAAAACATCGTGAGGAAACCTGCATATCTTAGAGAACCTAGGAAGTTTTCGAAAGACAAGTGAAGTCTGCCAACCCGCAACCCCCTGGAAGGGAAGCCCGAGCCCAGCAGTGGGACGTTAAAAAGGGCTGAATACATACATACAGGCATACATACAAAACACTGTTACATCTAATACTAGCGGCTCACCCTCGGTCGCTCGGGTTCACCTCTAGAACAACAAATTCAAATCTATACCACGGGAACCGCACATTTTTTAGGGATAGAAAGTAACCCATGTGTTATTAGAGTAACAAACATCCAGACATCCATCTCATCCTCACAAACTTTCGCATTTATAGTATTAGTAGGATTTAAAAAACATGTTTATTTATGTCTCAAAAGTTTCTTGTTCTAGTATCATAACAAAAAAAACAATCAAGTGCTATCTTGCGTGACTCTATGTTAAAGCTATGAAAACATTTTATACGACCAATACTTTTAATTGGATTCATCCCCCCGAGGTAGAATAACAAGTTTTACGTTTTAGAGCCATTAACAGAAAATGTAATGAAATCTATACTAATATACGAAGGATAAAGGATTTGTTGTTTTATTTATCATTATTATATTAATTTTTCATTTTTATTATGTAGTAAACACAAGCCGAGCAAACAAACGCGGACAGAACTGCGGGCAAATACGATTAAGTAATAAAATAAGAACATCTACAAAAATATTTTTATGTAACTTCTTGGCTGTAAACAGGAAAAAGAAGTGACGATAAAGTAAAATTTCAATTAAGATATAAAGTAAATTTTGGTCAATAGGTTCGAATATACAATAGCTGTTTGGGAAACCACAGTAAAATCAATACTTAGTTATGTTTATGTTACTCCATAAAGAGAATTGAAACGTCGGCAGTTTATTGATACCGCCTATTCCTCATTGCAAAGTTTAATAACAATAGGGAGAGAATCCTTAAAATATCCCAGTAATAATAGTATTTATTGCTTTGCCATGTACATTGTACAATAATCTATTTAAATAATTAAAATCTACGTGTAAGCGCATTACTTGAGTTCTCAAGACTAGATCCGATAAGAACGGCTAGATTGATGTGGTATGGTTTTTAAGTGTTCACATTCGGGCCATTACATTACATTTTTTACATTAAAAAAATGGAAAATTTACCAAGAACTTTAGGAAATTCGGCACAAACTGTAAATGCTTTATTGTATACTATTTTTATATGAAGAAAATATCTATCAATTTAGTTAGTAATTAAAAAATAAATAAAATCGTTGAAATAAAAAAAGCAATATAAACGCGAGATTATGACCTATAACTAAACTGTCTAAACTCTATAATCCGCCATGCACTATGTTCTACTTGTAAAGCTATGCTCATATTGAGGGAGTTGTGGAAAAATATGTAATCCGCCATTATGTGGCGGCGGCCATCTTGGATTTACAATAATATTGAATATATTTAATTGCATTGTCATCAGAACTAAGGGTGTGTACCAAATATCAGATCAATATGTCAACAGGAAAGGGGTAAAATTTCAATAACTAAATTTGACCCGAACAAACAGGGCAAACTAAATAAAATCGTTTAAAAAAGCTTGGACAGTATATCTGTGGTGTTCGTATACTCACTTAAAAATAACGAATATAAAAAGAAATTGTTTATTTTTTCGTCTTCTTTGCTTTTCTAGACCAGTGATATAATTGACATTGATATGTTGGTTACTGTTGTTGTAAGCATACCCTTAAAGACTTTTGTTATAGTGCCGTCAACGTACAATAGCTGGCACATGTCGTATCTGATAATTTATTGAAAATATATTAGCCTGAATATAATAATTTTGACGACAGGCATGGCTCAGTTTGTAGTGACCCTACTTGCCGTGCCAGCGGTGGCGGGTTCGAATCCCGCTGGGGGCATTCATTTGTGTGAATGGCGCGAATGTTTGTACCCCAGTCATGAGTGTTTATATTTATAATATGTATGTGTTTAAAGTTACATATGAACATATGTGTAGTATATCAATTTTCTGGTATCCATAACACAGGCCTCGTAACTTACCATGGAACTAGATGGTATTGTAATATATGTATAAACAATGTAGTAGGGAGCAGGAATCGGTAGATTCGGTAAGTAATTCATGTACATATTATGTATGTTTTATACGTACATATGTATGTATATTAATGCGTATATTCAAGGTCCTTTGTTCACTATTCAACTAGGCAAAACCAAATCTCTAGTTAATTCTAAATAAAAAGCGTCAGTCCATTCGGAGTAGTCAAAGATATTGATAATAAAATTGGTTTTCTTTTATTTAATGAACTTCTGAAAATGCTAAAATACATATTTATTTAAATATATTTAAGAGCATTAATACCAAGTTTTAAGTAATTCTGATCATAAATATTTTTTGGGTTATATTATAACGTGTTTTCCCGTGGGAATGAGATAATCTCCCGCGGTAAAAAGTTAAAAAGTAGCTTATGTCAATCTCCAGCCCTCCAAATATCTCCACATAAAAATCACGTCAATCCGTCACAGTGTTTCGACGTGAAAGAATGACAAACAACAAGCAAACAAACACACTTTCACATTTATAATATTACTAGCGTTACGTTTTAACGTTTAGTACAGTTTCCTCAGAGTTGAGATATTTTCCCGCAATAAAATACCCAGATAACCAGAAACGAAATGTCTCCAAAATCCATCCAGTGGTTTTGTTGTGATGCGTCCTAGTCAGGTAGACAACAAAGTCTTAATACTATAGAATCGGCCTCTGATATTTTCCAAGAAATATTTAAGTATATGTACAGATTCGGTTCAGTTAGAGTTTTATTATATGTATAGATTAATTTATAATATTAAAGTATGGAGGCATGGATATTATAAGTCAAATATATATATATTTTAATGGGACCAATAAGCTTTCTAGAATTGTGCAACTTATGAAAGAATTATTAGTTCTGAAAGTACAGATCTTTGCTCTCGCTATTTCGGACTCAGGTAGAAGGATGCTTAAAATTAAATTCTCAACTATTATTTAAATATAAAAAACTCAGTAAAAATATAATAATTTAATTAAGACATCATTACACAAAATTAGTTGCCTTAGAAATAATCTGGAAGGCCTCTCTCACGTCCCCAGTAGCGTCGGCCGGGGGTTTATCTCCAGCGATTATCCACGTAGATCCATTGCTGCCGGAGTTAATTACGCCTATTATGCCCGCTACTGCTGATGTAACTCTGAATAAAACGAACACTTTATCAGATTGATGTACACGATGTTTAAATTTGATATATGGAACGATTTTTAATAACTTTATACTACCGGTGTTTTTGTTGAAATTCTGTTTTGTCTTCTTAATCAATACACAGTGATAGTCCAGGGATAACTCGCTCGCTTGGAAAACCAAGTGATACGGTTTCATAACCCTATACTCGCACCTCTAATCTGGGAATCATCTTCAACATGAATGACTGCCTTACGCTGAAGGAAAACATCGTGCATGTCTGAGAGAAGTGAAGTCTGCAGTGGAATATGGCCTGATCTTCCTCATATTGAACTGAGGCCCATGTCCAGCAGTGGGATGTTTAATATTGATGTGATGTTTAATTCTTTGCGATTAGTACTAACTACTTCAAGCAAAAAAAAAGAATAACCCACAGCTTTCGCCACAATGTTAGACAATTTCGCGTGTTATAAATAATAATTTAACTTATGCGAAATGTTTATGCTTACACAAAAACAGCTTTTTCCAAAGCTCGTTTAGATATTGCATAGAATATATTCAAAGTAATGTATCGTGTTTTGTCTTAAACTGAGGATTCAGCTTTCGGCATATCACAAACGAATTTAATTTCGCAAATGTGACTACCCATAAAATGTGGAAATTGGAACATTCCCGACTGCGGCTCATGCATAATGCATGCTCGACAACATACCGAGTTACCTGGTGTCGTTCATCAAACTTCTGTACCATTAGTCTACGTTCAAGCGATAATTTGTAAAATCTATACCTACAGATAATAAAATTGTAACTTAGCCAAATCTGTACGTTAAATATTTTTTAGAAAATCTTATTGTAATAGACATTATTATCGGTATAGAAGTCGAATCTATATTTTTTAGAATTTTTATCTGTCTGTCTGTTACCGCATCACAGAAAAACCACTGGACGGATTTTGATGAAATTTTGTAAGGTCGTAGCTGGTTATCCGGGTTAACATATAGGATACTTTTTACCGCGAGAAAATATCTCATTTCTGAGAAAAAATACAAATACTGCATTGTAAGATATACTAATATGTACAACCAAAGAATTTGCTTTTTGGTCATCTGAACGCGGGTGGAGCCGCGGGCAATGCTAGTATAATATATTTTAACGTTTTAAAGTTTAATAGTGAATTTTAACTCTTGACTTAATCAACTAAATAATTACTCTACTATAGAAATAAATACTATAGAATAAAGAGTATCTTATTTTATAGAATACTAGCATTGATCGCGGCTCCGCCCGCGTTCAGATGACCAAAAACCAAATTCTTACGATTTACATATTAATATACTCTTATATTGCAGTTACTGTATTTTTTCTCGGAACTGAGATATTTTACCGCGGTAAAAAGTATCCTATATGTTGACCCGGATAACCAGCTATCACCATACCAAATTTCATCAAAATCTGTCCAGTGGTTTTCTCGTGATGCGGTAACCGACAGACAGATAGACAGACAAACATTTTAAAAACTATAGATTCGGACTCTGTATATATATAATAATGTTTATTTCAATTAGATTTTCCAAAAAATATTTCATGTACAGAATCGACTTAGTTACAATTTTATTATTATGTATAGATAAAAAAAATAAAAATTATAATTACTTAACCATGAAAGATTAACACAAATTGTGTATTTTCCTGATAACAGACCATTGCACCTAAGCTTGTGTATTCTAAAGAACTTTGCTTAATCGATAAACCTATTAACGACACCTTTGCAAGCAAACACCTGTTACCCGAATACATACAAATGGCCCCGAACCATTTATTACTAAGCATTTACAACAATTTTGTACATTACAACACAGTAGTTTACGTTAGCCTTGGGCTTATTACATTACTGTATGTATGTATATTGTATATAGATAAAAAAGGTTATATGTGCTTGTATGTTTGTTACTCCACGCTAAAAAGCTGGACGAATTTGGATGAAATTTTGTACACAGATAGGCCTAAAACACTTAATCTACTATTAGCAATAACATTTCCTAACAGGTGGTGGGTAACTGTATATCACAAAATACAGACGGTTCCTTAGGGACAGGCCTGGGAGGAGCCAGGGTAAGTCCATATTAAAACAGTTATCTTGATCTGATGAATACTACTATAATAAACTACTATTCTTTCACTGCCTCGGTCTAGTGGTCAGCACGCACGGCAGCAGAGCTGAAGATTCTGTGTTTCGAATCCCGGGTTAGGAAAAGTTTAGTTACTAAGTTTTTCTAATAAGAAATATTCAATGACAGCCCGGAGTGGGTTTCACTCTCGGGCCTCGGAGAACACATAAAGCCAATGCTACTGTGCCTAATCTCTCACTGGTTGTGTTGAATTATCGTTCCATTGGAGTTTAAGAGCGCGCACACTTGTGCACTATAATATCTCCTAAATGCCTAGTCTCAGTGAGATTACAATGGCCTCAATCGGACACATTACTAAGCGATTAATTTTTAACATAGTGTCTTAAGTATGTAATTTGCATAAGTGTTAAAATTACCTCTGCCTATTAGAAATTTCCATGGCCACATTCTTTTCCTTTATGTAGTTATGTCTGTGAAGCAACGCAGTGTCGGTAGGGCCCAAACATACTGTGATAATACGGACTCCAGTGTTCGCATATTTTTCTTCATTCTGAAATATAGAAATATTAAATGACATTTATTTATTTAAAATATACTATTCTATGTATGTTATAAATATTTCTCGGTTACTGTTATACCAGGATAAGAAGTTGCCGATTCAACTTCATCCTTCCATAATTACGTTGATTCATTTTGTGTAAGAAACGAAAAAAAAAACACATTTTCCCTAGTATTTGCTTGATATTAGTGATGTTAGCTTAATAATACGAAAAATGACCATGACCTCGGAGATAAAAGTCGTAAGTTCGATTTATGTATGGATATTGATATGAATATTTTATAATCATGTAAGGAAAGAATCTATAATCTCTGTGTGAATAAGATGAAACCAAGTATTTTGCAGTATCTACTGCCATACAATGTGTAGCGTGTCTGTTCAAACAGAAAATGATGAATGGAGTAAAAATTCAATGCGCTCTCTGTCAACCTCACTATGCAAGACTGTAAAGGTGACACAAAATCGATTAACCAAAGTATGAACTATTTTAAAATATTTTTAACTACATGGAAATTTTAGCTGTTATTTATTGTTTATAAGTAATAAACCTAACTGAACTGTCGATAAATTGTTAAGATAATAAAAGATTCATATTTGCTAATTAAATGTAAGTATATTGCATGAATCACAGTACAATTAAACAATTCTAATTTGTATGTAAGACCATTCCAAGTCAATATTAATAAAGCTAAATTAAAAACAAATTAGATTGCGTGAAAACGATTTACTTAATATAATTAATATCAACTTTCACTATTAATTTAAAGACACTTCTAAATATATTTCAAAGTCCTCCTTTGGGAGCATTTAGGTAATTAAAGGTTCATTCTTAATTATATAACAAAAAAATCATGACACTTGCCGCAATTTGAGTACTAAATTGTAGTACAGCTAACTTCGTAGCTGAGTAGACAGGGGGTGATTTGTGCTGTAGAGCTTCTACTGATGACACATTTATTACAATACCCCCGCCGCCTCCATTGTCCACACTCATCAACTCTAACGCCTTCAATGTACTGTTGATTGTTGCTGTCTAGATAGAACATTTTATTGTCATTATTGTAACATATTTAAATGGACATAATTTACTGTAAATATTAACTTATGCATGTAAATAAATGTACAAACCGTCAATATGATTATAATAACTGTATTGTTAGCTAGTGGCTCACCCTGGCTTCACCCCTATTTTCATCCCCTTAAGGGATGATTTTTGGGATAAAAACCTATGTCCTTCCCAGTGTCTCAAACTATTTTATTAGCAAATTTCATCTAAACCGGTTCAGTAGTTTTCAATATTTTGTTCGCAAACCGGATTCCGATTGGACTAACAATAAAATCATACAAATTTATTATTACATCCTATAATAGAAAATCTATGAAATAAACCTAACATCTTAAATTACAATATGGGATGAGTACTACACACAGTCTCGATAGCGGTGATTTATGAATATGCTTAGTGAAACACGGCACTCGCATACATAGCCATTTAATGTAGTATCGGTCCAATCACAAATTCGCTGTGGAAACTTCAACTGCAAAATACTTACTAAATTAACATCAACAGTCTTCTGGTGAATTCCGTCTGCGACACCAATGACAGCAGCATTGTTTATAACAGCATCAAGTCTTTTATATTTATCTATTACTTGTTGGTACGCTCTTGTGAGTTGTTCATCGTTTGAGACGTCACATTTTATGAACTTGGCTTTCAAAGCACCGAAGTTGTTCAATAGTTCTCCCTCCAGACTTTCCCCCTCACGTTCCAATATATCTAAGAAGGCGACGTGCTGAAAGTACATATATATAAAATTCTATCGAGTTCAATTTATGAAGTTTTATAGACTTGCCCTAACAAAACTTTTATATTAAAATGCTGAGCGTGAATATGAAACGTTTGAATTTCGGAATGTTAACCTTTAAAAATATTAGGTACAATATAAATTGGTTCTATTTTTATTGCAATATTATAATTCAAAAGATGGGTGCGTGTAACCTTTACGCGCGGTTGAAGTAAAACTTCTTTAGCGAATGTGGCAATAAAATAAAACAAATCAATAATTAAATAAGGCATAACATGCCTATTAAAGTCATATATTATACGGAAATAATATTAGGTATACTAGCATTGCCCGCGGCTCCACCCGCGTTCAGATGACCAAAAACCTAATTCTTAGGTTTTACATATTAGTATACCCTTACATTGCAGTTTTTGTATTTTTTATCAGAAATGAGACATTTTCCCACAGTAAAAAGTATCCTATATGTTGACCGGGACAACCAGGTATCACCATACCAAATTTCATCAAAATCCCTCCAGTGTTTTTTCTGTGATGCGGTAACAGACAGACAGACCAAAATTCTAAAAACGATTGATTCGGACTCTCTATCGATAATAATGTCTATTTCAATAAGATTTTCCAAAATATATTTAATGTACAGATTCGGCTTAGCTATAATTTTATTATATGTATAGATATCATTTGTCAGACAATAACAACGGTTACTATGGCAACAATTAGTCATAATAGCTTTTATTTATTTTATGCAGAATATTTATAATAGTAATAAATACCTATTCATTTTATAAGTAATAATTATTATAAAAATATAAATATAATGAATTTTTTACATTATTCCACAACATACTTCCGCTACTCATTTTTCCAATGTATTGACTTACCCCTCAGTCACGCCTAAAGAAGTTTTCTCTTCTGTAGGCGTGACAGAGGTTTTCTTAGATTAGATAAATACATAAAGAAATACATACACTAGCATTTTGGGTCAGTAAGCCTCTCACTAGACCCGCACCAATGCCCGCCGCGCCTCCTGTTACTAATATCACTTTTCCTTTAACACTCCATTTGACATCTGCCATTATTCTTCACAACTCGACTGTATCACGCTTACTATCAGATATAAAACATTACCGGCAAAAAAATAGATTCGAAATATAAGCTATCAATTCAAAAATAATCGTAATTGTATTGATAGGGAACTATCTACTGATAAGAGGAATAAATATGTAGTTCCAATATTTTACGATTGTGTTTCCTAACAAAGAAATAGGACTGTTCTGTGATTAATACGTTATATACTAATTATATATACTTTGAACTTATCAGCAAGATTAGTGCGGACGTGGTGTTTCCAGTCTGACTTAATGTTTGTTTGTCTGTCAATATTAATATACATATGAGGATATCAATATGTTGTTCAGTATCATGGATCTTTATATTGTATTTAAAGACAGAGTAATATAATAAAATTCTAACTAAGCCGAATCTGTACACTAAATATTTTTTAGAAAATTTTATTAAAATAGACATTATTTTCGATACAGACGCTGAATCAATAGTTTTTAGAATTTTTGTGTGTCTGTCTGTCTGTCAGTCATCATCCCGGTCGCATCCCGGAAAAACCACTAGAGGGATTTTGATCAAATTTGGTATAGTGATAGCTGGTTATCCGGGTCGGTCAACATTTAGAATACTTTTTACTGCGGGAAAATATCTCCTTTCTGAAAAAAAATACAAAAACTGCAATGTAAGAGTATACTCAATTATGTAAAACCTAAGAATTTGGTTTTTGGTCATCTAAACGCGGGCGGAGCTACGGGCAATGCTAGTTAGTTTATTATAAAAACTTTACATAGAAGTAATTACAATTTACAACTGCAGAAAATTCTAGAAACAGCAATGCGTCGGCCGCTCGAACTCAATACCGTAGAACGCAGTACGTTTTGTGATAGGCCTCTTAAAAGAAGTGTGAACAACAAAATTATTTTTTACTAATCTATATTGATTGCCATTGTTTCCCATTTTATACCTTCAAGAATATATGTATATCTTTCCCAAAAATAAACAAAAAATATTAGGAAAATTAAAAAAAAGCTTGCTATAGAAGTACATTTTGTTTTATTATATCTAAATGATATTCCTCTTAAAATTAAATTACGTGCGGGTATATATATTTCCATATCGCACGTTTCAGGTTTATTTCCTAACAAAGGCGGTAACTGAATGAAATTTATTAAAATTCATGGAGTTTGTAAGTGCTCCTCAAAGGCATGTTAACCGCTAGCAATCTCAGTTTACATGGAGTGGTCTCGAAACTCGCCTCTGTAAGATGTCTTAGGGCATATTTGGTCAGCTATTTTGAAACGTTCTGGTAGTGGTAATTGTATCTATTATTTTTTAGTTCTATATAATGTTTGACAAGTAACCTGTTAAATAACCATTTTTGAGATATACTGAATGTTTTTGAGTTATGGCATATCTTTTCTCTGTCATTTTAAGGTGACAAGGTGGAGAATCAGAGTCCACCAATCTGGTTATGTGCGAGTTGGCAAACTTTACATATCTTCCGAAAACTTGCTACGTTCTCTTAGATATGCAGGATTACTCATTATGTTTTCTTTAACCGTAAGGCGAGTGGTAATCATATTGAAAATGATACGCACATGAAAATATCAGAAGTGCTCCTTGGGATTTGAATAAGCTTCACTTGGTTACCCAAGCAAGCATGTTACTACTGTGCTGCCACTGCCTTGCAGGCAGTTAAAAATTAGCTGAAGTAAACTAAAAAGTAATGTAAAAGTAGAATACCTAAGCTAAAATTTAATATACGAGGTCAACATATTTTCTAAAATTACATTACTGGCTATCTCATCTTCATTGTTACATGACCGGTAGAGGGTCACTTGATCGAAATATAACAAGCTATCAGACGTCCCGAAACGTAATTTAGGGTAAAATGAACGTTTAATATTGTGTGCGCACTACGCCCTGTATGAATTTTACTTTGAAAATTTATTTTATGAAACACGTTTTAAGATTTATAAAGATCAATTTAAAGAGGGTTAATATGATGCTATATTCATTAAATTATAGTACCAAAATTATTATAGGTATACTTATATAAGGTAGCTATACTATAATTACGTAATATACCTACTAGGAATTATTGTATCAAGAAAAATATTAATTACAAGTGTAAGTACGTTTTAACGGTTAGTATGGAATAGATAGACTATATATTATATGATATATAGCCTTCCTCAATAAACGTTCTATCTAATGCAAAAAGATTTTTTTAAATCGGATTATTAGTTCCCGAGATTAGCACATTCAAACAAAGAAACAAACAAACAAACTCTGTCTCTTTATAATATTATATAGTATAATATAGCAACTTAGCTCTATTTAACACGACTTAGAGTGCTTAGGTGCCTGTATATTACTCTAGGTTATAATCTATCTGTGTAGGTACTTTTCACCCAAATCTGTTTAGCCATCTAGTATGAAGGAGTAAAAATTAACGCACGCACATACAAACTTTCGCATTTATAATAGTATTTTCTTTTAATTTTCTCTTGTTAAAAATGACGTTTCCTCGTTAACGATATTAATTAAATCCTGTTTCTCACTTTCCATAATTAATATACCGACCGTCGAAATTCTAAAATAATATTGAAAATTCGCTGTTTTCACAAAGTACCTGTCTAGCAAGAAAATTAAATGGTATTACGTGTAATTATAAACCTATGAAACATATTTCAACCGAATAAAGAAGGCGTCAGGTGACTAAAATTGTGAGAGACGTATACCGTCATACTCGCTCTGCTCGCGCGGAAAATACAATTTCAACGGCAGACACGTCGCTGCCTTTGATAAAATTTAAATTTACTCGAATAAGATGTGGCGTTTCAATTTGCACCCAAATACTAGAAATGTGTGAACTCGCAATTGTTTTATACAAAGCTCAGTTTAATTAAATAAGACGTGTTAATTGTATATTTGAAATAAATTACTTAAGACGAGCTCTCCGTTCACATATCAAAGTTACACATACGTTCGCATATAAAAACCATTTCTTTTGCACTGTATTCTGACTTTGATTACCTTTTTAAGGTTCCGTACATGTAATAAAAAAGCCATCATCGAATTATTTGTAAGGCATGATACAGACTGTGATAGCTTAACCGACGTTTACAGCCTATTTGCCAAAGTAATAAGCCTATAGCTTTTGAATAAAAGTATATATAGGCTTTACGGTGTACTCCTAATTCCCATAATGTACGAACCCCCAAGAAGTCTCTACTCATACGAGTCCGAATCGTACTTAATATATTTTTAGTAATCAAACAAACAGCAATATTGCTTCTGTTATTATTTAACTATTCTGAATAATGAAAAGTGCATGCTCTATATATTTTTAAATCAAACTTGCAGGTTGTATTTTTCTTTCTATCTACATATAAACAATACATGTAGCTATATTTATTTAATAAGTTCACATACTGTAGTATAGGTATATAATCTGATTTTTTAGCTTATTTTTTAAGTTTATTTAAATTCAATATGAAAACACTTATGACTTAAAATTTAACGATTTTTTCGTTAAAACTACACACAAACCCAAAATTCTAGACGAATAGAGTACTCCTTTATGATGTCAATCAACAAATATGTGTAGTTATTTACACAAACTTAAAATCTCAGTTTGTATTCCGCATTTTATATTTAAAAAAATAGGTAGATACTGTCCAAATTGCACTGCAGACAGCATGATACAGCGATCAGCTATTCATGGCGTCACCCCGCCTCACGGTTATTACTGCAAACATTGGGCGAGGCAGCGAAATTATATGGAGAAAGAAACAAAGTATGACATACTTTTTTAGACTTATATGAAAAAAATGTTATAATTTTTATACTTTCATTGCCTCAATATTAGCAAATACTCTGCGTAATATTATTAACTTTTGATTACCCATACAAATCTTTCATCCCCATTTTCACCCCCTTAACTCTCGAACTATCTTCTTACCAAATTTCATATAAATCAGTTTAGTAGTTTGGGAGTCTATTCGGTACAAACAAACAATCAATCTTTCCTCTTTGTAATATTAGTTTAGATTAGTAAATATACTCTATATGTATTTACTCTAAATATTCAGTGTTAGTAAAAATATTTAAAGATTATTTATAAAAAAAAACACACTATTTTTTCTTTCACTAAATTATAAGAGCAATATGGTACCTTTAAGTATTACAGGCAATTTCTCACGAACAGATATTATTACAATTGTTTCTGTAAAATTAAAACCAATTCCTGAGAATAGTAATTTAAAATTTCCTTTCAATTATGTAATATTTTTCTCGTTTCGCGTTCCTTCGTACGTTTTGAATAGCTAAAAATAATTATGATGAGTGTACCTTTTGAGATAAACACATGATATTATGGAGTTTTTGTAGGCCTTTTTAAGACCTAAAATTTTGTTGTACATTGTTGTGACGTATCTCTTAGGTGACGTATCTATTAGGGTTAGTCACGTAACCGCCAGAAAACAGTTTTATTTTTGACTAAAATGCTGTTTCAAATACATACTTTTGCCGGCGACACACCACGCCACCTGCAGTTAATTGTACTTGTATTATGCCTATAATATTCGCGTAAGTGCAAGCAAAAAGTTTCATAGCAAACAAAGAAACAAAGAAACAAACATTATAATTAAGTTATATAATAAGCAATATTAAGAGATATGCGAATTATATTTCTATAAAATATGTGATAGTCATTTCGTAATAAAAATGAGGAATAAAAATATGTAAAATTTGTAGTATTATTATTTTTTCTATTTCATTATACCAATTCCAATATATTAAGGTTTTCATTTATTATTACGTCGGTTCGAGAGTATTTATTTGTTTTCAAACAAAATTTGTTATAGCTTTGAAATCTTGGTAGGTAATACATGAAAAATCCTGGGACAATCCCAAGAAACTTATCTTGACGTATACTCAATTACTCAATAAGTGTTCTTTTCCGAAGAACTTCTGTTCAATTCTGTGAAGACCTATGCCTGTAGTAGACATGTAGTCTTCTGATTGTTCAATTTACATGTACATATGAAAAAACTCTGAATTTCATCTATATCTTGGGAAATCGAACGTAAAATGTTTAGAGCGGTTTATCTAAACACCTTCTTGATCATGGCTTAGCTTAACACTTATAAACTACTGGATATGTGGACCTATTTTGAATATTTATATAGTATTTTACGAACGTGATTATAAAGTAAGCTATACAGTTGTATAGAAAATAAACTGTACATAAAAAATAAACTATATTAATTTCAAAATTAATTTAAAAAAATACAGCCGAATTGAGAACCTTTTCCTTTTTGAAGAAGTCGGTTGAAAATGTAGGTAAATAATTAATTAAGGATGTCTTCGTGGCCTACACTGCTTAATTTTATATTTATATTGTTCACAGATTTTATTCGACAGCTTTACCCTTGGACGCTTTACTTCTTTTACGGACGATGGCTGTCCAGATGGGTATATGCAAATACAAGAGGCAAGTCGCCCGCAAGTAGGAGGCTCATGGTGTGGTACTTCATGGGGTCCTTCTATATACTACAGTGAAACGAAATCTATTACACTAATAATACGCTTATTACACTTATCTAAAGAACAAAATAATTATAATTTTGATTTTCGAATGGCATATAAAGTTTTGAGAAAAGAATTCGCAACTGTCAGATATGGGGGTACACCACCTTCAGGTAATTAGTTATTTTCGTCAATATTTTCTTTCGTCATTTAGTATTAAATTACAAAAATATATAGTAAAAGATATGAAAAGAAATAAAAATAAGCAATTATTTGAAAAACATTATTTTTATTCCTTCAAAACCACGTTGCCAATAAAATCCATATTTCTAATAACCATTACTTTCAGAGCGCCCCTTTTTCAAACTGAGGCCAATGTTATATCCAGTAAACATATCACGCGAAGAAACGAATGTAGGAAGGACGACAAAAACTCCAGAGTATTACCTTGGGGATTTGATCTCGGGGACATATTGCTCTCGAATCTTCAGTGACTGCGATCGTAAAAACTGTAGATTACAGTCGCCGAACTTTCCCGGTGTATACCCAAGAAATCTAACTTGTTACTATGCTGTTCGACAACACGAAGTGCCTCAAGGGAAACATGCCCTGATTGTGGTCAAACAACCAAATGGGCAGTTGGTCTCAATCAGGAGTCAAAAAGCACTTTACGCACCATCACAAAATGATAGAGAAAATAACGGGAGGGAATTAAAATTTTGGCAACAATGTGATGAAGTACAGGATTATGTAACGGTTTATGATGGATATACAACGAGAGATCCGGTTATATTGAGGTTTTGCGGTGGTGGTGTATCAGTCCCAGAGGCAATATCTAGCGGACCAGAATTATTAGTTGAATTCACGACATCGCCCTTCGGTACATTTCTCCAACCGGTAACAACGCAATCATTACATGGATTTCAGTTAGAAGTTGAGGTGAGCATTTAAAAATTTTGTTATGTGTTCAAAGTAAAAATTTATACTTGAAGTTATCAAATATTGATTTTCATTATTGTTGTAAAATAATAAGTTGTGCCTTAATAAGTCTATAAAATATATTTGTTGAATTATTTGTATTAGGTAAGTACATTATTTAATAATTTTGCTAAATTCTTTTCAAATTTAATAGTTTATATAAATGCACGAATTTAAACTATAGAAAATGTAAGATTAAACTTGTGACCTAAGCCACCGAAACATAATATAAGAAATAGACCTCAGCAAAAGTGGTTACTTCATTTTCATTTACTCTTGGATATTGGAAGAAACCAATAGTAGGTAACCTCAGAGACAATCTATTATCATTAGTGCGACTAGATCGAGCTTGCTACGTGCGAGCCGGACATAATGTCTTTAAGCCAACAACGATTGAACTTTTCCTGAAGCTTTTATTGCCGTAAGTTACATAAGCCCTAAATGTAATTAAGCTTTTTATCTTTTGGTTTTAATTTTGAGCCTTGATGAAAAGATTTTGATTATAAACATTGTCTATGGAATTAATGATGATGCTCGTTGGCACTACTGCAATTAGCGAAGCATGTTCAATCGCCTGAATTTCACCACAGATTATATTTCTGTGTTGAAAATGAAAATATTAATTTAAAATATTAATTGAAAATCAAAATACTAATTTTGCAACTATAATCCTAAGATACAAATGAATTTCTTTTTTATTTATCTAATCATATAATATTAAAAGAGGGGCATAAGAAAATAAATTATAAAATTTAATTTTAAGAGAACCACTACAGAAAACGATCGTATCAGTTTACGGTAAGCTTTTTTGCTTAAAAGCTTACAAATGTTTTTAATCTACTTAAAGCGTCACTGTCTTTGAGATAAGTTTAATCCGCCTACGGTTAAAATATTATCACAAATGAGTTTGCGCCACAAAACTCTTCATAGTTTATCAAATTCGAAATTTGATTAGAATGCGCTTCGCCTGATCAACTTTGAATGCAAACTTTCTATTAGATCTTTTCTTCGTGCTATTAAATTTAGGTTTGTTCGCGTTGTTATTTAATATTTGCTCATCCCATTCGCTATTTTTCCTGGCGATAAAAAAAGCCTATTCGCTATCTACTCTGTAAATAAAAATATAGTACCTTATTTAATTTATTTACACATACATTTCAAGTGAGAATCGAACCCGAGATGCTATAAAATATATAGTTTATTCAATTCTAATGAAGATTAATTATCACGATGTCTGTCTGTTATGTTTATGTGAATGTTGTCACAACAGCCCATTTCAATAAGTTTTCTATTCAGTAAACACTTCAGTGACTGCTACAAAACTATAGTCAAACAATAGCAGGCTGAATATTTGAATGATACAAATTATGTACGATACAAAGATGTTTCAAATTTTTGAATTTTTCGTTTTGCCATATTTTTTTGGATCAAAAAGCTTAGTCGAATTGATTCTGCACAATGGTGAGCGCTAAAAATAGGTTATAATTGTATGTTTGTGGGCAAAACGGGATTGTTCCGAAATATCTGAGAGACCCTACATAGAGAGAGGTTTATGCTGTGAATTCCATGTGAAGTTAAAGCCACGTGGTCGGGATATATTTATCACTTCCATAATATATTGTTTATTATTTTTGCATGAGGGCCTACTATATAAATTAAATTTCAATGCTTGTTTATTATGAAACTTATAGGTATTTAAGGCATTCCATTATTAGGGAACAATTATAAATCAGAACACGCGAACCTTGTTTGGGATTCCGCCAAAATCTCTATTAGTACACAGGCTGCATAGTCATAACAATGAAACGTCCAGAATTTCTGCAGGCGCACCTATTATTTTAATTTAATAAATTAGGTCATGACCTCAATTTTTGATAATCTTCACAAGTACGTACTATTATATTTACTTACACCTCAGAAAAACAAACAAATATTGTTGCTTAAATATGTGCTCTTATTTATATGGACAGGGTCGTATTTACCTTGTCTCCCTTACAAATAAGATTCTCGTTTTATTACTTTCTACCTGTAATGCCAATAGGCTTAAGAAGATTTGAAAAATCACATAGCAAGCACACTAAAGTAATGTTATGTGTTTTAGAGCTTGTCTTCGAAATTACACCAAAACTCCCAAAAGTCACAAAGTTTTATTATTGCCATTATTTTTAAATGAATATATATCTAGCTTAGTATTCGATTTGTCGAAGATCACCAACCAAAAAAAAATTAATTGAACAACATAAAGCTCTCAAAACATGAGTCCAATTTATTATTTGCTTACCTAATTAATATCTGTTAATATTTAAGAATAATGTATGATCCCAATTTTACACTTAATATTTAAGGTGCGTTTTGTTGATCAACAATCACCAACCTACGCAAAAAATAAGAGAGCTTGCGAATTTTGGATTAGAGGAACAGGTCGGGGGGTTTTAGAACATCCACAGCATTCTCTTCCACCGAATACAACGTGCCTATATCATATGCAAGGAATTGATACTTCAGGCCCTTCGGGGAGGAACATTATTTACAGAAGACAATTTTCGGCACCCCGTTTCAGAGTGTGGTTCTCGGTATTAAAATTTTATGTCACTAATGCAATAAATCCGAATTTGCCGGAGGATGAGTATTGTGGAAGTCATTTGAATATTTGGGATGGCCCTATGAGGATATCACCCGGCTGCAGTGATATTTTTTGGTAAGTCTATACTAGATTTTTATAGAATAAATATTGTACTTATTAAATAAAATGGTAATAGTGTTTTAATTCATAATAATGGCTTTAAAATTATCGGAATTATTTTCTCTTCTTTTTAATTTTCCCCCTGGTGAAACATCTATCTGCATTTATACCATAATGAATTTATTTTAAAAACGTCATTATGCTACTATGCATTTCATTAAATATACCAAACAACCTAATAAAGAAAATAAAATATACTTTTAAAAAATGGTAGGGGTAGAATTTGAAACATTTCTATCTTAGCGAAAACATTATAGAAATAGCTTGTTAAAATTAATATTTTGAATTTGATCGAGGCAGGCCGTGCAACTTTGAACTTATAGATAAAAAATAAAAAAAATAGGAAAACGCCTTTCTGTATATTTTCAGTGATAAAGAAAGATCAGTACAAATGTCACGAGCTACATCTCCACAGTCTGTAATTGTTGGACGTCCCCCAACAAATGCAACGCTAGTCGCGAGATTCTGCAGGGAACGCGCGCCTCGAACATGTGAACATGCTTTATTAAGAAGATCTAGAGCATGTGCCAGAACAGAAAGCTTTTTGTCTAAAGGAGACTCTTTGACTTTGGAATTAAAATTAACTCAAGGAACCGCTTTGAAGTAAGAATTATTGCACTTTTAATTTTGTCATTTTGGAAAATAAGTTTTTTTTATGACATCGTTTTTCTATAGTGAAGCCAATAAAATTTTGTTAAGATTTAAGAATACCTACAGTATAAATAGATAAATAACAATGGGATGACTAAGATAGCTCATAAGTATTTCATAATATTTTAATCATCATCCATAAGTAAAAAAAAAACGCTAATGCAACTTACATATTAAACCTCCCTTTTTAATTTTGTACAATCTAAACTGCATACAAATGCCTAAATATCTCGATTTTACTCACTATAGACACCTAACAAGCAATTAATTTTATTTATTTAATCATAAAAACTGTTGAAATATTAAATATTTTGAGCTTATTTAAAATTTTATTTTGTTATTTATTTCAGACCAGTTTTCTTCAAAGCTTTGTACGAATTCGTCGACCTTCATCAAGATGGAGAGCCGTGGGGCCGCGGACCGTGTTCAAGACGCTTTGTCTCAAGGTCTTTTCCTGAAGCACCACCTGATCCACCAGTCACATTTTCTTCGCCACGAGATGTTTTCTTATACGGTAGAGGAGGCAATAGAAACATAAGGTATTATAATATGTTACAAGACACAATTCATTACTATTGTTCTTAATATTTTGTACTAAAAACAAAACAAAAAGTTACCTATTAGTTACTGTATCTTATTAAATATATATGCGAAATTATTTAATAATATATTACCCACAAATATACCTATGCTAATACTTTCTTAGATTTACGCGAATACTTGACATTTTGAATAAAACTATCTTTTCGGAACCACACCACCACCACCAAAAATCAAAATAAATTCGCGAAAAAATCCGAAAAGATAGTTTTATTTAAAATACCTATGCTAATTTAAAATATGTATACGAAAACATGTTTTTAGTTGCACATATCGTTTCGAGGCGAATCCAGGAGAAGTGGTACGTCTTCGTGTATGGGGAATTCGGAACGGTGGTAGACTGTGCAGATCCGTACATTCTGCACATTCTCCTTGGTATAGGTGTGGTGGCAATCCTACAGCCGCTGTTAGGATATTCGAGCGACCATGGAGAGATAGCGGTCCTGGTGTACCGCGAGACTGCTTATGCAGGTTAGTCAAATAAGTACCTTGTAATAGGGAATATGCATGTGATTTAAATAAAGGTGGAATATTTTTTTTTGATCTTTATTGCTTTGGAATTGAGCGTGTATCAATATTTTTTAATTTTATTTTTTTTGGATTGAGAAAATAATTAATAAAATATGCAAGTATAGGTGGAAAATTTAAAGTAGTTGAAACACACACTATTGGTCAGATTAAATATGAAGTTAAAGTATTATCGTAACAGAGCGATTAGCGATTTTGTATATAAAGTCGTCATTTTTCTATGTATAATACTTTGAAGTGACGCCAAGCGCGCGAAATGACGGGCGTTTAAAGTATCCATATCGAAATCCATACTAATATTATAAATGTAAAAGTGTGTTTGTTTGTTTGTCCTTCTTGCGCGTCGAAATGGAGAGACGGATTGACCTAATTTTTTGTGTGGAGATAGTTGGAGGGATGGAGAGTGACATAGGCTACTTTTTACCGTGGGAGATTATGAAATTCCCACGAGGAAACACGTTATAGTATAATCCAAAAAAAATATTTATGATCAGAATTATTTGAACCTTTTTGACGTTTCGAATGCTTTACAGCATTCATGGTCACAGGAAAGACTGAGGTGTTAGATGTCTCGAAGGTACAGTTGTTACAGACAGCCTACCCACAATAACAAAATCATTTTGTTAGTGTGGGTAGGCGTCGGGAACCAAAAATCCAAATAAATTCGCGAAAAAATCCGAAAAGATAGAAATATTTATGTTTAAATAAATCCCGGTGAAATGAAAATCTATTAGGTATTTAATACGTATTTAACTTAATTACTTTGTACCTTGTGACTAGTAGTATCCCTTGGTCTAAGATAAACGTATTTTTTGGTAAAGGTCCTCTACGCTCCTACAGGTGGAAACGGACGATATTAATAGTTCTCTGTTAGTCCCTGCGAAAAACCTTAAAGCTTTTTCTGTACAATATACATTACATAATGTAAAATTGTATAGTATTATATGATCTTTAGTACAACATAGTTTATGTATAACAACATGTTAATAGCAAACAATATTTTCTTACTATAACTGCACATAAAATATGTACCTACTGTGAATAACATTTGAAGCATACACTTTTACTAGTAATCTATTTCACATTTCCAGTGACGTGAACGACTATGAATTCACGTCTACAGCGATGGTGGCAGAGCTGAAATTTGATGTCGTAAATATGTCGGCGGTTGACGATTTTCGGTCTTTTGGCTTCGAAGCCTCCGTGGAATTTATTCGTCTTGATAGCGTTTGCGATAGTACTCACAGGGTGTACGGAGCTAGCGGAGAAATGAGATTGTCAGCCCATGCCCCGATGTCAGATTCAGTAAGTATTATTAAAATTGATAGGATGAATAAAATTAGCATTTTCGTAGTATTTTGTGTTTTTTGTTAGTTAGTCCTTTACGCTGAAAAGCTAGTTGGATTTAGATAATGGTGATTGGTGGATTGTTTTGAATAATGGTCGGTAACACTAGGGCTTAGTAATAAAATTCCCCAAAAGATAACATTTTTTTTATTATAAATACAAAAGACACATACGGACACACTCGAGCAAAGCTACGGTAAATCGCTAATAGCAAATAATTTACATGCAAAGAAAAATAACTCCCATCCAATTTCATGTTTAACTTTATTTATAAGTTTTATAAATGAAATAAAACATGAAATGTAATATTTTATGTATAAGTATATCTTATTAATTTCAGGAGCGTTGTGAACATCGTCCTTGGCTAATAGATCCAGCACCAGGCCGATATTTATACCTACAAATCCAAGGCAGTATTCTTAAAGAACCGGAGCTAGATAATTTCACGTTACAGAATAATATAACGGTTGCTCCAGATTTGGGACACATGTGCCGAACGCAAAACCGATTAGCGGTGTATGCTGGAGGCTTAACTCCGATATTTATATGCCCAAAGCCTCCAGAAGAACAGGTAAAATGCTTTTAAATTAATTTATTCCAAGTAGTTGGGGTATTTTAATCAGAATAATATAGTACTCGTATACCTACTATTATCTACACAGATAAATAAAATTGAAGTGTCTTTTTGTAATATCAAAATAACAGCTTTTTTCTATGCAAATGAAATTATATACGGTACTTATAAGAAAACCACAACTTTTTACATTTTTGTTTGTTTGTCTGTCTGTCTGTTTGTTCCGGCTAATTTCCGAAACGGCTATACAGATTTTGACAGGACTTTCACTGGTAGATAGCTGATGCTATAAGGAGTAACTTAGGTTACTTTTATTTTAGAAAAAAAATAGGGTCCCACAAAAAAAAGGGACACGTACCTAGGGACGCACGCATGCACTTGGGTAGTAGTTTTTTTTAGTCGTTTTTGTAAGTTTTTACTAAGTAAAAGTAAAACCTTTGTAAGCATTATAACAACTTTACAGGAAGATGATGTAGTAGAAGTATTTTCGGAAGGTTGGTCGAAGGAAGTTGATCCCCTCGCTCGACACGTGCTGGCGCCGCCGCCATCAGCAGACCGCTTTGATCTTGACTGGCCAAGGTCATTATCTGTTGAGCTTATTCCTGCTGAGAGTGGTTCCTATTATGTGACTTGGTTGGAACTTTCTAGAAGGTAAAATTTTCATAAAGCTTCTTATAATAAAACAACTATTTGACATTACATTACAATTTAAATTATTAAAATGAACACGTTAATTAAAACATGCTACCAGAGTCTCTTAAATAGATTTGTAATGCTCGTCATCAATGGTAATAGTTCTGCATTTAAAGATCAGTTTTTTTTTTACTAAAATAGTTATTTTTTTAATATAAATATAAAATTGTTGTATTAAATACCGTATTGATACAGCATACCAATAAAAATATGGTAACTTATGGGGTAGGGATTTATCCCTAGACATTTATATAGGTTCTTTCAATTGATATGTTTTTTTTTAATTATTTTATAAAAACCTAATTTTATATAATACCTACGTACGAAACAACTTTTGAATCCAGTATATTTAGTCAAATTAAGGTATGACCATTAGACTACGGCTAGTACGTTGCTCGTACCGTTTTTTTTTCTTCTGATGACCTTAAAACCCTCCTACCTAAACCTAAAAAAAACATATGAACGGTTTTTTCAGACATCCAAGCGAGCGCGGTGGAGTTTTCGCTTTATCTGGGGAATGTCAATACCGATGTGCATCACTAGACGCTTGTATAGAGCCGTCGTTGTGGTGCGACGGGATCGCGCAGTGCCCGCAGGGAGAGGACGAGCGCCTCTCGCAGTGTTCTGCCTTATTGAGAGTACCCGCGCATTACGCGGCGGCGCTACTCGCTTTTACTGTATTAGCTGCTTTTGCTGTGGTAAGTGTTCTTTTATTTTGTTTATCTTCATATTATATTTTATAGTTTCGATCTTGATGGGGACATGGTTTAAGTGTCTTCGTTGTGTAATACTTCCAGATATATTTAATTTGAACATAACAACATAAGTATGGGGTCATACTTTGATGACATTTTTGATATTAAAGTTGTCAAAGAGAAAATCTGGAATGAGCGTTTATTTAACACGATAACAGATAAAATAATTTAAAAAAAGTCTTTGTGTGTGTGTGTGTGTGTATCAGCTCCGACGCACGACTGGAGTTTACTCCTTATAATACGATGGTCTTTAAATATGCAATAGGCGTTCAGGGTAAATAAACGTATCTCTTATAATACTGAAAGCATCTATGTATTTTTATTCTATTTACAGTTTTCATATTGATTCGACAAAATATTATACATCAATCATGTTACACTTTATATAACTTACAGTACATGAATACATTGCTAGGAACTTCGATCAACAGTAGTATTGTTGGTCGAAGGTTAGGGAGGTTGATTTACTTCACTATTAATATCATCAACATTAATTACATCAATAGGTCTCTCGTCATTATTATTTACTAGTAGAACCCGCGGCTTCGCTCGCGCTAAAACTACGAAAAATCTTTAAAAAGGTAGTTTCATACAAACTCTCATCCCCTATTTCACCCTCTTATAGGATGAATTTAAAAAAATGCTAGAACACGTATTTATTTAATTTTATTAAAGAGGAGTAATACCAAGTTTCAGATAATTCTGATCATAAATATTTTTTTGGATTGTATTATAACGTGTTTTCCCGCGGGAATTAAAAAATCTCTCACGGTAAAAAGTAGCCTATAACACACTCCAGCCCTCCAAATATCTCCACATAAAAAATCACGTCAATCCATCATTCCGTTTCGACGTGAAAGACAGACAAACAAATAAACAAACAAACCCACTTTCACATAATATTAGAATGGATTAATCACTTTGACATTTCAAAGTGAAAGGTGCACAAACTACGTTGCGCAGAAAAACATTACGCTTGTATTAATTTCACTCCTCATAAAATTTCCATATCGGGGGCATTTATATGAAAATCGATTCTTAAGGAGTAAAGTCCAATAAAATTATACTTGAAATGTTTTAACTATTGCAACTAAGAGCTGTGTTAATTTTTAATAAAATATAAAAATATTTTATATATAAAATATAATATACCTATATAAAAATATTTTAATTACACTACTACTTTATTCTAATTGCAAATTAATTAATTCAAACAAATGCATAAAACGATTGTTTTTATAGATATTCATTGTATTGTTTATACCGTCACAATTCCTTGTGTTCCAACGTACCTATATTTGTAAAAAATAAGTTAATTATTCATTAAACATAACTTAAAGAACACTTGCAATTACTGTGTAATTTAAATAACTTTAATAATTGTTCTTAATTCTTTTTAAACTATTTTTTTAATTTATATTACAAGATTATTATCATGACCACAATTAAATACGTATAAGTTATCTTAATCTTGAATATTTAATTTATTTTTTAATATTTTCATTTAATCGAAATAAGAAAAATAAAATAATCACCTCACTATGCCCCTGCTATCACCGTAAAAGACAATCTTTAAATAAATTTGGCAAAAAAACAAAATTATACCAGATACAAATACGGCCAAACTAGGCATTTTTGCGTGAGCGTTTCTCGCGAAAAGTAATGTACCGATTTCAACGAAATTTGTTGAAGTGATAACTTATTACTCGAGTCAACATTTAGGATACCTTTTGTATGTATGTATGTATTTATGTATGAATGTATTCCCTAAGCAAGCCCTTTTTAACGTCCCACTGCTGAGCATGGGCCTCATTTCAATACGAGGGGGATCAGGCCATAGTCCACCACGCTGGCCGAGTGCATGTTGCCGGACTTCACATGTCTTTTGAAAACTTGCTAGGTTCTCTCAGATATGCAGGTTTCCTCACGTTGTTTTCCTTCACATGTATCATGAAATGATTCGCACATGAAAATATCCGAGGTGCGAGACCCGGGATTTGAACTCGCTTCACTCGGTTTTCCAAGCGAGCGCTTTACCACTGGGCTACCACTGCCTTAATATATAATATACTGAATGGAACAAATCGATGGGACATGGAAGAAAAGTACCTTAAATATTGAAGTTATCAAGATTTGCTTAAAGGAAACATTTCTTTATTTTTAAAAATAATGGGCTTTTATATTTCCCATAAATAATGGGATTTTATATTTCCCATAAATAATGGGATTTTATATTTCCCATAGACCCTACCGATTAATTCGATAAAATAGTGACAATGTCCTTTTTTGCATTTTTATTTGGTTCGATTTCCGGTTCAGGTAAGTTTTTAAAAAAAATATTAAATGCAGTTATTCTTATTTTTAAAAATAAAGAAATAAAAAGAATATAAAATTCTATATTTAAGATACTTTCCTTCCATGTCGCATCGATTTGTTTCACCCTGTATATAAAACAATAATTTGTTACTGACGGACAATGATGAATAATTAATATATTTCTTTGAAAATGAACTTGTAGTACAATCATCTTTATATTTAAGAAACCTTATATTTTTTTCTATTAAAAAAATGGTATGTTTCAATGACTTTGGTTGCCATGAAATTATATGATGCTATGAAGCAGTGGACTGATAAAGAAGTCACAGATTCCCATAAAGCCGTTTTTATGTTAACAAGGAATAATTATAAAAATTAAATGGCTTTTATATTAATCTTTTTATCTTCTGCATTTATTATCCCTTGTATCATTTTTCGCTATTTATGTACTAAATTTTCTCACGCACTTGCTGGTATTTAAATGAGATATTGTTTTGTATTACAGTTTATAAAGAGGAGGAGGGAAATGTTTAGTACGAAAGAAAACTCAACCAGTCATAGTTTTGATTTATTAACAATTTATAAGCTATAATAAAATAACAATTTATAGGCACCGAAAAATTACATGTGTGTGGAAACATCACACGTGTAACCTAATAGACATAATTTTAATATATTATTTTACCTATTGTGCGGTGTTCCGTACAGATATCATTTGACATACTTACATAATATATGTCTTTGGAAATCATGAAATTGTATGCTGTCATACACCAATGGTCTGATGATGAAGTCATAGATTTTTAAAAAGATATATTAAAGCTTCAAAATGCAAGAAAAACTTATAATTAATTGGCTTTTATATTACTACTAGCGACTCACCCTCGTTTATATTAACGTTTTAAGGGTTAGTCCGTACGGAAACCATACATTTTCCGGGATAAAAAGTAACCTATGTGCTATGCCAGACTATAATCTATCTCTGTGCCAAATTTCATCCAGATCCGTTCAGCCTACTGGTGTGATAGAGTAACAAACATCTATCCAACCAAACTTTTGCATTTATAATATTTATATAAATATATTATGGGATGAAAGAAACACTTAGAATTAAATGGTTTTATATTACTATTACAGATAGCAGTAGCGCGTTCATGCCGCAGACGGCGGTCAGCGCTACAACAAAGACTCAAAAGCCTGTCGTCAGATACGGCGATTTTCGACGAAAAAGAAGTGATTTGCTGACCAAGCGAGGACTCTGTGCGATATGTGGAAGTCGACAGAGTCACCACTGTGTGACTGACTTCTAGCACAGAGTCTATAAAATCTATACGTACGTTGTTTAATCTTATCTCTTGATTTGTACATTTATAACGAAATTATATGGAGTACATTATATTATTCTGCGTCTGAAAACTAGAGGCGGGTATATGTACCAATATTACAAAATAACATATGAATAAATACGGCTATTTTGATGGAATATTCATAAGAATTGATTTAAAATTTAGTGAATTCTCAGAATACGAAGCCAAACGTAACATCATTTTTATAACTAACGTACTCAATGTAATTTCACTCTGAAATAACAACCATCAATTATTCGGTTGCAAAACGATATTATTATTAGTAAACTCTAGTCTTCAATTGAGATAAATAAAGTCGAATGAGTAGATATAAGCGGTTGATGAAAACAAAACTAAAGCTCCATTATTAATAATATTATGTATATTGTTTCAAGTACATTTTGGACCAAATACGGTTGATCGGCCAATGAGTCCAACACAAACCGGCTGACATATTTTATTTTTGACCGTATTTAAATTTTATTGGCATACATATATTGACAATATTGTTCTGAAATTGAGCATTAACGCACAAATAACGTATCCGTATCGTATGACCGATCGACTAGAGGCACAAATTCTGTTGGAATCTTTTGATTACTCGATTGTGATTTAAAAATCGTTGTATATAGTTAAATGTAGAATTCCTTAAGAGATACTCGTTAAAAGTTTTATTACTAGGCTTTACAAGGATATCGTTGTGGCAATAATTCTGTTTACATTGTGTTAAGATGATTGGAATCACCTGTGTTCTTATAGTTATTCTAAAGTATACGTGATACTATACTGCCATTTTAAATGAACATGTTCATATTAAATTTAACCAAATTAATAAAGTATTCTTTAACCTGATAAATAATTATATATACAAAATTTATTTTAAAATCAAAAAATTTATCGTCTATTGACGAGAATATTGCAGTGATGGCCGCAAATTTGCCACAAGTAAAATATTGATTTAATAACTAGCGTAAATTTTAAAAATGATGATTAAAAAATCCAAATATGAAATATGCTAAATTGTCGTGTAAATAAAATTAAACACTATTCATATCTTAGAAATGTATTAAAGTGATATAAAAATTGTTTCCCAAGGAAATTATTGAATTCTATAAATACGTGTTAACTATTAGACAAATTGTAGACTTGAAATCCTATGAACACCTCGTCGTATTAACAATAAGATAATGCGGTTTAATGAGAGTTAGATTACGTAATTACATTATACGGTGGAATTATACTTATATACTCAATTGGTTATGGGAAAAGTATGGTAGAACTCCCTAATAAGAGTTAGTTCGATGAAAAATTTAATATATTTATTGGTAGAGATACATTTTCTATCTTTCTCACATGTAACTAAATCAATCGAACTGAATACGTCTTTGAAAATTAACACATTTAAAGAAAGCTATATTAAAACCTTCTATGGTAAATTATAAGTTATATTTTAGTAGCTTTCGACAGTTATATAATTTTTATAATTACGTAAGGGTATATAAGTATAATACGGCCACATAGATTCTAAATTCGATAAAAATATAGAAACTGTTAAACTATCGAGGTGTAGATGTAATTTATAAAGTGTTCTTTATCGGTAAAAAATATATTTCATAAGTGGATATTATTTCATCACGTTCGTAGTTTAACGAACGATTAATATAATAATTTTGTTAATTATTAAGATTTGTTAATTTACATGTAAGTTATTAGAAACTGGGTTTAAGAAATGTTTATATCGTCTTCCATAATGTACGTTGATTCCGGATTTTGTTTCCTTATGTTACGCCGTTAGGTTGAACATCCACAGAGTACTCACGTCGCTTCGATAAACATCAAGCTCTTACTTTTAACCTTTGCGCTATTTACGTCCTTATACTGAATAAGTAAAACAGCTTATCTATGCACATTGTATGTTCATATGACACGCATATTATTGAAGCGAAATTCTTTACCGCACTTATATTAGTGAATGAGAATTAGACGGAAAAAATGTAATATTTCAACGATCACGACACTGTATTATTTACTAAGAGCACTCTGTGACGTCACAAGTACTAGGCGATCATAAGTGTTAAGGAATGTATGCAATAAATAGATCGTATTGACTCTTATGACGGGCCGCTACATATATAATTTACATACCTTGAGATTTATGGTCCCGTAGTACCTACTCGTGGCAATTATTGTCAAAAGATATTATAAGCTAAGGGCTGCCCACAATATGACGTCACCACACCACCACTTGTATCAGGAGAACATAAGTGTTAAGCAATGTATTCGTAAGACATTCGTATGCACTCTGTGCTGGCCTTTCTTCGATGAGCTTCAACATGTATGATGTACGTTGTTTGATGTTTATAATACTTTAGTACTCGTGACCAATGGCAGAGAGCGGAAGGAACTTCTTTCCTACCAATTGTCCCACGACACCTCTTTTTTTGTATTTTTATTATTCATACTTATTTTTTTCCTTTGTGTAACATTTTTGATGTACAAGAGTATAGAAATTAAAATTGAAACTATTGTATTATAATTTTGTTCACTAAATTTTACGACTCTGTAAACTTTGTGGATCGTCAGCCTTTTTACAAATCTAAAGGTAAGTTTCCACTAATGGAAGTGAACTATTATCCAAATCAGGTATTATCCTGGAAGACAATAATGAGGGAAAATAGCAGATTAAGCAAAGTAACTAATTTCAAATTATTCCAGACGAAAAGTAATGGTGATATAAGAAGTTTTTAAAATAAAATTATTTATTGCATGAAAATAACATGTTTTATTTTAAATCCTCGTATTCGTCTTAGCAGTATATTACAGTCTAAAGGAATGTCTCGTTTTTGACCATGTGTTTTGTGAAAATTAAATTTTCCCGTAAATATTAATACTATTTAATTAATTATTATTATACCTATATTATACTTACAGACGAAATTTTAAAATACCAAATTTAAAGTTGAGAGGTACCCAATTTTTCGGTGGCTGAATTAGTCACTGTGTTTGTTGTTTCTTCACGCTGTAAAATATTTTATATACGTAAATAAATAAATAAACATGTTGGGACATTAACACAGCACTATCCGTTCCATGGTAAGCTACGAGGCTTGTGTTATGGATACCAGATAGTTGATACACTACATATAATATATAACTTACAAAATGTATACATATTATAAACATAAACAAACACCCATGACTGGAGTACATTCGTGCTCATCACACAAAGGAATATCCCCAACGGGACTCGAACCCGGACCGCTGGCACAGCAGGTAGGGTCACTACAAACTGAGCCAAACGTGTCGTCTGTATGTACCTACCATGTTAGAAAAGCTACGAGCAAAAACTAGTGTTTCCTATAACATTTAACACGTTTGTTCTTTCCAACAAAGGCATGAATAAGAGAATTTTGTATGAATAGATAGATTATTATTTTTTTACAAAATTATCGTCTTCGATCGTCTTCTATCGATAATGTATGTACGTATCAAGATACTTCAGGTAATGGCACGCTTCCCCCCCAACGTGCGTTCACCTTGTCGTGGTGGGGGGGCTCAGTAGTGCCCGGCAATCAAACCGGGCGCGAAGCTAAGAAACGCACAGGGAGGTTGCCCTCTTCGGTGGGCGGGGAGAGGTGGCCCTCTTTGGGGGGCGGTGTACCATGCGGGTTGCTCCTGGTACTTCTCTGATAGCAGAGTGGACTGTGGAGCAACACCATGGTTGTGGTGGTCTGCTTCGGCAGACCTGCCGTCGGGGCGTCGTAGTTGAATGCGCAAGCGATCCTGCGACGCCCCATTAAGACGGGGGAAGGTTTTGTTGGGTTTTAGTGGGTAGTACTGGCTGTATTACGCCGGTGAGTCCCACACGTCGTGCATAAATGCATTTCCAAACGTTAAGGTAATGGCACGCTTGCCACATAGACCGTGACCTAGATGGAGACACAGGCAATGCCGGATTCAACCTTAGCGTCGCCCCTAGGCACTATAAAAAATGCCATCCCATTATCGAAATTTTGCATAAAATAGATAAAGTTTCGAAAAAGTTTCATTTCTTTTAAATTTTTTTTTAAATACAAATAATTGATTTATAAACGTTTTAAATTTTTCGAAAAACAGACTACTGTTAGGCATCTAGGGACTCACCCGGGCCAATTGAGCGAAAATCTAAATCTAAAAAATAAAGCTAGTAGGAAAGTACTTAATACTTTTTATTCACAAATGTATTCAAGTATTTTTAAATTATAAATTGCATTAAACTCAGTTGCTTGTTGTAAAGCATATAACAATGATTTATAAATAAAAAGGTGTTTTTTTTTTTATTTATGTATTTCATTTTATGTTAGTTAAAAGTAAAAAAACACAAGTCAATTATAACTTAAATATGTATTTATTATTCTTTAGATACACCTCTTATATATATACAAAATTATATAACTACAAAAACATAACAACTTTAGATAACATACTCTGCTAAATAAAAGTAAATTTAGCCATACATAAAATCCTTGATTTATAAAAAAATAGAAAAAATTACAAATCTGTTTCCCTGTCTACAAAAAATTCCTCAACATTTACATTCAATGCATTATGCAAGACTCCCTGTACTAATATTATTACATTATTATGTTTGTAGAACTCTTAAAATTTTACTTTATTTAAAGTGAAACCACTACAATACCCCTTGAAATAATATTTCATAGGCCTTTCTTACATTATTAGTAATATCTTCTGCCGGTTTATTTGAAGCAACAAGCCAACTGCTTCCGCTTGAACCGCTTTCCAATGCAGTAATAAGGCCTTGGACTGCCGAATCTATACTGTAATGTGTAAAGAAATAGTGGATATTCATTTAGTTTGTTGTACAGTTTGTAATATGATGAACTTAGTGAACATTTTATAAACTAGTTTTATTATTAGTTAACAAAATATCTAAAATGTTCTTTAAATAGAATTTTACAAACAAACAATTTACGACGAAGACGAAATATGTATTTTGTAAAATAAAATAGGTACGAGTAGGATGCTGACTGCTATTTTTTTAATTTCGAAAGGCAATTTTAGGCCATGAATTAAATTCTTTTCATTTAATTCAATAAAGTAAGTAAATAGTACAGCAAGTATTTAACAATAATAAATTCTTTTAATTTACACTTGATGTATACGAAATCTAATCGTTGTTTATTACTCTTAAATGTGTTACAACAAGTAAATGTTTTTGTGGTTATATTAGTTGTTTCTTCAAATGTTACCTTTGAAAAGGAAACTTCTTTAAGGCGACAAGCAATTCGTCTTCAAGTCTGTCATCAATGCATCCGATTCTACCTTTAATAAGATTTGTATCCGTAATGCCGAAACATATTGCAATCACTCGAACATCAGATCGTGTAAAATTTTCAGATTTCTGTAACAGAAATAAATATTATAAATATAAAAAAACATCTATGCCCATATAGAAAGCTGAAGAGTTAGTTTTATTTAAACGCTCTGGTCCGATTTTAAAATCTTTATGCGTTTTAAAGCCTATTTATTGAAGATGATTAAAGGCTTAGGTAACACAATGAGAGAGAAATAATTCTACGATATTAGAGGACGTGGGCGAAGTCTCGAGAAAACGCTACTAATTTATAATTACATATAAACATAACTCTTTAGGCTCTCGAGAGTTATATTTATCAGTACTCTTCGTTCTTTCTCGAGGATCTGATTTTAAAATACCTATTTTGTTTAGTCCTGGGAAAGCTCCTTCAGATAGAATTTTGGTGACAGTTGTTTTTTCATAAACATTGTTGGACTATCCTCTTTTTTATACCACGTAATAGTTCGAAAATTAATTTATGTATGCACTTTAATAACCTCAGAAATGTCATTCGAATCCAAACTAACATATACTAACACTTAATTAGTTCATTTCTGAAGGTACATTTACATCTATTCAACAATCAGTTGAAGCACGGTAATATTACATACAGTATTCCATCTTCATACAAACGGTCGGAAATCGAGTTATATCTACGCGCGTCGAGTTCGGTATACACTCGGTAGACAACCGTGCGGGGCTGTCTCATCGTATAATTGGATACGAAAATTGTATATGGCTTTTATAATTTTGATACAAAAATAAAAATTTGATTCCTCCCGTAACTTCGCTAATGTCAAACAAAATAGTATCGAGACATCGTATGTTTTAAATATAAAAATTAATTAATTAAATTAAAAATAAAAATCCAAGTATTTTTAATTAAACTCTTTATCCAAATGCGGATTCTTTATACTATTAACAATCAAGCTTTTCGTACACGTCTCAGTCGAGACGCAAATATTTTTAAGAGTGGTATGTGACCCTTATAAATTTAAGATTTTTTAATTAAATCTACTAATAATATTTTTTAAATAAAAAATATAATATTTGAAATCACAAAATTAGAAAGAAACTCAAGTAGGTAGATGAAATTAAAATACTGGCCGGCGGGCAGCCCTGTCGCGTGGGTACGTGCCGCTCGGCTGTAGGTAATTATTTCAAGGACAGGCCCGAGTTGGAATACTGTATGCATTACATTACCGTGGTTGAAGCAACGGATTGTCGAAGCAACACTGTTCAACAATGTTGTATGGTCAACATTGATCAACGTCTCTTGCAGCAACACATTCGACAGTTCCATTTTACAATTACGTTCTACAGTTGTATACAGTCATGTATACCGGACATGTCGTTGCTGCTGCGGCTTTCTTAATTTTGGATAAAACTATTCGGAAAGAAAGGAGAAAAGAACGATAGTGAAAACAAGCAATGTTTAGAAATGGATGCCGAAATAGTAAATAACAGCGGATGTTGCAGCATTCGAAGTTGAGCATTATAATGCGTTTTGGTGCTATAATTGGAAAACTCTTATTATTACCCAGGCTATCATAGTTTAGCTGTAACATTTCTGATAGTTTGTGGCTTAGCCTGAGTAATAATTAAAATTACATATTGTTTTAACATTGAAAATGTTTTTTTCATATCTTGAAATGAAATAAGATATCGAAAAAATAAAAAAAGACCCCTAGAGATATGACTTCGACTACATTTAAAAAAAATTGGAGGTTCATATCACTAATGGTTGTTCAGAAGTTGTACCTTTATGACGCTCAGTTTACGCGAGGAGAGCGCGTGAGCGCGATAATGACGGTGGATAAATGTTTTGGAGCGTGATTTGGTTTTTGAACCGAAGTGATTCTTTGTGAATAAATAAATATGTATTTAATTTAACACTAATAACTAACTAATATTTATAAATATAGTAAAACGATAACTAAGCGAAATTTATACGTGAAATATTTTTTTAAAACAATGACTAACGTATTGTGTCCTAATGAAATAAAATGAAATAAACTTTATTCAATTAGACTTATTACAAGTACTTTTGAATCGTCAATTTAATGAAAGCGTGAGTGTAGTCAGTCCGTGAGGAAGCTACCACCGGTTCGGAAAGGAGTTCTGCTGAAAAGAACCGACGAGAAACTCAACAGTTACTGTTTTAAATATAGAGGTTATATTTATTTTATTAACATAAATTTAATATAAGAAACTCTTGAACAGTGTAATACGCTTTGCTCAATAAAACATTTTTAATATTATCTTTAAATTTTTGAAAAGGTAAATCTAGGACATTTTGTAGAATCTTAGGCACAAATTCAGAATTGGGGACTTGGCCCCTAGCGAGTGGGTGGTATTTCTGGATAAGGGACGTGATAGGGAGTCGAAATGTTAAATAAATTTTTTAATACAACAAAAGATTCAAAAGTTATTGAGACTTAAAGTTACAACATTTCCATACATTTTCATATATTTCTTTACCACCATTCGGAGTGGGTGGTATTTTTAGATAGGGGAGGTGACAGAGAGTCAAAATATATTAAAAATATTTGGAGGAAACGTACGAGTAAAAAGTTATTGAGACTTAAAGTTATAACATATCTAACACATTTCCATACATTTCTTTACCTAAATAAGTGATTACAACAGATAAACATACCTTTAACGAATAGTACGCATCCTTTTTTATGTACATTACACATTTTCACAACAATTAATGCTTTATTGTATTTAATATTTTAATAATTTCACAACACAAACAAAATGATCTTACATTTTGACAAAAGCAAAACTGACACTTTGTTTTATATTACCGCTTAAATGACAACAGATTATATTTGATTATTTTTGCTTTTTCTGTTGGTAAAATATTACTATTAATAAATAAATAAATAAAAAGAAAAATATTATTTTCACTTTATAAATACATTTATGACTTTTTATTTGATTTATGTAAAATATATTGTTTTACAATTGTACATTTAGTAAAAAAAATCATTTTTTTATCTGTGAATATTTTTAATTATTTATTTATTATTCGTCATAACTGGGTTAGGTTAGGTTAGAACATTTAAGATTATTTATTTATTATTCCTCATATCTGGGTTAGGTTAGGTTAGAACATTTAAGATTATTTATTTATTATTCCTCATATCTGGGTTAGGTTAGGTTAGAACATTTAAGATTATTTATTAATTATTCGTCATATCTTGGTTAGGTTAGGTTAGAACAGTTGCCACAACGCACGAGCCGAGCGAGCGAAGCGAGCGTGCCGCGGTAGCGGCCGGCGAGTGCCATAAATGACTAGAAAACTAGAAAATTCGAATTTCACGCAAAGTACAAATAAAGACAATCATCTGGAGATCATTTTGACAATTGAAAGTGACGTTTTTGACTCCAAGTGTCTAAATGGTAGTAATGTCAAAATAATGTATGGAAATGTTATAACTTTAAGTCTCAATAACTTTTGACTCTTTTGTTGTATTAAAAAATTTATTTAACATTTCGACTCTGTATCACGTCCCTTATCCAGAAATACCACCCACTCCGCTAGGGGCCAAGTCCCCAATTCTAAATCGCCGCCGAATCTTATTATATATGCGTATACTCAAGCCCATGAAGGATTTATCCACCTTTTTGAGACGAAATCTAGGCGTAACATGCTTATTTCTATTCCTAGTGTTTATTATGTGTCTATCGCTGTTTTTTACATAATTATTTAAATTCTTACGAACGAGTAATATATTACACAGTACAGATTGTGAAGCAACCGTAAGAATACCAATTTTTTTGAAAACATCTCACAGGGAATCACGAACTCTTAGGTCATAACCTTACTGCTCTTTTTTGAAGAATAAATCTCTTTTTTAAAGAAGTATTCCATAAGAGAGAATACTATGAAAATAACTAAAATATACAAGTCGAGCAGTGTTAATATCCAATCATATCAGTACGGTAAGTAAGGACTCCTAAAAATTTGCATTTTCACAATACTATTGTAAGTTACAAATAAAGGTTATGTCAGTATTTAGAAAGAATATTTCAATCAATGTTTTTCTGTAATTACAGTTAATTGTATATTTTTTCGCAAGCGTTAGCTATTTAGACATGATCTTCGCTTTGAAAATTTTTGATGAAGGATAGCCGCTTAATACATAAACCCACAGATTTAGCCTAAGATTATTTTATATTTATTTATCTTGAAACATGCACAATGCAAATTATTTAAGTTTTTATTCTTTAATAATAATTACTTAAACTTTACGGATTGTAGAAGGATATCATATAATATAACTGAAAAACTGTATAATACGTTTCTCCTGTTCCTTGCTCTGCTCATAAAATTCAGGGTTAGATCGTATCCGGGTTACGTCGATATCCTCTATTAAGCAAATTGTGCTAATTATTGATACAACTAGATATGGAATCGTAATTACAAGCGGATTGAGTGCAGGAACTGTATATTCCTAAGAATAAAAAAATGGATTTCTTCATAATTGATATAAAATAACAACGTCGATTTTGTTATTCGCCTATGTTTTTGTGAATGGACGATGCGTGTCATCAATTGGTCATAGACCGGAATCAACTGTAATATCGTGAATAGCTTAAAAATCTCTCCTCTTACCTAGACAGTTGCAAATGACAAAACCACTTCATGCCATTTCTGTTAAATAAATGTTTACTTCCCTCAGAAGACATGTAGAATTTAAAAATTAACTGTAATTAAGACATTAAAACCATAAAAAATAGTAGCAGCTGTAGTATCTTGTTTTACTTACACGTCCAATAATATAAGAGGACTGGATTCCAGAGAAAGGAGAGTGATTGCTAAATAAGTATTGTTAATCGTAGAAGTATTTCTAATATTTTATCTTTATATAAAATATGAAATTAATTTATTGATTGACACGCCTATACATCCAGGAATTTTTATTTGTAGAGAATATTCTATACAAAGTATAGAGCGCTAATTTTGGACTAACAGCTCATAAAATTTATTATTCCACAGTACCTGGGTGACCGAGCTTCACTCGGTGCTGCTCTTTTTGCAAAATCGCGTTTTTTGAAAACATTATCAGTCATCAATTAGCATATAAAATATTACTTACTCCAAGGCAATTGCTAAATTGTAGAACAGCACTCTTAGTTGCACTGTAGACTGGTAGAAGATAACTCTGCATCAATCCCACTATTGAGGATATGTTGATTATAGTGCCACCCTTCCCTCCTTGATCTTTGCGCATTAGATTATAAGCTTTGAGTGAACCAGTTATTAAAGCAGACTGTAAAGAAAATGTTTGTTGTGAGCATCATTCTCTTAATTTATAATATAACTAGCTTGCTTCCCCATACAAATTTCATCCCAATTTTCATTCCCTTAAGGGATGATTCCGGAATAAAATTATATAAATATTCGAATAAAAATATATAATATATAGATTTCCGGGATAAATATATCCTATGTCCTTCCCAGGGTCTCAAACTATCTTCTTACCAAATTTCATCTAAATCGGTTTAGTAGATCCAGAGATTACCCCCTACAACGTGACAACGCACAATTCAACAAAAAAGACAATCCTATAGAAATATCACTCAATAGATTACGACACGTTCGTGGTTCCATTGAGGCGGAGTTTCATTGAGGCGAACCTAAGAAGGATGGGAATCTCGTGGAACCATGTCCAAGCAGTAGCTAAAGATAAAAGGGCATGGAAAACTACTGCTGCAGCCCTAAGTTCCACGACGGAATAATAGGACAACATCATCATCATCATCATCATACATATTATTATACATAATATAAACCTTTCTCGTGAATCACTCTATCTATTGCGGAAAAATATGTTAAGTAGCATAAAAGATCTAATCGAACAGACATTGGAAACGACTTCATTTTATACTATACTAGCGACTCACCTTCGCTTCGCTCGGGTTCGTCCCTAGCTTGCTTCCCCATACAAACTTTCATCCCCTTAAGGGATGATTCCAGGATAAAAATATAAAAATATGTAATATATAGATTTCCGGGATAAATATATCTTATGTCCTTCCCAGGGTCTCAAATTATCTTCTTACCAAATTTCATCCAAATCGGTTTAGTAGATCCAGAGATTACCCCCTACACCGTCACAAACTCACAATTCACAAACTCATAAACTTTACCTCTTTATAATATTAGTATAGATAGATTATAATATATGTATAAGATAGATTATAATATAAGATAGATTGACGTATAGTATTAGTATTGTATATGAAAAAAAAACATCTTATAGAAATATCACTCAATAGATTACGACACGGTCGTGGTTCCATCCCTACAAATATGTTGTATTTTAACCATTTGTCCAAATTATATGCAGTAAAAGGGAAAAGTCTTTTGTTTTAAACATTTTAGACGATAAATATACTTATTTTGATAAGAATTCAGAATTGTTGATAATATGACCAATATACATGACCTACCGATTTAAGTTATTTTTTTAATATAAATATCTACTTTTTATGACTTAAATATAAAAGTTAGACATATTTTGTCGCTGACTTTTTTGTAAGCATTATTAAGCTCTACAACTTTGCTCTAGAACATAATCATATATCTCTCATCGTTAAGGCAGCGTTCGTAAGAAACGTTTTCGTTCGACCGTTTTTTCTCCGACCTACTTTGCAAATCCGACTACCATGAAAAAGTCTTTTCATTCTTCGGGTTTATATATAGCCTATGACACTCAAGAAGAACGTGGCTTTCTATTGGTAAAGAACTTTGAAAATCGGTTCAGTAGATCCAGAGATTACCCCCTACAACATCACAAACTCACAATATCATAAACTTTACCTCTTTATAATATTAGTATAGATAGTATAGATATGTATCTAAATCACTTTGTTTAATCAAATCCATAAACTATTATACTAATATTATTATATATGTGAAAGTAACTCTGTCTGTCTGTTACCTTTTCACGCATAAATCGTAGAAAATTTTTCGATAGAAAATTTTTCGATGGACGTATGTATATTGTATCTTGGAATCAGACATAGGCTACCCTTGAACCCCGCCCGCTTATCACGTAAGCGAAACCGCGGGCAATAAGTTCACATTTATTGTAATTTAATCTATTCAAGACCACTATACAGTCACGAATATAGATTATGAAGTCCTGAGTAAGATATCATAAACTATTTTTTTTTAATATACTCTTTTTATTTTTATAATTTCCAATATTTAAACTAGAAACGCACCCTCAGTTAAGTTAAATCCATATAACTTTTAACCCTCGAGCTTCCTCCTCTGATTCTCAAATTTGAGTAGTGATGGATTCCCCATACGGTCTAAAAACTTTCATCCCCTATTTCACCAATCTTAAGGTTTATTTTTATGACAAAAGGTAGTAGGTATATGTCTTTCCCCAGTATCTGAACTATCTCTATATTAAGATGTTACAAGCAGAAAGGCAGACATACAGATTTTCACATATATAATATTACTTTGGATACCAGAAGATCACTTATAATGATATCAGTAAGTATAAATTATACTTATTTGTACATGGATTTAAGTTTTACTTATCAACTAAATCAATATTAATGTTTGTTATAAATAAAATGGCGTCATCCGCTAATATAATTAGAATTTTTTATACTGGTCCCAGTATAATAATGAGTTACTGAAGATTAAGCATGTTTTATGCTTAACTGAATATGATTTTAGTTTATTTTTAACCGACTTCAAAAAAAGGAGAAGATTCTCAATTAAGACGTTTATATTTTTTTATGTATGTTCGGGCGTAACTCCGTCAAATATAGACGGATACGGATAGGATTTGCAAAATTCTTTTTTTGTTCGAAGGAGCTTTCTTCCGAAATGATCCCATTTAAATTTGAAACAAAATGATTTTTCTCCTACTGAATTTTTAAAATACTTCCTTCTTATTTTGGTACTACCATGTCTACACTAATAATGGAAAAATAAAAACCGACCGACGGGGCCAGCCGATACAAATCAAAGCACACCGATTTTAAAAATATCTGATTAGGTATATATATTAAATTAATGAATAAAAACTACCAATCAGTTATTTTTTACTTTTTAGTGTTTTTTGGAAGTCGTTTTTTATCCGCTATATAGACGTCAGCGCCATATCAAGGTTATAAAACATAGTCATTATCTTCTTGAATACGTATATGATACAAAACAAAAGATAACTTGAGAAAAATATAATTTGAATAAGTACTAAAAAAAGTAGGTAACAATGTTATACCTAAGCCACTAAGTACTAAAATAAAATGATTTTTTGGTAATTTATAAGATACTTGTATACCCTAACTTTAAGTTAAGGAAAATCAAATAGGTTAGATTTGATATAAAGTTTTAATTTTAACATAAAGTTCATAGTTTCTTTAGCATTCAAATTCGCCACATGTTTCAATATGCGAAGTTAGCAATAGGTAATATTTAATTCGCAATATGAGCAATGGAACTCTATCTCTTTAGAATATCTATCTCTTGTACGTCTCTATCCGCATACGTCTGTCACTCTCTATTTGACTATTCCTAACTCTATCACCTCAATACAAATTTCGATAAAAAAACCTAATTAATAATTATAATCTTGTAATTTCAAAAAATTCTAATCTTACTTTAAACATTTGTAAAAAACGAACGAAATATTTCTACATTAACCTAAAGTTTATATTGTGACGCATTTCCTGTTAATAAGTTAGTACCTGGACTACCGAGCTTCGCTCGGAGTTTTTGGCCTGGAATACAATTTTCTTTTCTTTTTTTTAAACTAAAAACTTGTATAAATATTTAAAAAAACAAAAGACCGAGAATCGAACCTGGATACCTGTGATTGTTGATTTTGCACCTTGCCCGCTTGACCACGATGCTTATGCTCGAGCGTGCAAATTTCCGAGCATATTTTGCGTGGAATAATACAAAAGAAAAAAACGTTTTCTCAGACATAAGACTATACTAAATTTCATGAAAATCTTTGGATCCGTTTCCGAGATTCAGAAAACTTTGTGATATTGTGAGTTTGTGATGTTGTAGGAGAAATCTCTGGATCTACTAAATCTACTATCGTCTTTAATGTTTAAAACAAAATACTTTTCTTGCATATACTGCATATAATTTGGACAAATAGTTAAAGAGATAATACAACATATTTGTAGAGATGGAACCACGGCCGTGTCGTAATCTATTGAGTGATATTTCTATAAGATGTTTTATTTTTTTCATATACAATACTAATACTATACGTCAATATATCTATATCAATATTATAAAGAGGTAAAGTTTATGAGTTTGTGAATTGTTTGTGACGGCGTAGGGGGTAATCTCTGGATCTACTAAACCGACTTGGATGAAATTTGGTAAGAAGATAATTTGAGACCCTGGGAAGGACATAAGATATATTTATCCCGGAAATCTATATATTACATATTTTTATATTTTTATCAGAATATTTATATATTTTTATCCCGGAATCATCCCTTAAGGGGATGAAAATGGGGATGAAAGTTTGTATGGGGAAGCAAGCTAGGGACGAACCCGAGCAAAGCGACGGTGAGTCGCTAGTATAGTATAAGATGAAGTCGTTTCCAATGTCTGTTCGATTAGATCTTTTATGCTACTTAACGGATTTTTCCGCAATAGATAGAGTGATTCACGAGAAAGGTTTATATGTATAATAATATGTATGATGATGATGATGATGTTGTCCTATTATTCCGTCGTGGAACTTAGGGCTGCAGCAGTAGTTTTCTATGCCCTTCTATCTTTACACTTATGCAGTATTCCCTTCCTCTCTTCGCAAGATATACCCGACTTGCATACTGGGAGTTGATGGCATACTTCCCACAGATCTTCGTTTCTGATAGTATAATATACAGGGTCATTTTTAATTTATATAAAACCTTTTGGTAATACACTATTTACAACATAACAACATCTGTAAGAAAAAAATATATCTTAAATTTAACAAAAATAAAAATATTTTTATTGCACCTTCTCAACGGTAATAGTCCAGCATTAGCAAAAGAAAGCGCGTGTCCGGTGGAGGGGGAGGGGTGGAGGGGTGTAGGAAGCCGCGCTTGCTCACTTAAACTTGGCCAGACGCTAGAACTTTAAAGTTTAGAAGGTGCAAAATTTTTTTCATTTTTGTGTGGAAATAAAAATTTAAGAAATATTATTTTTTCTTGTTACAGATGTTGTTGTTATGATGTAAATAGTATATTCCCAAAAGGTTTTCAGTAAATTAAAAATGACCCTGTATAGTAATAATATGTATAATAAATGCATATTATAGTACAGAAAAGCCGAGAAATTCAAAGATTTGTATTTCATAATATTTTCGGATTTCATCGCGGATTTATTTTACATATTTTTTTCCTGACGTTTTAAATACTTTACAGCAAATATGGTTACCCAAAAAAATAGTTTCATTTCAAATGTCAAATGTTTACATCGGTCGAAGAAAGTACTCACCACATTGATAGCGATCTCCTTTTCAATCGCAGTCGGATGATCGTTCATAATCCCAGCGTTATTCACAACTATATCAATATAACCAAACGTTTTTACAGTTTCATCGAAAGCTGTATGCAATTCATTCGTGGTGACATCACACTTAAAAAATGTCATCTTATTGTTTCCATGTTTGGCATTTAGTTCCTTTTCTAAAGCTTTCCCTTGCTCTACATTCACATCAAGTACAGCTACATGCTGTAAAATTGCATAGTTATGTTATATTACTTGAATATATTTGAAAAATATAATAGTTATAAATGAAAGTTTTTATTACAGTTAAAAAAAACAAATCTATCCCACGGGAACCGCACATTTTTCCGGGATAAAAAGTAACCTATGTGTTATTCTAATGTATAAGTTATTATACTATTTCATTAAAATCCATTAACCAGTAAAGTTTCATTAAAATTCATTCAGTATTTTTGCGTGAAAGAGTAACAAGCATCCATACATCTATAACTCCAGATATTTATGCATCCTCACAAACTTTCGCATTTATAATATGAGTAGGAATAAATAAACCATTTTGCAAAAAAACGGGGGCTTTAGATTTTTTTTCTCTATCTTAAATGAATATTACAAAAAAGAGGTTTTATTAATTTGACGATGTAATTTAACTTAATATTTGAAGTATCCTGTCACGAAAGTTTACATTACAATTTTTTTTTAAATTAACAAAAGAAAACAAGTAATGTAATGAATGTAATGTATGTAAAATTGCTTTATTTAAAAAGTTAAAAATGTTACTTGCTTATTACTAAAATTTTAAAGTTTTTTGGATAATTTATGCAAATTAATTCATTTAATTTTTCTTTTTACATTCAATACCACTTTCTGATATAGTTAATAAAGCGATAAAGGTCGGTAAAATCATAGCGCTACTTAAAGAAGCTTGTTCCCAAACTTACGTGTCTCAGTAGCTAAAGGTGTTATTAAACTGTCCAGAGGACTTGGCAACGGTATCAAGAGACCGGTTCGATCAAGATAAGACTAGGTTCGGGAAGAAAGCGATGCACAAAGCCACAAGATGACCGCTTTTTGATGAATCAGACGTTGCGTAAGTCATCAAACGTGGATCCAAAGAAGAGCTTTGAAGATTTAAGGGGAGTAGCTTGTGGGCAATCAAGAGGAAGCTTTTGGCTATTGATATCAGTAGTTAACGCCCAGCTCTGAGCCCTAAATTATTCTGTGAGCACCGAGTTGCCCGATTTCAGTTTGCTCGAAATTGTGCATCAAGGACTCTGAAGGACTGGAACAAAGTATTGTTTTCTGATGAAGCTAGAATCTTTTTATATGGTGAAGATCGACGCCAATGAGTACTCGGAGAACTGGAAAACGCTAAGTGGACATCTGTTTCGAAGAAATCACTTATAGCTTAGGCTCTGTTATGTTTTTGGTAGCAATTAATTCGACGCAGCGTACAGAGCTAGTTTTTATAGAAAATGGAACATTAAAAACACACCGGTACATAACGGAAGTCTTAATTCTACATGCACAACTCGCAGGGACTGATTAAGCAAGTCTGGAATGTCCTAAAGACAGGTAAGATCAGTGCATCCTGCTTCACAAAACATCAGGGAGCTAAAAAGAGTCATTGCAGAAGAGTGGGAACGTATTCCACAAGACGTTATTAAAAATATCGTGGAAAGCTTGCCCAGAAGAATGCAAGTTATGACTTTGGCAAGAGGAGGTCAATCTCGTTATTACGATTTTACATTATTAACTTTTCTATATTAAAAAAAAACTAAAAACTATTTTCTTGTCTTTATTGTTTTCACTTGTTATTGTTTGGACGTGTATATCGACTTTATTGAATTAATCGAAAATTTATGAAAAAGCTGCCAGAATTAACTTCACGCATATTGAATCGTCCTTATCTGACCATAAACAAATTTTTGTGGAAGTATGTAAATATAAGCCAGAAACGCTTCAACGGGTCCACTATACTGCCCTGAACTACAATGGCCTAATAAAAAGCTGCACAGAAACTGAACATATAAATAAGAACTGTGACTACAACTATCTCGAAAACTACATAATGGAACAAATTGCACGAAACAAAATAACAAAAACTAAAATACTAAACTTACCACAGAAGGATTGGATTAATAAAAGCATAATCGAAGGGATAGATAGACGCAACATTTATTGATATAGCTTAAAAAAAGATAATAAAAATGAAGACATATTAAATAAATATAATATAGAGAAAAAAAGCGTAAGTGAAATTATTAGAATCACTAGAGATGTATACTACTGTAATGAATTCAATAAATGTAAAAATAAACCAAAAAAAATGTGGGACCTGTTCAATACCTTAGTTGTAAATAAAATTAAAAATAGTTGTACTGTGCCTAAGCTCTTCACACCTTCTGGTACTTTAACCGATGGACATAAGGTTTACGAATCTTTTAATAATTTTTTTCTGACAATTGGTACAGACTTAGCAAGTAAAATACATTCAAAATACCACTCAAGCTCAGTTTATACCTTTATGTATAAAGAAAATTACCAACATAACATCATTTTAAGTGAATTAGAACCCTGTAGTGTCAGTGAAGTGCTAAAAATTATTAATAATTTTAATAACAATACAAGTCTGGGTATCGATGGAATAAGTCCAAAGGCCATAAAATGTATTAAAAATGTCATTGCCACTGACCTTACAAATTTTATCAATAAATGCCTATCAAATGGGACTTTTCCTGACAGCCTAAAAATTGCAAAAGTCAGTCCAATCCATAAGTCGGGACCAAAAACTGATCCTAGCAATTATAGACCCATATCAGTGCTCCCTGTAATTTCTAAAGTGTTTGAAAAAATAATATACAACAGACTTAACGAGTATTTAAACGCTAAAAACTTTTTAATTGAACAGCAATATGGTTTTAGATCTAAATCTAACACATTATTAGCTGCAATTGATGTAGTTACAAAAATAAAGACAAATATTGATCGAAAACATATCTGTTTAGGAATATTCATAGATTTAAAAAAGGCTTTTGATACTGTAAGCCACTCAAAACTATTACAAAAGCTAAATAATATAGGAATTACAGGCACAGCACTAGATATGTTTGCTTCTTATCTCACTAACCGCCAACAGTTTGTACAAATATCTAGATATAAAAGTGACCCTCAACAAATTACATGTGGTATTCCACAAGGCTCAATATTAGGACCTTTGTTATTCCTTATATACATAAACAACATAGTCAATTTAAAACTAACAGGTGATTTATCACTCTATGCAGATGACACTTGTCTTTTTCACTTTGCACATTCAATTCACGAAGTTATATCACAAGCACAAAAGGATTTGGACATATTAATGAGTGGTCATACAACTTTCACAATTCACGACTAAACATCTTATATGATTTTCTGTGCTAAAAATAAAAAAATACCTACCTACACAGCACTTAAAATTAATAATATTACTATAAATAGATCTAAAAAAGAAAAAAACCTAGTCCTATTACTAGATGACAAACTTATATGGAACTCCCACATTGACAAAATAACATCAAAATTTGCATCACTTACGGGAGCATTACGAAAGATATCAAACTGCATTCCATATAAAATCAAACCAACTATTTATAACGCCCTAGCCAAGCCACACCTGGACTACCTTATAGAGATATGGGGTTCAGCCGCACAAATGCACATAAACAAGTTACAGCGAGCCCAAAATAAACTAATAAAAACTCTATTCCACTACAATTACCTAACACCAACTACGGAGCTATACAGAAAAACCAAACTCTTGAATATCAAACAATTATATACATACAACACATGCCTTACTATTAAAAAAATTGTAACTAAAAGTATACATTCAACGTTAACATTCACACCAAAATATATTAAACATAACCTTAGAAACAAAAACAAACTTGAATTTTGGCAGCCTCGAACGAAATCCTATGGAAATAAAAATATAATGTGTGAAGGTGTACTTTTATATAATAATCTACCGGATACTTTAAAAAATTGTAATAATATTAAGCCTTTTAAGAATAAGTTAAAATCATAATGTTATAGATAAAATTTTATAACTGCATGTCTTCAATTTTAAAAAATATGAATATTATATTAGTATAGTATTCATATTTTTTTTAAAAGATTATCTTTTTATAATACATATGTACATAATATAGTAACAAATTAAAGTTACATAAGAAAAATTAACAAAAAATTATATAATGCATGCTACCGTGTAAATACTGTTAATATTATCTTTATATATATTGTACTTAATCTCTGTATAAGTGAACAGTGTGTTCTTTAGAAAAAACAAATGTCTTTAACCATATTAATTTACAAGATTATAAGTATACAGGTTACGTTAAGCTATTTAATTCAATTGAATTAATTGATTTCGGCCATGGAACCAAAATTTTCTTAGGTGCCCGTTTTTTTGCAAAGGAGTATATTTATTTTACTTCAAATAAAATAAGAAAAGATATTATTTACGACAATAATTAAGCAATAATATAATCAATGTTAAAAATTCAAACAAAAAAACATAGTATAAAATTACTATGATGCTAACTAACAATTTGCTAATTAACATCTTAATAATTTGTTAATAACAAAGTGTTAACCTTTTAAAGCACGCGGAGCCACAGGTGGTTCGGTTAGCAATAATTTTTTTAGAATTTAACCGTGCGGTGTCAAAGTCCAATATTACTTAACGTTGACGTAATCTGTACAAAGTTCTTAGAAAGTATACTTTGACATGGATATTAAAACAATAAGCATATTGGAATATTAACACACAGCACCATCTAGTTCCATGGTAAGCTACGAGGCTTGTGTTATGGATACCAGGTAGTTGATACATTACACATTTATAAGCTTAAATACATTCATAATAACACCCAAGACTGGGTACAAACATAATTGCTCATCACACAAATAATTGCCCACAGCGGGACTCGAACCCGCGACTGCTGGCACAGCAAGTAGGGTCACTACATACTGAGCCAAAACTGGCGTCAAATAAAAATATTTAAAGCATAATAAGCACAACAATATAATAGAAAAAAAACTTGCTTAAAACTTAATTATACCTACATATTATATCTACATTGAAATCTGTTTAGATATTTTTAGCTATGTTTATAATTAAGTATATTGTATAGAAGGAAGTACGATAAAATAATTCGGCGTCTATTCAATGTAATATTATAGTTTAAACTCTTGTGAAAAACAAAAACAAATCTATTCCACGGGACCGTACATTTTCCGGGATAGAAAGTAAAAAATATCCTATTCAAGACACTAATCTATCTCTGAGCCAAATTTCATACAGATCCGTTCAGGCGTTCTGGCGTGAAAGAGTAGGTAATAAACATCCAACTATCAATCCACTCATCCATCCTGGATGAATGAAGGAATGGATCCATCCTCACAAACTTTCACATTTATAATAATAGTATGGATTAATTAATGGGATTGATTGAGGAAGATTATGACTATCTTATATCACACTACAAACTACGAGTACTATAGAGCATAATAATACTACAAAATATATACATAAATCGCGCGGGTGGAGCCGCGAGATAAAGAAAATAGTAGGTATAGTATTTATTATTACACTACAGTGCCAGTATTAATAAATTGGAAGCAATGAACCCATTGGGATTTTCCCACCGCCAATATAGACTGAAAACCAAAACATGAGCTCTCAAGTTTCTAACGGCATGAGAAGGAATATACCAAATCTAACCTAACATAATATGTAATAAATATTATGTATTTTACCACTTTTGGGGATAGGAATAAAAAATCCTTTCTTAGTCCTTCTTTGTCGGAACTAAAGTGTGATAGTTTTATAAAGTATTTGTTTTTGCCCGCGGCTTGGCTTACGTATTTTATTTATGTATACAACATTACCTCAACAAATAGGCTAGTACAAAAAGCATTTTCAAATGTTGTTTATAATTCCAGATAATATTAAATTCAAACAAACAAGAAACTAACAACCTCTTCAGCTCATATATGACTTACCGTCACTCCGCTTGGGCTCATCCCCAAAAGAGATAATTTTTGTTGACTTAATTAAAAAATATCATATTTTTTTCAATTATCATCAAATTATTGTTTATAAATTCTAGTTCTATTTTACAAATCGTAAGCAAAGTACAGTAGTTATTGAAGTATGCCCGAACGAACACAATTTCCACTTTAGTTTATAATATACGTAAAATTGAAAATGAAAATTAAAACACCTTTATAAAAATATAGTGTATTCAAATAAATATAAATACCTTTGCCCCCTTATCCAATAACGCACGGGCCACTCCAGACCCTATGCCGGTAGCGGCCCCAGTAATTAAGCAAACTTTATTTTGTACGTCCATATCGGTCCGCTCTCTGTCGCTATCAAACACGACTGTGAGGATGCAAGCGATTGCTTCACAGACAGGACCAGCTATTAAAATGTACGAGCACGTATTATTTATAGTCTTTGTAATCATAGTGATGTATATAATATTTCGTTTTAAACTCAAAACTAAAGAATTATTTAAACGGAGGCCGCAAAAACTAATGTCAAAGTCAAGAACAATAGCGTGAATTGCCGTTTATGCTACTACTATGGATTTTACCATAAAAATTATTTACTTTCTTAAAAGAATAAGGGTAATTTTATATATTTGATATATTAGTTGTTAATTTACAATGATATTATATTAATTTGAAAAGAAAAAAATATGAATAATAAAAAAATTATAAGTAACTACAGTTCTCTTGCCCTTGAAAGAGCATTTGAGGGATATCATAATAGTACCTTCTTTTACTTTTCTTCTTTTTTCATTAGCTGAGCGAAGCGACTCACTCACGCTTCGCTCAGCTTCGTCCCTAGGTACGTTTTAACGGTAAGTATAGAGTAGACCATATTTACGTACGTTGTACATACATAGACATAGAAAAGTAGATAAGTATTACAAAAGTACTATATAATATATTCAAATTATTTATTCCTAATTCAATCTTCCACCTTCCTTTTTATCCTCTTATATATAATGTTTTCCGAGATGAAAACTATCCTGTCATTCCTATGTCTTCAAACTATTTCCATACTAAATTCCATTTAAATCGGTCCAGTGGATTAAGCGTGAAAAGGTAACGGACAGACGGATAGAGTTACTTTCACATTTAATATTAGTATGGATATTACAAAGCTGACATTTGTTTGGTGCTGGTCTATTATCATCGGCTAGGGCTGAACGGGTTAGTCAGTCAGTGAGTCGTGACATTGCCTTTAATATGTAATTAAAATAGTTATGGAGAATGTACCTTAAGAGATAGAATATACTATAGGCTTTGTATCATTACGCTACTTCCCAAGGGAGCGGAGTAGTAATCATAAAGGTCAACAAATCGGGCAGACATACATTATTATAAAACTGATATTTAAAATCAAACAAATTTAACGCGGGTGAAACCACGGGACACAGCTAGTTATTACATATATGTATATGTATTTAAATATGTGTCCTACTTAAAATAGAACTGCTTTTAGAAATAACTAATAGTATATGGTAAATTATTCATTGATGTTTATTTTGATATACCTACTATTGCAATACAGAAATGTATGTAAAACTTATTTGATTAGATAACATAGTGCCGCCGGGGGAATGACCTATTTATTTAATTGTATTGAAGGTCATTAATACCAAGTTTCATGTAATTCTGATCATAAATATTTTTTTGGGTTGTATTATAACGTGATTTCCCGTGGGAATAAGATAATCTCCCGCGGTAAAAAAATAGCTTATGTCACTCTAATGCCCGATTTCACCAACATCCCATAACCTACCACTTACGTATGGGATCCCTAGCTTAAAAGTCCCCTAAACTAGCCCCTAATTTAAATTTCGTTTTACGATCGTCTTTAAGCCCATATTTCGAGCACCTAAATTTAGGGGGTCTTTTAATATTTAGGTGACCCCTAACTGTCGGTGAAACAGAAACTATCCCCTAAAAGCCCCCTAAACATGCTTAGGGGATCCCTTAAACTTAGGTGACGTTGGTGAAATCGGGCATAAGCCCTCTATGTCCACACAAAAAATCACGCCAATCTGTCACTCTGTTTCGACGTGAACGAAGGACAAACAAACAAAATGCACGTGCAAAATGTGGAATGATCTTCCTCCCGAGGTTTTCCCTGAGCGCTTTAACAAGAAGGTCTTCAAGAGCCGTATCTTCAGGTCCGTTAAAGGCCGGCAACGCTTTCCCAACTCCTCTTGTGTTACAGATGTCTACGAGCGGCGATAGCCACTTACCATCAGGTGGATCGTTTGCTCGTTTGCCCCTTTTTTCTACAAAAAAAACAAACAAACAAACACACTTTCACATGTATAATATCAAGTTTCACATTTATAATAAAAACTATTTTTTTGAAACTAAATTACCAAGCATTTAAAAATAGTAGGAAGCACTAACGATAAATTGTTTTATTAAATACACTAGCGACTTACCCCCGTTTCTTTGTTTCGTCCGGGTGCATTCCTAGGTACGTTTTAATTTTAATGTGCGCAACCCTCTTTCTTTTTTTAAAATAAAGTAGCCTAAACAATTCTTATAATATCAGCTATCTGCCAGTGAAAGTCCCGTTAAAATCAGTTCAGCCGTTTCGGAGATTAGCCGGAATGCACAGACGAACAGAAAGACAGACAAAGCGACAAAAAAATTAAATACATATTGTGTTTTTCTTAAAAGTACCGTATATAACTTCATACAAAATTTAGTAAAAAGCTGTTATTTTATATTACAAAATGACACTTCATTTTTATTTATATATTAGAGAATCACCCTCGCTTCGCTCGGGTTCATCCGCGTTTGAACGGTAAGTATAGAATAGACTATATATGTACAATGTATTTACATAGGTAAGTATTATAAAAATAAAAAATATATGTCTCTTACTTGAGAAATGATTTATCCCCATTCAATGTTCCACCCCCCTTTTCACCCCCTTAGATATGATATGTTTTCGGGGACGAAAACTATCAAACAATTTCCATCCCAAATTTCATCTAAATCGGTTCAGTGGATTAAGCGTGAAAAAGTGACGGACAGACAGACAGACAAACAGAGTTACCTTCGCATTTAATATTAGTATAGATATATAAAGCTGGCTTTTTTCGAGTGCTGGTCTATCATCATCGGCTTGGGCTTAACGTTGATAAGTTAATCAGTGAGTCGGGACATTGCCTTTAATCTATATCTATACTATAATAAAACAGTAGAGGTCGAATGTCTGTACATAGCAAAAAAATGCAAAAACCCGAGTCAGGGGGATGTAAAAAGACAAATAGAACAAATCCAGATTTTTTTCAAATTTTTTTTTCTCTGTCTGTTTGTCTGTTTGTACGGGCTCATCTCCGAATTTATTGGACCGATTTAAATGAAATTTTGCATGGTGGTACCTTATTTTTCCGGGCAACTTTTTCTTAGATACTTTTTATCCCGGAAAATTAAAGGGTTCCCGTGGGATAGTCAAAAAACTATAGTAACTTATACAGCTTAGTACACAAAAACTACAGATTGGATTTTGATGAAACTTTACAATAATATAGGTCATACATCAGAATAACAAATAGGTTACTTTTTATCCCGAAAAAAGGTACGGTTCCCGTGGGATAGATGTTTTCGTCTATTTGTAACGTATTATGTACACAACATAGACCCCAAAACAATAGTTATTAAAAAATTGTCTGAATTTCAACGAAATTTGGTGAAGTGATAACTTATTACTCGAGTCAGCGTTTAGGATACCTTTTACTTCAAGAAAATCTATCTTTCTGGCGGGAAAATACAATAATTGGTTTTATCGAGTTAAATGTTGACCCGAGTAATAAGTTAACACTACACAAAATTTAGTTAAAACCGGTTTAGTTCTTTTTGCGTGAAACACGCACACACAAACAGACATACAGACAAAGAGACGAAATATTTACGTTACAGTCATTGTTTTAAAAAAATACTTCATATAAGTACATATTTTGTTAAGTTACTGCTTTATTATAGTATAGATAATCTATACATTTAATAAAATTGTAACTAAGCCGAATCCATACATTAAATATTTTTTGAAAAATCTTATTGAAATAAACATTATTATCGATATAGAAGCCGAATCTATAGTTTTTAGAATTTTTGTCTGTCTGTCGTTCACCGCATCACAGAAAAACCACTGGAGGGATTTTGATGAAATTTGGTATGGTGATAGCTGGTTATCCGGGTCAGTATATTATAGGATACTTTTTAACGCGTGAAAATGTCTCATTTCTGAGAAAAAATACAAAAACTGCAATTTAAAAATACTAATATATGTAAAACCTAAGAATTTGGTTTTTGGTCATCTGAACGCGGGTGGAGCTGCGGGCAATGCTAGTATTTTATAAAAAGTTATAATTAAACACACTCTAATAAATTATACCAATTTAATTTAACTTAAGAATTCTATTTTTCGTTTATTTTAATAATAAATGTTTAAACTTATTTTATGTGTCTTTTAAGATACTTGTACTGTTTATTGTTGTGTACTAGAAGATACATTAAATAACTATGCCTAAGGAATACAATTCTACAGGAAAAGTCGTTTCAATATTCTTTCTGGCAAGTATGAATATATTATTATAATAATACACAATTACTTAAATAACGTATAAAATAAGTACGATTTTCTTACACATATATAATACTCTCAAATTTTAATTATTTTCCACATAATATTTAAGTGTAAAAATACAAAAATAGACAAGAGTGATACACGGTAAATTGACTAAAAGTCAAAAATATCACCCGTCATAATTTTATAAGCCTTATCCACTCTATCCGTTACATCTTCTAGGTTACAATTAACAAGCCAAACGCTGCCACTTTTACCAGTTTTGTAGGCTTTAACAGTTCCCTGCGCCGCTTCTTCAGCGCTAAAAAATAAGCACAAAACATTAATATTGACACCAAAGTTTTAAGTCCAAAAAATATCTGCATTGTCTATGTCAACATTGGAAAAATAAAAAGTTGGCTTGTTGATTTTTCTAAGAAATGCATTTTTTAAGATGTCTATCTTAAAAAATGAAATTCTTGAAAAATTTGAGTTTCCTAAGTAAAATAATGCCCGCTGCCCGCCTGCCTGCTCGTATTAAAGACGTCTATCTTGATCTCATTAATACTTACAAATTAAGAAACTACCATTCTACTATAATTATTGTTCTTTAGAACCAGTGAATCAGCATTTATATTTTAAATAAGAAAAATCATCTTACGACTGCATCGGCGAATGTTTGATTATATTTTGAAAGTGCTTTACAATGGCATCATCAAAACTTTTAGTTTCTTGTAACATATTTGTATCTGTTGCGCCAAAACACATACATATAGTCCGAACTTTTGTTTTTGAATAGTAGCCATCTCTCTGAAAATAATAAACAACAGTCATAAGTAAGGAACAATATTTTATTTTAATCTTGTATAAAAATATAAAATAAAAGTCCACCCCAATGCTGCAAGTAAAATGAAGAACAGCGGCCTTTGTAGCTCCATAAATGAAAACCGTTGGTGACAAAAGGGCCAATGCACTGACCGATGCTACATTTATAATAGTGCCTCCCTTTCCACCTTTATCACAACGCATTAGTTCTAAAGCTTTTAGACAAATTGATATAGTAGCAGTCTGAAAATAAAATAATTTTAATTAATTACATACATAAATAGCTTCATTTTATAACATGCTTTATTGTTAATTTTCTGCAGGTGAATTAGATTAAAAATGAAGTTTAGGTTCCGAATTAAGTTATTAGTTTTTTTTAGTAACAGCTTAGGAAATGCGTATGGAAATCAATCGCCTTAAAGTCCCTCTGGTGGTATCAATCGTATATGATAGTTTCGTCTTCTAAGTTATGCTAATCATTAATTACCTAAACCAGGCTGAAATTAGAAATACTGGGGTAGATTGAACTTTGACCTGGAGCGGAAATCGAATCCGCAACCTTTAGAGAAATAACAGTGCCATTCCAATTACACTTAGTACTACATTACTATGTACAAAAATGTCAAAAGAAAATATCTATATCACGTAATATTACACGTAAAATTTTACTTAGTTTATAGTTACGTAATAACTCGAATAACCTATAAAGTAATTCAAAGGATCTTACAAAATTTATTTCTATTTCCTTTTTATACATAGAAACTTCATCATTAGCGATTCCGGCATTGTTCACTACCACATCTATATTTGAATATCTTTCAATTATCTCTTCGAATGCTGCGTCCAACTGGTCGTCTTTTGTAACATCACATTTTATGAACTTCACTCTCTCTCGTTCATATTCATTTGCTAATTCCCTTTCTAAGGCATTACCATTATTTTCATTAATATCCAATATAGCAACAAACTGTAAATGTAAGAATTGTGGTTTATTAATATTGTTCAATTTCATCATAATATAAAAAATGAATAAATACATTTATTAAAATATATATATATTTCAGTCTTTAAATTACTTCTGAAAACATAAGTGTTCGGGTGACGTATTTATCTTTTCCTTCATAAGAAATATGACTGGTATTTATATTATTACTCGTATTTGTTTTTACCTTATACTATACAATTACGACTTAGAATAATTCCTATCCCTTTAGTCCTTTCTTTGCTTCATATTATCATTAATATATAAGTAGTATCTATTTTTACCATTCGTTCAAGGTTGTATTGTATGTATGTATGTGTATTATTAGTTGTATTGTATGTGTATTATTAGTTGTATTGTATGTGTATATTATATATGTATAATGATGATGCCTATGATTAACTGCCTCGGTGGTGTAGTGGCTAGCATGTACGGCTGCACACCCGGAGGTCCTGGGTTCGAGTCCCGGGTCGGGCCAAGTTTAGTTATTGAGTCTTCCTGTATAGTAAGTCTCAGTAACAGCCCGGAGTTGGGAAGTTGGCGGTGTTTCACCCCCGTGCCTCGGAGAGCACGTAAAGCCGTCGGTCCTGCGCCTTAACTCTCACCGGTCGTGTCGAGTGGTCGTCCCACCGGAGTATGAAAGTGATAGGAATAGAGAGTGCACTTGTGTCTGCGCGTACACTTGAGCACTATAATATCTCCTGCGCAGTTGGCTAATCTCATTGAGATTGGCCGCCGTGGCCGGAATCGGCTAGGAGATTTATTATATATAACTGCCTCGGTGGTGTAGTGGCTAGCATGTACGGCTGCACACCCGGAGGTCCTGGGTTCGAGTCCCGGGTCGGGCCAAGTTTAGTTATTGAGTCTTTCTGTCTAATAAGTCTCAGTAACAGCCCGGAGTTGGGAAGTTGGCGGTGTTTCACCCCCGTGCCTCGGAGAGCACGTAAAGCCGTCGGTCCTGCGCCTTAACTCTCACCGGTCGTGTCGAGTGGTCGTCCCACCGGAGTATGAGAGTGATAGGAATAGAGAGTGCACTTGTGTCTGCGCGTACACTTGAGCACTATAATATCTCCTGCGCAGTTGGCTAATCTCAATGAGATTGGCCGCCGTAGCCGAAATCGGCTAGGAGAACATCATATGTATATGTATTTTTGTTTGCGTATGTATTTATACAGTAATTAAAGTATGTATGTATATGTACCTATATTATTTTATTATCTAATCTGCACATCGCATACCGTCTCTGCCACTCACTTCTCCTCCACCTCAAGGTTGTTTGAAAGAGATCGCTTTTAGCGATAAGGCCGCCGCCTGCTGTATTTATTTTTTGTATATTATTTTTGTTATGTTTGTTTCTTTTATAAGGTGTACGATAAAGAGTCTATATATCTAAGACTTACGAAATATTATCTGATTTGAAAAGAAAATATATCCTATTTACAATCTAAGAACTAGTATAAGATACGATTGCTACGCCCTATTTTCTGTTAAAATTATTATTCTGTTTATAAATTACTAAATTTTACCGTAACTCCGCTTGCATGGGGTATATATTATATCCTATAAGTCAGGGAGGTACAATCCAATATATATACATCAATACATCTTATATCCTAACTAGCATTGACCGCGGCTCCGCCCGCGTTCAGATGATCAAAAACCATATTCTTAGGTTTTACATATAAGTATACTCTTACTTTGCAGTTTTTGACATTAATTAAATTTTTTTTGTAATTTTTCTCAGAAATGAGATATTTTCCCGCGGTAATAAGTATCATATATGTTGACCCGGGTAACCAGCTATCACCATACGAAATTTCATCAAAATCCCTCTAGTAGTTTTTCTGTGATGCGGTAACAGACAGAGAGATAAAAATTCTAAAAATTATAGATTCGGCCTCTGTATCGATAATAATGTTTATTTCTATAAGAATTTCCAAAAAAATATCTAATGTACAGATTCGGCTTAGTAACAATTTCATTATATGTATATATATCCACTATCATCACTTTACTGCGCAGTGTGAATAAGTAACATGCTGACTCATAATTTTTTTGCATATTTTATAATATTATATTTAGCATATTACAAATAATAGTAAACAAATAATAGATTAAGTTATATGAATATGAAATTGTGAATTCCTATCAAAATGTATGCAGCCGTATTTATTATTATCATCTCAATAATTTGGTAGTTTTACCTAGAAAGATTTCCGGGTGTTCAACGCCTGGAAATAAAGATCAAGATCGAGATCGATGTCTCGATCTTGATCTTTAATTCGTGCTTTTTCCGATTTTTTTTCTGACTTTTTGATAAAAATTGTTTTGTGTTAAATTAAACTAGACAAAAATTACTATAGTTTATATAGTAACCTTTATTTGTAAAATGAATGGTTTTATCGTACCAGCGCTGGAAAGTCTACATCAATACTAGTTTTGACCAAAAACTCATTTCCATACAACCTTGAGGTTAGAGTAAGTTGCGCGATTTTTTTGTAATTTTCCCAGTAGGTATAATTGCAATGGATTTTTCAAAAAAACAGATCACTTTATTAGAAGCCCTGGCTGTAGTGTACGATAGACTTGTACTGATGATTCAAGCAGAATATTTATGCTCTGTCGGCAGTTCTAATTTTATCTGCGATCGACCCTATATCCTATAGGCCATGGTAGGCCAGTTTTTCAACGCGTGGTAAAATATCATTCGTAAATAAAACTATTCATTTAACAAATAAGAAAAGTTTCTTTTATATTTTATATTAATTATAGTTTTTTTTATTTATGACATATTGTACTATTAACGGATACAAAAAATATAGAAAGTTTGTTATTACATAATTTTACTTTAAAATGGTTTGATGATCAGTATCGTGCAAAAAACATAAGAGCTCAAATTTCAAAATATACCTACCATACCTGTATTGAATTTATTTTTTGTTTTTGTTCATTATATTATGTTTTTATTTATTCTTTATTTTACTTGAATATTTTATGCATATTTTTATGATATTTTATTCGAGAACATTTATTTACATATACTTATTTATGTTCTGTAAGAATTACATAAGCAAATTATAAAAATCTCTGATAAATTCAAATTCAAAATATTTTATTCAGCATTGTATTATTACAATTTGTTACTGAACGTCATGAGTCTACTACCAGTTCGGAAAGAAGAAGCCTCAGACCTGAGAAGAACTGGCGAAAGAAACTCAGCGGGACTAATATTAACTTATTATCTTTTTTTAAAGTAAAATTATAATTTACAATATTTCGATCAAGTTGAAGTAGCCTGGAGGCGATCATTTCATTCCCAAGGTGTGCCATTCTCTATAAAATCATTAATTGTATAATAAATAGCCTTAAGCACATAAACGTATTTTAACAATTTTTTTTGAATTTGGCGATAGAAGCCTTTTGAAGCGAAAAATGTATTTTTTTTCCGTAATTTGATCGCGGGTTCTGCTAGTCCTTAATCCTTAATAAGTTTATAATTTAAATTAATCCTAAATAATCACAAGGTATTAATATTGGCAGTAGCCGACTTAGGGGTAGGATAAACTGGGATTTAAAGCCAGGGATTCCGTCCTCTGGAGTTCTTGTCCCTTATTGTGATAGAGTCCGAAGCTTGGGTCTCATTATGGAAGGTGTCTTTGGCACTCTTTTTCACTTTCTTAAGCGTCTCCAAAATTTTTTTACATTAAAACAATAAAATACGTTATTACAGTAACTACTGTCATGTTTATTACAAAATTTATTTATTTATATATATATATATATATATATATATATATATATATATATATATGTATTTTTGTATTTATTTGAATTAATATTATATTCTTTCAATTAATTTGTTACAGTTGTATTATAAGGTTTATGTATGTTTGTCACATTTTTTTCTCATGAATCCGACACTTAAGTGACCCGTTACATATATATACCTATCTCTCATGTGCATAGCTTGACTGGAAGAAATCTCTTCTCGTGATAAGTCATTCCATTGCATTGTAAAGTAGAATATATGTATATCAAGTAGTGTAGGAAATTGATATATTCGCCTACAGCGATTGATTTTTATACATTTTTTACTGAATAGTTGTGTGGTGAAGTCGAAGGTGTTTCTAAAATTTCTAAGGCTGAAATAATTGTTTTAAGACAATGTTGAAGTAAGTGTAGGTTTAAGTCTAGTTAAAATTCATATAAATATTATTAGTAAAATTATGTATTTTACCTTGACTCCTTCTTTTAGAAATTCCCTTACAATGGCAGCGCCTATTCCACTTGCTCCACCAGTAACTAACGCGACTTTATTTTTCAAATCACACATGTTTGAGCTACGATGGAGAGTTTATGACTGACATAAATTGTATCATGTAAACAACATAATAATATCCTTGACCTTCGCTTCAGTAAGGAAATTATTATAAGATATACCTACAAAAATATATCTATACTAATATTATAAAGAGATAAAGTTTGTGATCTTGTGAGTTTGTGACGTTGTAGGGGGTAATCTCTGGATCTATGAACCGATTTTCAAAATTCTTTTACCAATAGAAAACCACGTTCTTTCTGAGTGTCATAGGCTATATATTAACCCGAAGAATGAAAAGACTTTTTCATGGTAGTCGGATTTGCAAAGTAAGTCGGAGAAAAAACGGTTGAACGAAAACGTTTCTTACAAACGCTGCCTTAACGATGAGAGTTATATGATTATGTTCTAGAGAAAAGTTGTAGAGCTCAATAATGCCTACAAAAGAGTCAGCGACAGCATATGTCTAACTTTTATATTTATGTCACAAAAAGTAGTTTTTAAGCTATTGCATAGCTTCTATCGCGGGCCTTGAGCGTGGGGACCGAATCCAGAAATTCATTTTGTTTTCAATGTTCACCTAAAGTTCCAAATATAAAAAAAATGAAAAATGTGTTTAATCTAATTTTAAAGAAATATTTAAAGTTAGGGAAAGTTAAACAATGAATAAATATATAGTATTTTAAAAAATATATAAAATTCGATGATATTCTTGTATTTCTGACGGCAATAATAGGAACTACGTTATGATAGCACGATCTTTGATAATAATTATGTATACTCTGTTCACAGATGGCGCCCAATATAATAAAAAGTTGATAAATGTAATTAAATTATTTTGTTTTACTTTGATACCGATATGACTCATAGGTTTATATCGTTATTCCTCGTTTCAATTTTTTTTGCGTTAAAAAATAATATTTATATACATAAGTCTATGCAATATATAAAACATGCAATGAAATGTAATAATAAAACAAGAAAATAATGTTTCAAATTGGACTCGGTAATAGTATATCGGTATAGTGACCTTGAGAAGTCTTACATAGAGGTACCTACAACATTGCGCAGCGGCAGCTCGGGGACAGCTTTTATCGCCAACTATCATTTAGAGCATTTATATTTACAACTAGAGATGCTAGATGTCGCCTTTTTTTAATTCTCACTTGCGCCATCTATTATCCATTTTAGGACAAAAAAATAGCGCGCTGTGTAAGCGCGGATTAGCAAAGTCAAATATTTGTATGGACTGGACTGTACAGATGTACTAGTATTATATGATCTGTGATATAACTGAATTTCGTTACGATTAGCACAAACCACGATTTTAAGCACTAAATATATTTTTATTCGGTTTTAACCACTACCTTCAATTGTACTCATTTCTTGTTAACTTATTTTTTCTTAACACTGCAATTCAGACCTTTTCTGGTTATATTTTGTATTTAAAAAAATATTACGGAGCATCTTAACGTTAGCATAGTTGCGCCGTCTCCCCACGGAACGGTTTCCGTAAGTTACGTTTCCATAGGTTGTTTCCAAAAGTTAGGTTTCGCAAAGTTAGGTTCCCGAAAGTTAGGTTTCGCAAAGTTAGGTTTCCGAAAGTTAGGTCTCCGTAAGTTAGGTTTCCAAAGTTAGGTTACCGAAAGTTAGGTTACCAAAAAAGAAAAGACCTCGGAAAAGTATAAAATATTAAATAACAAAGTAAAGTAAAATTCAAGGTTTCATAAAACACATGTATGTGATCGATAAAAATATATTTGAAATTTATCCAAGATTTATAGTATATATAGTATTATAATAACATGAAAGCATTACAGTAACATAATCGTTTAAAACTTAACTATTAATAAATATAATAATCATAAAATTATTGACACGTTCGAGAAATTCTGACAAGAATTTACGATGTACCTAATATTTGTCTTACAATGTTTATGCCTTGATAATATTGTTTATGGTTAGGATAGACATACAAATACTGATCCCGTAGGTTCCAGTGCGTGCGTGTATCGTTAGGTGTAGAAGAACATTTTAACATTGGTTAGGTTTTATCTCAATAGAGACAATTTTCCATAGACTACGCTCTATAGACTTTTGACAGTTTGACTTGACATTTACTGTATACACCACTAGATGTCGCTAATAAGACTAAATGAAGTGATTTGTTAAAATAAAAGAATATATACAAAAAAAAAGCAGTTCTAAAAGATGTAGACAAGACAAGACTCTCTTACTTTTAAATACAGCCTTTTTCAATATAATATTTAACAATAAAAATATATATACGTATTTCTTTATTTACTGAGTTATTGTCAAAATATTTTTCTTGATCGTTGTAGTTTCAGTCTTCAGATGGGAAAAATGATTTCTATGAAATCACTATACAAAGTATACATGATGTATGCATATTATATCAGCATATGACACCTGCTTTAACGTTTTTATTTTATGGTGTAATCATAATGAAAGCATAGCAGTATGATAAACGAAAGGATACATGATTATACTACGAAATATGTGATAATAAACTTTTATTTAGTATTTTGAACATGCCCATAATATTAGCAGTTTTCTTATAAGTATTGCTTAATAAAACTATTTTTATAAATCACTGCTGTAAATGCTTTTATTTTTTTATAACATTCACTAAAACTTTAACTTTTATTATAATGTATAATATTCTAAAAAATATAGTATGGTTTATTTACAAAATTTATGATAATTTTCGAAACATTATTTCATAAAATACCTTCATACATTATTACAATATGATATTATTAAAAACGAGTTTTTTTTATATATTATGTATATGAAATATGTGTGTATATATATATATATATAATTTGTGCAATTTTTCTTATCACTATCCAGGATCAGATATTAAAATCTGTTAATGTTAAATATAAGTATTGCGCCCGAACTTCGTAGGCGATATTATTGTGAGAATAGTCCAATTTTCGTAATATCCATACAAGAGCTACCAAAATAAATGCTTCAGCACAGACGATGCCGAGTACTGCGAGTGTAACTAATTTAACGCATAATTTAGAATCACAGATCGATGTCCTCGACGCGCGAGGGCTATTTGGTCGCGGAGCTTTGGCGTGGGCGCAGTAGGGCGCAGTAGGGCGCGGTAGGGCGGCTAGTCCCCGGCGCCGAGCGCGCGGCAGGTGGCGTCGTTGGGCGCGCCCAGCGCCAGCGTGCGGCCGCTCGTGGTCCAGGTCTGCGAGCGCCGGCGCCGCACGCGCCGCGGCGCCGCGCCGAGCTCCGAAGTCATCGTCACGTTGTAGCTGTGTATGGAGAAAATTATATTATGGCGCAGTAATTCCACAGAATTCCAATGAGTTGTTTGGAATTCTAGCGAAATAAAAATGAAAGCTTCGTCAGCGATGAGCGGCATATACGGCGGCGACAGTGTGAATAATGACCTGTGTCGGAAGTCGGTCGTGGACACGCGCACGCAGAGCGAGACGCCGTCGTAGAAGTCGAGGTCGGCGGCGATGTGCAGGCGCGGCTCGGCCTCCAGCGCGGCGGCAGCGGCCAGCGCGCCCCACGCCGACGCCGCGCGCGCCTCGCCGCGCGCCGCCGCCGCCGCGCGCAGGCTCAGCTGCGTGCGCGCGCTGCGCGACCATAGCGACACCTGCGCCTGCGCGTCCAGCGCCAGCGCCAGCGCCGCGTCGCGCCGGTACAGTAGCGGCGCGCCGCCCAGCAGCACGACGGCCGCGCGCGCGCCGCCGAGCGGCCGCACGGCGCGCAGCACGGGCGTGGGCTCGCTGGCCGTGCCCGCCCACACGTGCGCCAGTAGCTCGGCCTGATTGGAGAACAGCGTGACGCCGGGCAGGCGCGCGCCGCCCACGCTGAGCGCCAGGCCGCCACTCGCGGGCTCGTCGTCGCCGGGCTCGTCGTCGACGGGCGCGCCGCCGACGAGCGCCTGCAGGCCGCGCGTCCACAGCTCGACGGCCAGCACGTCGTCCGCGGCGCGCGGGCCGGCGGCGCGCAGGCGCACGAGGCCGCGCCGCAGCGCGCCGCCGCTCTCCAGCTGCACAGAGTCGAGGCGCGCGCGCCAGCCGCCCGCCGCCACCTCGCGCTCCAGCACCGACGTCGTGCCTGTCACGGTTTACATTGTCTCACTTTAAAAAGGATTACATTTCTTATTTAATTATATTTGGACATTCCGAGATTTGAAAAAACGTGTGTGAATCAGCTCCGACGACACGACGCACGTCTGGAGTTTACTTTCACAAAAAAAAAAATAGAATTAAATAACAATTAAATTAGTAATTTTATATAAGACAATGAATAAAACGAATCTATAAGACATGAAAGAAAAGTACTTTAAAATTTAAATATTAAATGTATCAAATTTTACTCGAAGGAAACAATTCCTTTACTTCAAAAATTAATAATAACTGCATTTTTGAAGTTATACTTCTTTTCAGACGTTTGGAAAAAAATATGAGAGTAAAATTTTTACGATGCGCGCGCACACCGACAGCCAAAAAGCGACATAATGAAATTAGCTGATAACTGTTTGTTGCCATGGTAACCATTATCTGACAAATGATATATCATGAACGAATTAACCACAATTCGTCCATGTGATATATATTATATTCTTTCCATAAATGACATTCTATAAATATATGATTGTAATATGACTAATATTTAATTATTTTATTAATTTATCATTCGTTTTACAAGCAGTCGTAACATACAGGAACTATTATTAATATAATTATGGAACTAACTGATAGATATTAGAGTCTATGGTAAGGAAAAAATCTTTCGAACCAACATTTATAAAACTAACTATACAACTAAAAATGCAAAAATAGTTGCATGAGAAAACCTGCATGTCTGAGAGTATCTAGAAGTTTTCGAAAGACAAGTCTGTCGGCCTCGAGCTCAGACACGCCCGGCCTCAGCGGAGGGACGTTTAAAGGGTTGTAGAAATACATAAATACATCATGAATATTTAAGGGAATTTTAAAGGGCTTTTTTTACTTTTATAAAATAAACACTTTATGTTGTGATGATGGTTAGGATCGATATGTGCATGTTGTAAGATTCCACAGTTTTCATTAATTGTTAGATACAATGTTTGTTTGAGAGATTTTATCCATATCATAGAACCTATCGATTAATTCGATGAAATAGTGACGATGTACTTTTTTTTTTATTTATAATGGGTTCGATTAAAGGTTGAGGCAACCTCTTTTAAAAATAATGCAGTTATTTTTATTTTTAAAAATAAAAGAATGTTTCTTTTAAGTAGAATTCGATAAGTTTCAATATTTAAGAAATAATTATTTTTAATTTCTTCCATGTCCCATCGATTTGTTCCAATCTGTATATAAATAATTATAACATAATTATTAATATATCTTATAATTATATTTATTTATATAACAAAATTTTAAAGTCATGTTTTTTTCGTATTCTTCTTAGCAAGCCCTTTTATTTAATATCTATATCATGTGGAAGAATAAAAAAACCAGTCCGCCATGTGAATTTACAATGACGTCAAACGTTACGCTTTTGAGTTAAAGCTTGTATTAATTTTACTCCATATATAAGGGTCTAGCCCAGCCATACTCAACCTTTTTTTTATAGGAGCCACAAACACGCTTCAGTCATGGTGTCGAGGGCCGCAAGCAAAAATTATTTAGGTCTTAATGAAAACGTAATTCCAAGTTAACGATGTAGTTTTTTTTAACAAAGATTTATGTTATAATGCGATTTTTAATGCTGCCGCATGCGGCCCGCAGGTTGAGTATAGTGTAGTGCGGGTCGTAGCGTAGAGTATAGCGGGTCTAGCCGTACTTCTATGGCGAAATTGCCCCCGATATGAACCTATATTGTAACCAATGTTATATTGCAGAGGACACTTACAGTAATTGATCCAGTAGATATTAGCTTCATATCTTAGTTAATTGCTGCCTCACGTCACAAATCATAGCTATATTATTGTATGTTTAATTAAAATTAATTTAGTACATTTTGCGTGCAAGAATAATAAACATCCATACATCCTCACAAACTTTCGCATTTATAAATATTAGTAGGATTATTTATCGAATGTGTGCTAGATATAAATCTTATATAGTTCGCCCAGCAGAAATATTATCCAGTGTTTTTTCTATAAATATGAAGCAACATAGTAATGATGACTAATAAAAGTATTTTTTATGAATATCGGTTTAATTTCTATTGAGAAAATATTTATTTTATTTATTTACTTTTAAGCCTTTCGTGCCCAATATTGAAAAACTAAAAATGTTATGCAAGATAAAAGTGTCAACATAGTGGTCGTGAAGTAACCGCTCACTTACTTTTGACTTTTTTCAACATGTTGCACCTCTTGGATTTTAATGAAACTTGGCATGCTATTAGACAATATATAGACAATTATTATGTATTTTTTTCAAAGTGGTAATTTGATTATATCTGATAGAAATCGATTGACAAATTTTTTATTTGCATTTTTTAATACTTTTATTTATGCTTGGCCCATAGGAAACAGCTATAAAATAAATTTTAAAACGTATTATAACACTTACATTTAGTTTTATTTTGCTAGCTATGAAATTAACTAAGATATTATATCGCTTTGAAAAAAAGTCGCCACCGGACAGTTTTTTTCAAATAGCTCCTCAATTGACTAAGATATAGAGCTAATATCTACTGGATCAATTATTGTTAGTGTCCTCTGCAATATAACATTGGTTACGATACAGGTTATTGCCGAAATAAATTTATTTATTTAATATATTTTTTTTAGGTATTATAGTGTTATTTATAGCCTGCAACGGTTCGATTATAATTTATATCGTAATAGCAACGGGTGACGGTAATAATGGAAGAATGTGATAATATTTTAGAAAAAGCTTCCTTTATATCGTGCGGTATCGTGTAACAATTTTCATTGGAAAAGAGTAAGAAGCGGTAGGCGGCGGCGGCGTACCGGGCTGCGCCAGCTCGTCCCAGCCGCGCAGCTCCTGCGGCAGCAGGCGCAGCAGCGCGGCCAGCGGCGCACGGCGCGGCGCCAGCGCGGCCAGCCTGCGCGCGGCCAGGCGCCGCAGCGGCGCGGGCGCACTCTCGCGGCGCAGCGCCAGCAGCGCGCGCGGCAGGGCGAAGGGCGCGCGCGCGCTCACGCGCAGCAGCAGGTCCAGCGCGGCGGCGCGCAGCTCCAGCGCGCGCGGCTCCAGCGCCAGGCGCTCCAGGCGGCGCAGGCGCGCGGGCTCGGCCAGCGCGGCGGCCGGCAGCGCGGCCAGCGCACCCAGCGCCTCCAGCGCCGCGCCCCCCGCGCCCTCCGCCTGCTCCAGCAGCACGTCGGCGAGGTCGGCGCGCCGCATGTTGCCGAGCGCGAGCACGCGCACGCGCCGGCACTCCTCGTCCTGCACGATACGACGGCAGAGTTAACTTAAAACATTATCTACTGACACAGAATATATAAATTATTAAAGAGTGAACACACGAATAACAATTAATAATTTATTGTATTATAGCATAAACGATATATGTTTAATTATATTGACACATAATTATTAATAATTCCCCTTCAATACTTTAATTGTACTCCAGTCATGGGTATTTATTTATAATATGTTTGTATTTAAAGTTATACATGTACAGTGTATCAACTACCTGGTATCCATAACACAAGCCTCGTAGCTTACCATGGAACTAGATGATGCTGTGTGTTAATGTCCCAACATTTATTTATTTATTTAAAACTTTAACAACTGTTGATAAAATTAAAACTTAAAAAAAAAGCAGTCATGAGGACTACCCACATAAGTGAAAACTTAAAGCTACAAACAAACAGTTGTTATTTTTGGATAAAATCTTAAATGAAAGTTTATAAATTAAAATAGTTTACATTTAAGTTCCTCTTCCCCTTGGACCGCCGTAAGGTGCTAACGTGCTGACCTGCTACTATTTCGCGTTTTTATATATTAAAATTAATTCCGCATAAAATAATAGGAGTGCATAAAAAAAGAAGATATGAGAGAGAGAGAGATATAATATAATATATATTCGATATAAATGCAGAGGACAGAGTTATACTTTGGAACTGAGTGGGGTCAAGGACGAAATGAGATCTCACACTCACACACGCTCACACACACTCACACACACTCACACACACTCACACTCACACACACTCACACTCACACATACTCACACACTCACACACACTCACACACTCTCACACACACACACACACTCTCACTCACACACACACTCACTCACAAACACACTCACTCACAAACACACTCACTCACTCACTCACACACTCACACACACTCACTCACTCACTCACACACACACACTCACTCACACACACACACTCACTCACACTATCACACACTCACGCACACTCACACACACACTCACACATACAACCACACACTCACACTCACACACACACTCACACATACTCACACACACACATTCACACACACACTCACTCACACTCACTCACTCACACTCACTCACTCACACACTCACTCACTCACACTCACTCACTCACTCACACTCACTCACTCACACTCACTCACTCACTCACTCACACTCACTCACTCACTCACACTCACACACACTCACACACACACTATTTTACTAACAAATAATGTAAAACTTAATTTGCTATAGCAAGTTACTTTTGATGTGGCTATGGAAGAGCGAGATTGTCTGTCACAGGTGTTTTGTACACTTAAAAGGCGATCTCAACCTTATTTGTAATTTGTAAACATTTTGATAATGAATAAAAAAATTTTTTTTCTTATTTCATTTTTTTTTTTAATTTATATTATATTTTTGTTTCTTTTTTAGTAGCTTCAATTTAGTTTTATTACATATTTTTATTCAATTAGTTTCACTTATTATTTTTGTAAAACATACTTATTCAGCATCCGTCACTTTTGATGACAAATCAGTTCAATTGTAATAATTTAGGGTAATATAGGTCTAATTGTATTCTTATTGTTTTAGATTTTTTGTATACGACTGTTTTTACCTGAATAAATAAATAAAAAAGAAAAAAAATATCTGGCTTTGACATCTATCGGCACTCTAGGTGTTCGCGTTAACACGTCACGTGACCATGTCGATGACCAGTTACATGAAATTACTCCCCAACCAAACCTGTCTATAGAAGTTTTCACTTCAAAAAAAATACAGCCAGGTTGAGGATTTCCTCCTTTTTACAGAAGTCAGTTAAAAATCTATTACGGAAAATGAATGAAAAGAAGAAGTAACTTTTGATCTAATCGGATTATAAGGTAATGGACCGGTTCATTATTCAGTGTCTTTAAAAATTGAATGTTAATAATTACTTCTTTTTATTTATAAATTAAACATCGTCAACGCCGTTCTCGTAAATAGACGTAGCGACATCACTCGAAAGGTGAATGATTATTAACGAGTGTCACCTTGCAGCGCGCGAGGTCGGCCACGAGCTGGTCGCGCAGCGCGCGCGCGTCGGCGGGCGGCGCGGCGCGCGCGGCGGCGCCGGCGGCCAGCAGCGCGGCCTCGCGTAGGGCGGGGGCGGGGGCGGGCGCGGCGCCCAGGCGGGCGGCGGCGCGCAGGGCGGGCGGCGGCGCGCGCGGCGTCAGCGCCAGCGCCTGCAGGTAGGCGCGCGCGGGGCGCTCCGCCACGTCACCACCGCGCAGACGCAGGAAGCGCGCGGCCGCCGCGTGCGCTGCCGCGCCCGGCGCCTGCCCCAGCGCCGCGCACACCACGTCGCTGCATAAGGACAAACACTATTTAGAAACTTACACAAATATGTTAATTTAATATACTGGTGGTCTTATATAGCTACAATTTTACATTATTATATTAGTTTACAGTGATTTTTTTTTTAATATAAAAAAAAGGAAATATCTATACACATTATAAAACAAAGTCTTACGTCGCGTCTAGCCGTTCTTTTAAGGTGGACTCACAACAACCATTTTTATGGTTCTCAAATTGGGTCTAAAATAACGCTTTATAGGCGGAAGTGTTTTTACTGACTTGATGTTAATCATTATCTTAATAAATATATTAAACAACTTAGGCATTTAATTTAGATCAGAACTGACCTTTGCACCATTTAAATTAGATGAATATCTTAGAAGATATCGCAGAATGGAAATAACTAACGAAACGAAATAATACGAGGATGTTATAGACCGTAATGTCTATATATGCATTGTATGTGCGGCTTATCGCTTAGAAGACGAAACGGCGTTAACGACTTGTTCGTTTTATACAAATATATTACGAAATTATCCGCACCTAGTCGGGACGCCCGCGAGCGAAGTGAGGATAAGTCGCTAGTAATATTATATAATTAGTTGTAGTATTGTGATTTGTGGTAGAAGTAGTATGTGGTCTACAATGTGCTCACCAATTTAAAAAAATATTATTTAATACAATATGATTGTTATTAAGTAATCATTTTTGTATACAACCAAACCCACTCACACACGCACACATACACACTCATATACACACATACACACTTTTATTTTCTCTCTGTGTCTTGTAAGTTAGAAGTAATTTATTTAATTTTTAATATTTTTTTTTCTTTTTCCTTTTTTGTTTACATTAACTTACCTTATTATAACGTAATTTCATGCAATGAATATGTACGCCTGATATGGGAAAGTAATAGCTCCTGAAACACAGTTTTCTAGTTCAGGAGTTAGGGCTGTGTGTATTTGTTATCTTTGTGTTGTTTAAATAAAGACTGTTTTTTTTTATGTTATATTATAATACTAGCGACTCACCATCCCTTCGCTCGGGTTCGTCCCTAGGTACATTTTGAATTAAAATGGATGTTATCCTTAAGAGATAGACATAGGTATGCCATCGCGGACTTTTCTGTAGACCTATATAAGATCACAATTCTACCATACAATATTTTGTTATATCTCAAAGGGATTTGGCAGCGTTTTCGTTGCAAGCTCCCAGACGGCTTATTTTTTTCCGAAATCTCCAACAAATATCGTTATATTTTAACCAATGTATAGAAAAACTTAACAAATTATATACTAAAACCTTTCTCTAGAATTACTCTATCTATTAAAAAAACCACATCAAAATCCGTTGCGTAGTTTTAAAGATCTAAACATACATAAGGATAGACAGACAGCCGGAAGCGACTTTGTTTTATACTATGTAGTGATTTTATACTATTTTCTATTAATTTGTTTTTACTGTTTGTTCTTTTTATAGATCATTGAGATCGAATACGTAATTATACGTAAATATCATAAAATTTATTTTTCTGTACTTAGCACACCACTTGAATGGTTCTCCGGTCTGCTAGCACTATAGCAGTACTACTCTACTCACAGCAGCAGCGGGTCGGCGGCGTCGTGCAGCAGCGCGTCCAGCGCGGCAGCGGCGGCGGGCGTGGGGCGGCGCAGGGCAGCGCCCAGGCGCAGCGCGGCGCGCGCGTCCGCCAGCCGACCGCCCTCGCCGCCCGCCCCCGTCCCCGCCGCCCGCACCGCCTCCGCCACCGCCGCCTCCAGCTCCTCGGCGCCGCTCTGCAACACGCACGCACTGTCATCTCAGACCGTCAACGACGCATTTATGAAATCAAATCTCACTAATCTCAAAAACTTTTTTGTTTCAAAGTCGCCTCACAAGGAATGTTCCACAAATTTGAAATAAAATTGTACTAAAAATTTCGCCACTATTATGGCCATAATTGCACAGTTTATAAAAATGATAATTATAAAGTGTTCATTTGTTCTATAGCTACATAACTTATTATAATTTTAGTTTTTTCTTTTCTTGTGAATAATATACGAATTATTCTAGATATAATTCTCTTAAAAAAGAAGTTGTAATAAATTAACATTATTATTCGAAGTAGCAAATAAAATACAAATATATTCATGAGTCTTTTAAAATATAAAAAGTAAAACTTTATAGTTTTATCTTAAAAGTTCAATGTTGTGTGACACATTTGATAGAGAGTTGAGAGTGTAGCGCTGACGTGGCCGGCGCGCTATCGCCCGTCTCGTGTTTACATTATAATTAGTTATCGCTTCTGATTTCTCGCCTCGGAGTTCGGACCGACGACGCGAGCATTGAAATCCTACTCATTCCTATATTATTTATATATTAACTCTGCACATTTCTCAGATAAAGTTCTCAATCAGTGAAGCGTAACAAAATGTAAAAACTGTAGGTATACTTGAAATGGTAATTTATAGAGAGCAGATTAGAACTAGTTTTTTGCTCAAACAATAGGCATCAAAAAGTTTTGGAGCCACACTCGCCACTGGATAGTTACCGGCGGGTCGAGCAGTGCGGCCAGGTCGGCGGGCGGCGGCGCGGCCAGCGGCGCGGCTGCCAGGGCGGGCGGCACGGCGCCCAGCGCGGGGGCGGGCGGCGCAGAGGCGGGCGGCGCGGCGGCGCGCGCCAGCCGCAGCCACGCGCGCGCCTTTAGCCCGGCGCCCTTGGACGCCTCTCCCAGCGTAAGCAGCTCCTCGGCGTACACCTCCTGCAGCGCGTCCAGCGTCGCGCTCAGCGTGTAGCGCGTCACGCGGCGCGCCTCCACCTCCTCGCTGCCCTCCTCATCCTCCAGCACCCACTCCGCCGACTGGCACGCCGTCTGTACATACATAATTACATTTACAGATGTCCATTATGATTATACAACTCCTCCTTAATGTCATATTTAATCTCAGATCATTTCAAACCTAGTCATACCTTAAATTTTCTGATGACTTGCATAGAAGCAGATTCATAGGTAACTTTACACATTCCAGAAACATCTGTTTCGTTGCCCTCCCCATCGACAACTTGAAACTGAATAAAAATGTTTATTTAAAAAAATATATATATCAATTTTTACTTAACATTTTTTTGTTATTTATTATAGTACAACTGTAATATATGAAAACTAATATTTTACCTGGAACAAGCTAATGAGTGATCTTTTAAAATTTTGGATGTCTAACAACTCATTAGGGTCTAAGTAGGCCGTCTGGATGAGTCCATGTTTCCAATGTGCATAAAATGTGGTATGGGAATAGGAATCCCAGATGGATTTCATAGGCATATACTCTGCACTAACATGTTTCCCTCTCGAGTACAATTGAGGAGATATTAGCTGCAAAGTATATATTTTTATTATTCATATTTAAAAAATATATATTTTAAAAATTATATAGCATTATACACACAAATTTATCCTTAATATAATTAAAATACGTATCATTCAACTCACATCAAATTTAAGCATAAACTCGACGTTAGACTCGGTCCACACGGGATGCACGTCGAGTGCGGCCTTCACCTTATAGCTGACCTCTTTATCCCGGCGGGAAGCGTCGTTAAGGAGCACCGTCGACTCCACGCTGTAGGAAACCGACGCCTGGAATAGCTTTATTTCGCCATAGTCGGCCCGGCTCACCGAAGACGAAAGAGCTAAGTTTATTACACTCATATAAAATAAAAATGCAATCGACCTATTCATCTCGATATATACAAAACACTATTTTATTAAAAAGTTACTTAAGCCATAACAACAACTTCTAAACTTCCAAAGTTAAGCTACAGCTAACAAGTGACACGATACGACTAACGAGTAACGACTTTTAACATACACTGGTCACTGAAGTGAAATATCAAATATTCATACATTGTTGATTGTACCGTTTACTGAGTAGTGAGTTATTTCAATTTGAAATGAATTATGAAGTTTAGTTAAGTTCAGAGTTGTCACTTGTCAATTTGACACTTGACGTTTATGGTTTTATATAATGTTGCCATTTGTCAAATACCCTGTTTTCAAGCAAGCCAACTTCAATAGAATCAGAAATCTTAATAACTACAATATAATTAAATATCTTAATTAAATATATTTAATATAACTACATAAACACGCTAACCTCATAAGCGTGTTATTGACTTTATTGTATAGACTGAATTGTATAGAACACATTACATAGCAATTGTGGCTATGTTAGAATTAGAAAAGTTACTTTATGGCGTGTAAATATGATAAGTGCTGATGACACACATTTAAAATATTCATTAAAGATCAAGAGTTACTAGAAATTAGACTAATCATTGGAATGCGGCGGTAGAGATGTGGTATATGCTTATTTAAAAGATATTATTTAACTGTTGTCTGTTGTCCGCAGGTATCGATAATTAATAAAGATTTTTAAAATTGTACAATATAAAAAATCTTTAATTTACCAGCACATAACGATAAAACTAAAAATAGGTACCTATGAATGTACCTTATACATGACATCAATGAATGAATTTAAATCTTTATGCATTAATGATGTATGAAGGTTTTCCTAAGTGTATATGAAAGTCCCATGTTTTTACAAACATGAGGTACGCAAAGATGACGTATTCTGGTTACATGTAATTTGTAAATGAACTAGCGGGCGAAGCCGCGGGCAATGCTAGTACGACAAAATAGTAAAAAATAAATAAAGATATATTTCATTAAAATATTTTTAATTGCAATTCAGTAACAACAAACACAACTCATTTTAAACTTACATTATACATTTAAACAAAGCAACAAGTAAATATATTGAGCATTCACATCTCTTTGATATTATAAATTATGCTTAAATATAAGTATACCGTGCTCCGAGTGATTTAAAAAAAAAAAACAAATAACAAGTATGAATAAGTAGGTATGTTTAAAGAAATCAACAAAGACTCATTAACATCAATATAATATTATTAAGCTTTTAATAGAAAATAACGATAAGTATGAGGCTCTGAATTCATAAACCATATTATAAATTATATTTGGTAAATAGTATTCCCGTATCACATGTCCGCGCTCTCACAATATATTCAATAAATCTTACTTCTTGTATCTCTCGCTCATTTAATATTTTAACTTACTTCAGGTTTTTGGATACTTAGCACCATAATTTAAAATTTATTTCACTAACTTAATAGTACCTAATGTTGTAAAATATTATTGCACACACAAATATTTAGATCCCAGCAGCGATATACGTTATACGTGCACGTTTCATATAGGTACATACACCCATAAATCGTAAACTTGCATTACAAGCTGATTTGTACTAGACGCTAGTCATCCGACGAGTCGGGACTTCGATATCTTTGGTCGCATATATTAATAACACGATAAATTTAAATAAACATATTTTTGCGGTAATTAATACTCTCAGGTATAACACGCAGCGTACAGCTTCGGCGGCCGGCGCCGCGCGTCACGAGTAGATGGTCATCAGGATCATCTGCAAGCAGACGCGACTCGTTAGTGGCGTGCGGCGAGGGCGGGCGGGGAGGTTGGGGCGGGGCGGGTGCTTACCTCTTCCAGCGAGAGAGGATTGGACTTCAGTTTCGCCTCGAGGCTGCGGTAGCGCTCTGCAACAAACGTAAAAGGAAGCGTTGAACGATACAGATTCAAGAAAACATTATTTTAACAATAAAACTCGGAGGGACAGCCGCCAGTACCGTGCGCGAGGTGCAGCCTGGCGAGCGCCAGCATGTAAGCGTCGGGCGCGAGCGAGGCGCCGCGCGCGTAGCGCAGCACCAGGCACTCCAGCACCTTGTTGGAGGCCGTGACGCCGCTCGCCCACAGCAGCGCGCGCAACCGGTACGCGCTGACACCGCGCGCGCAGCCCGCGCCCGCGCCCAGCGCCGCACGCCACTGCGCCGCGCGCGCCACCAGCGCTGGCAGCTCGCACGCCGCCACGCGCCCGCTCACGCTGGGGTCGCGCAGCGCCACCAGCGCGCGGCACAGCGCCAGCGATGGCCGCGCCGGCAGCACGCGCCGCCACACGCGCCGCAGCAGCGCCCGCAGCGCGCGCGCGTCCAGCTCGCCACCGCGCGCCGCCGCCGCGCGCACCGCCCGCGGCACCGACGCCTCCGCGCCCTCCAGCGCCTCCGCCGCCACGTCGCGGATGATCACATTGTCGTCGTTCACTTCCCTGCCGACGAATATAAATCATAGGGAAATAATAATATATTATTATAATTATAATAATATATAATTATTATAATATATAATTATAATCCAAATATAAATCATCATCATTTTTAGGGCTGTAAATTTTTGAGCGCCCGTCTCTTCTCATCGTCAGATATAGAAAGTACCGTTACCAAACATCGGTGTGCTCGTCGGTGAAGATGCGCAACAGGAAGGCGGCCTCGAGGTCCGCGCGCGCCGTGTACGGCACGACGAGGTACTGCCCCGGCGGTAGCGTGAAAAACGTGGCCACCTCGCGCGCGCGCGACTCGTGCGTGACGTCCAGCGCGCGCAGCGGCGCCGGCGCGACAGCGGCCAGCGCGGCTCGGCGCGGCGCAGCGCCCGGCGGCAGCTCGTACACCGCGAAGCCGATGCCAAGCAGGCGCCGCCCGCCCCCCGCTCCGCCCGCCGCGCCGCCCACCGCGTACTCCTGCGTGACGGACACTACGACGTGGCAGCGCGCGTCGCCCGGCACCGCCACGTGGAACTGCGGGTTGGTGTGCGCCGTGGCGCAGCGCGGCGGCCCGCCCGCGTTGTAGCCGCGCCGCCAGCGCCGCCGCGCCAGCACCGCTCGCCACGGCCGCTTCCCGTGCAGCGCCGGCTCCATCAGCCAGTCGTCCGGCCCCACGTGCACCAGCTCGAGCCACTCGAACGACTGCGCGAAGTCATCAAACGACATCCTAGAAAAAGAATATCGATATTAACAGTATAATTAAAGGTCGTAAACATACCACCTCCGGTCCGAGAAGGGGCGGACCGCGGCGCTCACCAGAAGTGGCCGGGCTCGGCGGTGCGGCGCGCGAGCAGGTCGCGGTCGGGCTCGGGCAGCGCGCGCCACTGCGCGGAGCCGCGCGCCCAGGCGCCCGCCCACAGCGCGCGCGCGGCGGGCGCGCGCAGGCGCACGAGCACGGCATCGGGCGCGCGCACGCGCGCCAGTCCGGTCACGGCGTAGGGCGCGCGTGGCGCCAGACCGGCGCGCGCGCGCGCGCACGTGGCCAGCAGCAGCGAGGCGCGCGGCAGCGCGGCGCGCAGCACGTGCAGGAGCGCGGCACGCGGCGGCCGCGGCGGCGCGAAGCTCTGCACCACGCCGCCCGACAGCTCCTGCAGCGCGCGCGCCACGCTGCCGCCGCGCAGCGCCGCGTAGCCGCCGTGCAGTCTGCGGACCGGCGAACACGCTCGTCATTTTCTCTTCAAACGATTTAATGTTTTTATTTCAATTTGATATTTGAATAGAAGTAATCATTCAACCTACGTAAATAGCAAGAGTGTCATTCTAACGCGCTATATTTTTACTTGCAAGGTAAGACAAAAACTAATATGATTCTTAAAAGTATACGAAAATAAAACTCAGTGCAATGAAATCTACATGCTAAGTGACGAGACGCGCATATAGGTATATGTAGTGTCGGCACGGAGGCCGAAGCGTACTTGGCGTAGGCCTTCTCGAGCAGCGGCAGTGTGAAGTCGTCGGGCAGCGCGCAGACGGCGCCGAGCGGGCGGCGCGCGCGCGCCGGCAGGCGGTCGTCCACGGCCACGTCGCGCCAGGCGCCGAAAACCCAGAAGCGGAAGGTGAAGCGGCCGCGGTAGCCGGCGCGGAAGCTGTGCGGCGGCGCGGCGCGCGCCAGCAGCCGCGGCGTGAGCGCCAGCGCCGCCGCCGCGCAGCCCAGCGCCGCGCCGCCCAGCGCGCCCTCCTCCACGCTCCACCTGCGGTAATGTTAAAATCGGAAATGAAAACAAGTGCGTGTAACCTTTACGCGTGGTTGAATTAAAAATTCTTTGGCGTTGTGGTAGACTCTAAAATATAGATAATATTATTTTGATAAAATAATTAGTAACTATTAACTAGCAACTTACCCTCGCTTCGCTCGGGTGCGTGCTCTAGGTTCGATTTCAATGTAAATTGTTATTGCGAGTTTACCTTAGGTGATTGACTTATACTATAGCATTTTTTTCCTGTAGGCCTTTTTAAGACCGTCAATTTTTTAGATGGACCTGAAGCTAGCGGCCGACTAGCAGCCGGCCACCTGACGAATTAAACAAAGGGCCGCAACGGTATCGCGGCGTCAAAAACACGTGTAACTAGAATAAGTAAGCCACAGATGCAATTAAATATTACTTTGTAATCATTTTAAATGCAAAGTGTATAGTGTTTTATATAATTTAATAGCCAATTTTTCAATTTAGTAATGTTCGTGTCCGTACTTAGCGTAAAAGGTCATTTAAGCCAATAAAAACTAACAAGCATGCTTGAATCTTGCTGATTTTTTACTGAAGATTTCTATAATACGTATTTATTCAAAACTATACAAATTTTGCAGAATCAAACACTAAAAGTGTCGTAAAAAAAATATTGTTGCTATTGAGAGCGCATTATTGTAAAAACAACATTAAAATCCAAAAAAACTATAGAAAGAAAACTAGGAGCTCGTTGATTTTTTACTATATATTCTTTTAATATCGAGCAACTCAAAACTAGTTGAATCTCGTAGAATCAAGGCATAGAATAATTGTAAAAATTTTTTTAATATACTCATACTAGCCCATACTAGTTTCTGTGAAAAATTTAAAGGCCATAAAAACGATAGAAAGCAAACTAGGACCTCGTAGATTTTTTATAAATTATTGCACTCATAATTATTAGGCATTAAAATATTAGGCAATATTAAAAAAAAATTTACAAATAAACTAAGGTTTGATCCTGTCTAATTCAAACGGTTTTCGCTTAGTATATATGAGTACAATAATATATAAAAAAATCAACGAGCTCCTATCTAGGATAGAGCAATCTTGCTTTCTAGCGTTTTATGAACTTTTAAATTTTTCGTCGAAACTAGACAATTATTCTATGCCTTGATTCTACGAGATTCAAATAGTTTTGAGTTGCTTGATATTAAAAGAATATATAGTAAAAATATCAACATGATCTGAGTTTGCCTTCTTGTATTTTCATACGTTTGAATGTTAGTATGAGTACGCGCCAGGAGGCAAAATTATTTTTTTTTACAAATAAACTAAGGCTTGATCCTGTCAAATTCAAACGGTTTTCGGTTAGTATATTATATAAGTACAATAATATATAAAAAAATCAACGAGGTCCTAGTTTGCTTTCTATCGTTTTTATGGACTTTATATTTTTCATAGAAACCAGTATGCGCTAATACCAGGAAAATCGACATTTTTTTACAACTATTCTATGTATTGATTCTATGGGATTTAAATAATTTTGCTTGTTGTTATTAGAATATTTAATAAAAATATTAGCGTGATCTGAGTTTGCTTTCTCGTATTTTGATACGTTTGAATGTTAGTATGAGTACACACCAGGAGGCAATATTAAAATTTTTTTTACAAATAAACTAAGACTTGATCCTGTCTAATTCAAACGGTTTTAGTTTAGTATATATAAGTACAATAATATATAAAAAAATCAACGAGTCCCTAGTTTGCTTTCTATTGTTGTTTTTTGGATTTTAATGTTGTTTTTACAATTATGCGCTCTCAATAGCAACAATAATTTTTTACGACACTTTTAGTGTTTGATTCTGCAAAATTTGTATAGTTTTGAATAAATACGTATTATAGAAAGCTTCAGTAAAAAATTCAGCAAGATTCAAGCACGCTTTCTAGTTTTTTTTGGCTTAAATTACCTTTTACGCTAAGAACGGACACGAACATTACTAAATTGAAAAATTGGTTATTAAATTATATAAAACACTATACTTTTCTATTATTGTATTTAAAATGATTAAAAAGTAATATTTAATTGCATCTGTAGCGTATTTATTCTAATAACATGTGTTTTTGACGCCGCAATACCGTTGCGGCCCTTTGTTTAATTCGTCAGGTGGCCGGCTGCTAGTCGGCCGCTAGCTTCAGGTCCATATTTTCTAGTATATTGTTTTGATATATATCTTAAGGTTTAACCAGCGTTAGACATGTAAATTTCTAAGGACGAATCGACCAGAATCCGTCATTGTAGTACATGCTAGCAAACCAAGGCAGTTATAAGCTTTCATCATGAGTGTACTCAATATATTATTCACGCCTAAAGAAGTTTTGCTTCAAAAATAATGTAAAACAATTATTTAGCACAATAAACAGAAAAATAAATAAAGTACCTAAACATCTGATAATGCCTTTATAGCTCATTAAGACTCTCGCTTCGTAACTCGCCTCATACCTAGTATCGTGTTCGCCTCGCAGCTCGCGTAAAAAAAGTTTCTGTTTAGACTCTCGCAATGCGTTCAGTTGTCTTTGAGTCGGCAACCATGTCGGACGTCGAAATATTAGCGGAATCGACTCTTTATTGAGCTTTTATTACTATACGATTAATTAAAATAAAATACTATACGATGTAAGCTCTGGTATTGGTCGACACGTCATTTGCTCGGATATTTTCTTCAATGTATCATTTACTTTTTGATTATTCTTGTGACATTTATGTTTAGGGCCCCAAATTATCGGCTCTTTTTGAAATAACTCAAAGAACTGTAAAATCCTTTGTCAGACCAATCCATTATGTACGTAAAGTAACAAATTATACACACTACCTGCACGGCTAAACGCTAGTAAACGAGAGAGTGAGAGCGCTCAATAAAGAAAGAGTTGATTACCGACATGGTTGCCGACTCAAAGACAACTGAACGCATTGCGAGAGTATAAACAGAAACTTTTTTTACGCGAGTTGCGAGGCGAACACCATACAAGGTACGAGGCGAGTTACGAAGCGAGAGTCTAAATGAGCTATGAAATGTGATCCTTTCGTTGAGGCTTTGCCTTATAAACTTTACTGTTCTCTAACGATGGATGAATAAAAATATGTTTGAGTATAAAAGTACAGTATTAAAGCCACATGTCGGCGTGTGCGGTACCTGAGCGCGAACTCGTCGTCGGGCTCGGGCTCGAGGCGGTCAGGCGGCAGGCCGGCGTCCAGCGCCGTGTCGCCGAGGAAGCGCGGCCGCGCGCACATTTCCTGCCATAGGAATGTTTTTTACTATTAATTATTAAGTTGTGTTGCTTTTGGCATGCCAATAATAGTAAGAGATTTTTCCCTTCGAACTTGACTTTCTCTTAAACAGATACAATGCTTTGTCAAAGCTTTATCAAAAGATTTGAGAAAAAAAAACTTCAATTTGCTACGCCACCTATCGAGCCAATAGGAACTTTGTGTTAATTGCGACCTACTCGTCTATGATGCTCCTATTTTATTTAAGTAATGCATTCTCTAAAATTGCTTCATAATATGTTTGTGTAGGTACTAAATGGCTTTTATACCTATAGTACTTGTGGGAAGCTCGTGTATCTACAGTGTAAATTGTACATGCATCAATGGAGCACTGTGCACGAGCGCGGGCCGCGACACAGTTCCCACGTCATTGATACAGTACGTACCGCAGGCACTACCGACGCCGGCGCTGCCACGCGTTTACGCCGAGTACACTCTCGCAGTGCGACCGTCGACAACTCACTCATATGGATGCACATATGCAATACAAATTAAAATAAAATTCATTTGAATTTAGAATTTATTGCCGGCCATTATTAATTATTATTATTTATTACAATAGATAAATATATTTCACAATGTACACATAGTAGTAGGTATGTAAGTCTGTATGTAGGTAAATATATTGTTTCGTTATTTTCATATATACCTTATCGTGCGTTTAATACTTTTACGTTAATTTTAATAGAGTGAAAAATTCCGGAAGTGAGATCTACACCAATAAAGCTATAGCGACTAAATAAGCAAAAACAATAGCGCGAGTCATTGTCACCGGACGTCGCCGCCGTCGCGGGGGCGCTTTCTGAACCGATGCACTGGTTACATTACCAGTAACGGTGTCACGACGTCAACAATTGCGTCGTTCCCAGCGATCACTTTATGGCCTACTCATGTGACTATTCATTCCTTTTATTACCATCGTCAGAAAAAGAAGTTTAATTACGCTTGCGACAAATAGCAGGAGAAAGTATCTATAACGTACAAGTTAGTCTGAACAAATTTATGCGTGGAAACATACTTAATACTTATATGTAGATTTTACCGAATGAGGCTTTTGTAAGTAATCGCAGTTGGAGTGTATATTATAATTCGATAAACATGAAAACTATAAGCAATTGCTTCATAATGATAGGAAATAGTTCATTCCCGTAGGTGTGCGTGGTCAAATTCGTTTAGATGAGGCGTACCGCAGCCCATGAGGCTGTGAAAGAGAAGGAATATCTCCACTTGCGGAAAATCTTGCATGCTTATTACGCCAAGCTCTATTTTCGGGCCTTCGATCATACCATTTTACCTCCAACACTACACCGTACAGATGATCACATTTCTGTTACTACGCGACGCCTGACTCACTTCCTACAGATTTATAGTATAGTACGACAGCTATGACATCACTGTCTATCAATGATACCAACCGTTAAAGAATTTAAATAAATTAGGGATTCCACTTGTAAAATCAAAGACACAATTGTCAGGTAGCACGTACTTATATATGAATGTATGTAAGTAGGCTTGATGGCTCCATTTATCAACATTTAGTTAGGGCACATGCGGTCGTGGTGTAGATGGAGTAGCTGCCGCATTTGTAGAAGTGCATTATTTTTTAATAGTTTTTATCCGTAACGTGTTGCGTGACGGCTTGCTCGGCTGAGACGATACTGCGAAATAGTTGAGCCCGTTTTTAATTGTAACAGCGGGGACAATGTCATATTTAATATTTTTCTTATGGTGTTTATGTTATTGCATTTTTGACATTAACATGATTTATAGATTTTCATATATTATGATATTGGCGTTTTGTCAAACTGACCACTTTGATCTCCAATATCTGGCGTTTAGTTAAGAATTCCAAATTCAAAATTTCAAATTTAGGCTTGTGTATTTGTGTTTCGAATTTAGTGATTCATTTCTTTTTGCGTCATTTGATTTTTTTTTGACATCGTTCTGTTCACAATCTGGAAAACTTAAAATATGGCGTTATTTACGAATACGTTTTCCACCGTGGCACCAGCGCTGCAGAAACAGCTCGAAGGATTAATAATGTGTATGGGGAACAGTAAAAGAAAATACGACACGTTTTTGGTTCCAATGTTTTCGTTCTGGAAATTTGATCTACAAAGAAAAGAGTAAAAAAGCTCGAAAAATAGGTACCTTGGTAACCTTCCTAAGATCTGGCCAGACGATTACGGCAGATCTGTATTGTCAATAATTGCAAACCATGATGGAGAATCTAGCCGTTAAACAACCACTGCTGATTCAGGACATTACTAGACCACACACTGCACAACAGACGATCGCTAAATTAGGGGAGCTGCTCTTTGGAATGTCTCCGACACCCACCATACTTCCTGGACCTTGCTCCAACAGATTACCACTTTTTACGGAAATTGAATATAATTTCTTGCAAGGAAAAAAAAATAATTCCAATTAGGCAGTCAAAACCGCCTTCAGAGAGTTTATTGATTCTTGATCATTTTTTCAGACCTATAAAATGTCAAAAGTGCATAGATAACAATGTTAAATACTTTGATTGATTAAATATTAATGAAATAATTAATAATAAAAAAAAATCGTTTTGCTTTTTCCATGGATAAAACACCAATTTCATATGTAAGTATATTCCATGTATAGGTATGACCTAATACGTAAAATGTACCTAAAATGTGTATATATTTTCCTAAAGACAAAAATTTCAAAATCTGTAAAAAAATCTTATTAAAACATTGAAGCTGTAATAATAAGTTGACATGAATTATAAAATATGACGAATTGTAAAAGCACGGCAGTACACGCAGCTTTAACATAATAAAAAAAGAGATGCCGTTATATTCATTATATTTAATTTATTTTGAATGAATTCTCTGTGCTCTACCACGAGGTGGCGGCGGCGGCGCTCGTTGATGTCTTTTACTCCCGAAATCGCGTCCGAGCTTGAGGAGAACATTGAGTATTTCTGTTTATTGCGAATTATTAATATATTATCTATAACTACCACATATACAATTTAATTAACCATTTCTTATACCTTAATATTATATTTAACGTTAGATGTTTGTCATACACGTAGATAGCTAAATTATTACTGATGAGCGCAAATATCTTAAACCATAAATAAGTAATGAGTAACGTTCTAACCAAATCTGGCAGTTTCCATGAGAAAACTTCGTCACAAATCATACGAAGTTCACAAGAACACGTTGACATTATAGATATCAAAAATCTAAACCACTATAAAATGCGGCACGTAGATACGTGCAAATGTGGGTCACGCGGGACGTGAACGGGAGGGGCCGTCGCGCGTCACAGTAATACGAGTACCATTGTAAAAGCGAATATTTGTATGTGTCAATTCAAACATACATGCATATACAGCGTGAAAATGTTGAAACAGCTGGACAGATTTTGATGAAATATAGTACACAAATAGATTACAACCTGGAGTAATGATGATGATGATGTTCTCCTGACCGATTCCGGCTACGGCGGCCAATCTCATTGAGATTAGCCAACTGCGCAGGAGATATTATAGTGCTCAAGTGTACGCGCAGACACAGGTGCACTCTCTATTCCTATCACTCTCATACTCCGGTGAGACGACCACTCGACACGACCGGTGAGAGTTAAGGCGCAGAACCGACGGCTTTACGTGCTCTCCGAGGCACGGGGGTTAAACACCGCCAACTTCCCAACTCCGGGCTGTTACTGAGACTTACTATACAGAAAGACTCAATAACTAAACTTGGCCCGACCCGGGACTCGAACCCAGGACCTCCGGGTGTGCAGTCGTACATGCTAGCCACTACACCACCGAGGCAGTTACCTGGAGTAAAGGCTATCGTTAGCATCTAGGTACGCTAGGTACTGGAGTGAAGCAGGTCATTATCTAGATTCATAAGACTAAAATTCGCTCTCTGAGCTAAGTTGACGATTAAATTCAAATACAAAAACAAATGATCACTTCGTCAAAATATATTGACGAAGGATATGTAGGTGTATCAAATAACACTCGACTGTAAGCGAACTGTAACTCCGCCATGGCCGAATCATAAAAAGTGGCTACGTATAAAATCCACTTTTTTGTCACCGTCTCTTTCACATATTCTGTAAACATAAAACAAATGCGTCCGTACAGTATCATTTATACTTTAATGTATATTATATTGTAAAAGCAAAATTTATGACGAAACAAGGCGCGAAGTCTTGTGTGCGCAGATGCGCGCCTAGAATGAACTGCCGCGGCGAGTGGCGTGTATACTACTGCATGCTTTAAATGGTTCTATTGATTATATACTTTTAAGAAAAGGAAAAATAGACATTAAAACTAACTTAACTAGATACATATATCTACATATTTATAATAAATTACGCTAAGCATCTTATAAAAAAGGAGAAGCTAGTAAATAAAAATTAAACAACCAAGTTAGATTTTAAGTTAAGTGAAGTTAATGGACATATTTTTATGTAGCAGTAATAAATCTTTAATACTAACTCTCCATCTTACTTATGTTGACTGGAAGAGATCTGTTCAAGATATAAGTTCACCTTTGCTAGCTAATTTTTATTAAATGTTAATTTATGTATAAAATTAAATGCAATATAGAATAGTAATAAATTAAGCATTGGGCTTGTGCGATAAGAATACTTACTTAGCAAAGTAGAATGCAGTCCTGGGTGAAGTGGAGGGTGTAGTGGAGGATGTAGTTAGTGCACGTTGTAGTGTAAGGTGTGTAGTGTAGGGAAGTGTAGTGAAGGCCAGGGTAGTGTAGAAGAGTGCAGTGCAGGGTGCAGTGTAGGATGGAACTCAGAGTGTACATACGTGCGGTCGCAACCAGACTGTGCGCTGCGCGAGACGGCGGTCGCCGAGGCTGGCGGGCGCGGCGGGGAAGTCCGGGTCCTCCCACAGCTCGCCGTCCTCCGGCTCATCCCAGTACCTGCACACACACCCATACACCGACATCAGATAAACGTCATCACATACCTACATAATATCCTTTATTAATCTAAAATTGCCGCTCAATAAAGCAAAAATTTCAAAAAAATTGAATCAACATACTTTATTAATCTTAGGCGTCTATTGCGATTTGCGAGTCCTATCAGTGAGTTCCGGCACGATCGCGTGCGCGCGATTCAATCGATCGTTTACAGTTTATTGACCACTGTCTAAAATAGGAAATCGATTATTCACTTAATAATTTCATGTAAGTTTGAACTATAATTCTAACCTAACCTACCTATTGATTTAAAATAAATTTTGTAAAATGTGAGCATTCGCGGAATATTATGATATCGATTTAATAATAGAACTGAAATATGTATATTTATAAAAACTACCTCGATTATTGCGATGCAAAATGTTAACTTCCTATCGTCCTGATGGCACACGCACTGCAGCGACGATCCTTGCTTTTCACGGAACACAACAACAAATTCTAAGTAAATTAGACATTATCAACGTGAAGAAAATACCATTTCATTTGTATTTATAGTACCTACATATATGAAATATTTATTTAAATTGTAACAATTTGTTACGATTATGTTTTTTTTTATAAATGAAATCATTAGATATAACGTACGAGCTGGTCGGACGTCGGTGTTTAACAATGCCAATGACGCGTGATATTTTTTACAACAGTAATTACTAATGTCAGTAAAACATAAAATTAGGTATTAATAAAAACTTGTAGGTAACTCCTAGTTGTTTTTTGACACACGCATAACATGCGTTTGGAGTCTTAAAACCTATTTATTGCACAATATATCGATCTGCAGCTTACAGTAAACTCATATGCAAAAAAAAAACAAAAAAAAACCCGAATGTGTAAAAACTAAAAAGCGAACTAAAAAGAAACTAAGTTGACGAAGGAACTTACTATACTGTGTTCGTCGAATGAACCAAGCACTGAGATTTTGTGCTTCCACGTGATTGGTTGCAGATAAGACGCTTAGGCCAAAGCTTAGCTTAGGCAATTACAGTGCACTGTGCAAGCCATAATTATTCCGTCGTTGTGCATTCCGTACCGTTCAGACGTCCCTTGTGTAATTATCTGCTTTATTAACAATGTAGGAGATGACAGTGAAACGTCGGAAAGTGACAATTAATAAATAATGTACAGAAATATTTAAAAATAGTTATTTTTACTTTAATGTTGTGCTTTGTGTGTCTGTGTGTTGTTTTTATTTGTATGTTGATTTTATTTTATTACAAATTACTAATAATTCCTCACTACAGCATTTATAGCAACATGAACGAGCCCTATGATTTCAAACCAGAAGCAAGCGTCGTGGGCGGAGCTAGATAGTTTTCTGTCCTTATCATATTTTTTTTTGTGTGTCTGTTTGTACAGGCTAATCTCCGAAACTATTGGACCGATTTGAATGAAATTTTGCATGTTCGTACCTTATACCCCGGTCAACATGTAAGATACTTTTCATTCCGGAAAATTAAAGAGTTCCTGTGGGAAAGGTAAATAACTATAGTATCTTATACAGCTTAGTACCTACACAACAACTTATACACCTAATTTAGTAAAATTTGGCATGCTGATATTGCCGGTCAAACAACACGTTACTTTTCATCCCAGAAAAAAAATGAAATATATATGAGTTATCGCTTCAGTACAAGGGACGATCATTATAAAAGTCCGGGACGAGTTATAGTGAGAGGAGAATTATACTCGTATATTAAACTATTAAATATCATATTGACCTCTTTAATTTTTTAACTCAATACAGATGAAGTTGCGGCAGTACCGTTATCTATTTCTTGCAAATAAATATGGCAATTTTTGACAAATAATAAAAGTGGTGTTTGATGTTATAGCAATCTAAGGTCATAGTTAATCTCATTCCTCTCTATAATATGTACTATCTAAAAAATATCGTTAAATATTATTTTAATTTAGTTTTGTAATTTTATAGTGTAATTTTCACGAGTAACTTTGTACTCACGCGCACGCTAGATATGTATCTCCCGACCCAAGAACCATTATATGCAATACATGTTAAGCAAATGATTAAATGACGTATGAAATATATTTACTTTTCCTGTCTTGAAATAATGTTTGCGGCCATAAAAAATCAATAACTTTAGATTTGCGCTACAAAATGTTCGTAGGTTAGTTGTTACCGTTACCTTACCTGGTTAGAGTGGAGTGGTCGTCGCGCCGCGGGCCAGACCCCACGCCGTCTGCAACAGATAGAACATATCGAACACTGTTAATTCTTATTTACCGAATATGGAGATAATTAGATTCTATAGACTCTCACAACACAGTAAGTACAAGTGCTCCTCCTTTGTACCATCGCCTACGTCGCCACATGCAGAAACTATAAACTAACATGAAGTTATGTTAACATTGTTAGGTGGTCAAATAAAAAGAATACTTAATTTTTAGTGCGGCTTCCCGCTTCATCCATAATAATTAATAGAACACGTAACGCTTGCTAAAAATATTGTTCCTATTAATTAGGTCTATCCCCCTAGTGGCCCCGCCACGGCTCGCGGGCGAGAAGGAAAACCTTGTAGTGTTTAATTATGTATTTGTCAGGCATCCATATTTGTGTAAGTACATAATATCAATATTCCGGAACATAACAGACGTGACAAGTTCAGCCGGCATCGAGCATGACAATTGACAATAGACGTGGCCTTCAGCTTCAATGCAGCTCGGCTTGAAACCACAGTGGACTGCTAGTTGTCTCCAGCAAACGTGTCAAAGGAATATTATTTTACACCCTGTTACTTTTTTTTAATATTTAATGCAACATCCAACATTGCATTCAATGTATGCAGTTAATAGAACATGGCTAATTTTTATACCACTCGGATACAATAGTAGCGTAGTCGCGGGCAAAAGTAGAATTTAATAATCCTTTAAAATAATACAATATATGTAATTTTATTAGTTTACACGCCGGCGTTACAGTTAACAATAGATTTCTTAGAAATTAGGTTATTAAATAGGTGTTATTAACTTAAAATATATGTAATAAATGTAATATGCTCCACACCGAGGCATGTAAACTACAAACTGTGGCACAACAGATTTGGGCAGCACGCGGACAGGTGCCGTTACTCCGTCCGCAAAGTAACGTTATAATTAGGTTGAGTTGAAAATAATTAATTATAGAAGTGAGAGCGACGGCCGAAGCTAATCCGCGCGTTCTGAGTGAGTTTGTTGGCGACCCGACCTCTGCGCGCCCTTGTCCCGTCCCTGTCCCTGACCGCATTACTGCACTCTAATGAGTACCGATGTACTTAACAGTCTAATGCAAATAATTTGTCGATTAGCCTTGTTCTTTGTTACTATTTAAAAATTGTGGGATATTAAAACACAACAAAATAATCTGATATCCCGTTATAAGATACTGTTGCACGTCCCTGCTCCCTGCCCCTCCCTTGCTAGAGGCTAGAGCTACTAGCTACAATGCAAGGCGCTTCCGTCGCGATGTGAACTTGATCGTTATCAAACAAAATTATAATTTGTAGCCAGCAGTTTTACTCGGAGACAACTCAGCGTTAATGTTTGCGTGTATGTGTAGCGTTAATGTATAATATTTTCATATTATTTGTACAAGTGACTACACTTCTTGTTGATAACAATGCCTCGACGAATACAATTATCCTCACGTAGGTACAACTCGCTATTAAAACATATATACGAGTACGTCGATTATTTAGCAGTAGATGTGACACTGGCACTAACATTATTACAGCGTTATTCTATGTGCCTGAACTCGGGTATAATATGTCAAAAGTCAACTATTAATTTAATGCGAGGATCCAAGTAAGTTATCAGAAGACTAAAAATATGAATTACTCTGTAATGAATAGAAAATATTATAGGCCCACAACTCATAAATATATAATTCGTGAATTCAGTAGCCGTGGACTAAATATCCGTAGACGAGCATTCATTGTCCAAGTCATGAGAAGCATTCATAGTGTCCGTTGCGGCGCAGCCCCGGCCGCCGCAACGGGGTCACACCTCGCCTCCTCGAGTGCAGCGTGTGCGAAATGCATAGCAAATTTCGACCACTTTCACCGTTCGGCGACGAGGCGTGACAGCTTCATCAACTTAATTCGTCGGCTAGCTTTACTTAGACTGCTATGCTAAAATTGGTCAAGTGAGTAATATATATATAGGATTCCATTGGCACTTAAGACTTTTTGTTATATTTTGCAGTAATAGTTTCAATAGGTTCAGAGACCACGGGGAGAGCTATGTTGGTGTTGAAAGCCCCATTTACCATTCATTTTAATAACATATTCGATACCATATTCGGTTCAGGCGTCTTCGAGTAATCGGTGAACATACATAAAAAAAAGAAAAAAAAGATTCCGACGAATTGAGAACCTCCTCCTTTTTGGAAGTCGGTTAAAACAAATCGAATATATTTTGATACGTAAAATACATCACAAATTGATGTATAATATTTTAACTATAATTAGAGTTCATACCTAATCATATTTAACTAGCATTGCCCGCGGCTCCGCCCGCGTTCAGATGACCAAAAACCGAATTCTTAGGTTTTACATATTAGCACGGTAATATTTATGCATTACATTACCGTGATATTAGTATACTCTTACATTGTAGTTTTGTATTTTTATTTTTTCTCAGAAATGAGATATTTTCCCACAGTAAAAAGTATCCTATATGTTGATCCGGATTACCAGCTGTAACCATATCAAATTTCATCAAAATCCCTCCAGTGGTTTTTCCGTGATGCGGTAACAGACAGACAGACAGACAAAAATTCTAAAAACTATAGATTCGGCCTCTTTATCGATAAAAATGTCTATTTCAATAAGATTTTCCATAAAATATTTAATGTACAGATTTCGCTTAGTTACAATTTTATTATATGTATAGATTAGATATTTATAACTTAAAATATTGTCGGCAGGCACCGACTTCAAAAATATCTAATTAGGTATCTATTCTAAATGAAAACCCCCGTTTAGTTATTTTTCATGTTTTAGTGCCTGGAAGTTAGTTTTTTTTAAGTTTTTATATTATACTTTATTATTTTTTAAAAACCCTTATTTTAATTGTTTAAATAAATAAATTTGAAATAAAATATTCGTTTTATATTAGTAGAACGAAAGAAAATCATCCATTGGCACTCCGAGCAATAATTATTTACATTTTGAAGTTTATTTATTAATCAAAACAAATGACGCTGCGCGACGCCAGTCTGCGTAGACAAGTCACAAGTAGCATGTCGTTGACGCGAACTTATAAGTTTTGCTCCTACCTAGAACGCGGCTAAAGAAGTTTTCACTTCAAAAATATTGTCTTTAAATACCTATTAAAAACCTATCCGAGATTTTTTTCTTTTTAATGTTAACAGTTCTATCCTTTTTCTTTGTCACCGCTTTCAGGTAAAATTAAACCTTAAACATTAAAAAATATCGTCGTGAAACTCACGCAAACTTTTTTCAACATAGTTAAATTTGTTCTATAATAGTTGAGTCGAGTAGGTATATACCTAGTATCTACACGCTATTTTCCTCGCATTGTATATGACACTAAGTGTAATAGTTTTGATGTTACATAAGTGCAATAAATATTCATAAAAAAGTTCATATGAAGGTTATTTAGGTAACGCACAAATTACTAATGAGTATAAAGCTCACGATCTGTTATTGAGTCGTTATGTGCTAATTATTTCAAGGAACCCAAACAGTCACGCGCAAATGACACATTTCCCATCACGACAAGACCGAAAATATTTGCATACTGGCACCACAGAAATATATATAAGTACTTAATTTTGTCGTTTTTAAGAAATATAGCCAAATCAAATGTTCACTACTACGATTATCGCAGGAAAACGTTTTTTTTTCAATTCAATAATCATTACCACTTAAGCTTGTTCATGTCTACTATTACAACTGCTAAAAGCAGCAATGAAATAATAGTCATGCGTAAAGAACAATATCGTCGCCTACGTAAATTCCAAGGACACGCCGCATAAGTTGACCGCGAATTAGTGACGTGCCACCACAATTTTTTATCGAAAATTTATTACGTTTGGCTTAATATTTTTCGTTAAATATTTAATTGTTACATCTCATTATGTATGTTTTCTTTCTGTCTGAATAATTTAAAAAAGTCATTTATCAACGATTATCTGTAAATTCGTACTTTTAAACTACTTTTTCATTCAGAAAATTACTAGGAGGTAGGCTTATTATTGTTATGTATATGGGTAAGTCAAAAACAGTATGCGTTGTATCCTTGTATCGTTGACATGTTCCGCATTTACCATTCTATAAAAAAAATTAAGTCATTGTTAAAAATGTATATGCCTGGCACTTACCGGAGATCGATCACATCGGACAAGTGTACATTTTATATTGTCTTTACGCCTACTACAGCGCAGCAGTCTAGTGCAGTATAGTCCACGACCACGGGAACACGTTCCTACATCAGTCATAGTTCACAACGTTTGTACTTGTATGAAAACAATATGCCTGGGCCCTGGACTGGGGCAAAAACCATTCCTAAGTTGTTAAGCCGTGGGTGGCTCTAAGGAATTGTTTAGAAACAAGGCCAAGCCATTGGTTGGGACAAATATTCTTTGAATCTTTGCAATGCTGTTGACGTATTTGATTTTATCTAATTTCTTCTCTTCTAAATCTTAGCGATATTAGAGAAAGTGCTACCACCGTAAGTAATGTCTAGATATCAATTAATACTTATAGTTAATGGAAGGGCAACTCACTGGTGACTCCATTAGTCTTGGCGAGCGGCGGGAGCGGCGGCGGCGGGGGCGGCGACGCCGCGCGCGTGCGCATGAACTTCCTCATGGTGTGCGAGCGCGCCTCGCCTCAGCGACCATCATGACAACCACAACACAATTCTACGATACACAATTACCTGCAAATTTAATAAATCGAATAAGAAACTCAATAGAAAATTTGGTCTTGCGAGAAGAAAAGCGATCGACAGTCTCATTAGTGTCAATCATCAATCATTCGAACGAATTTAAATCATAAATTAAGAGTGCAGATTGCAGATACCAAATAATTTGGACACGAATGTAGTTTTTATGTTTAGATAAATTAATTTCTTTACAGTTAACTAATTAGATATTATGATGTGTATGAGTGGAGGAATGTTATGGAGGATACTGTAGTTTCGTGGCGCCGTAATTTGACGATGAATTCTTATAGATCTTGATTAATAATGAGGGATTAATAGAATATGTTATTAAAAAACTTTCTTCTTACAAATTACCTGCTTATTACGTCTACACTAAAAATGGAAAAATAAAAACTAAAAAAAAAACGAATTTAGAATCTATTCTAGCTATCTATAGCTATCAGATATTTTCGAAGTCGGTGCGAGCCGACAATATTTTAAGGATAAAGATATTTTATAAATATCTAATAGGTAAATATGATTAGGTATGAACTCTAATTATAATTGAAATATTATAAATCAATTTGTGATGTATTTTACATATCGAAATATATTAGATTTGCTTTGCATCGGCTGACACCGACTTCGAAAATATCTGATTAGATTTTTATAAATGAAAACCCCCGTTTAGTTATTTTTTACATTTTAGTGCCTGGAACACTTACACTTTGACATTTATAATATTAGTAAGATTGTAACTTTAATCTCCATTACTTTTCACTCTATCTTTTCCTCAAAATCATTTTTATATACAATTTCTTTTCCATATGTTTTGATTTTTGAGTATCGATATCTCGAAAAAAAGCGTGATATTGAAAATTTTTATTCTCTATTTTTCGTTTTATTTTTTCAAGATCTATTAAGGATTACTCGTCAAAATATTACGGCACGGCGCCACGGAAATCAAAAAATTGCCTTCCTACGTGTAAGAGTAAAAGCGGGATTTGACCTACATATAATATCTCCTGCCTGCATTTTACAGCACGGAGTCGTGTTAATTAGCGGTTATCGTACGAATCTTGGGCACAAGTTTAGTACATGGACGCGGCCCCTGGCGGAGTGGGTGGTATTTTTGGATAGGGGAGGTGACAGGGAACCCAAATATATAAAAAATATTTTAAGGAAACGTAGGAGTAAACAAGTTATTGAGACTTAAAGTTACAACATTTCCGTACAATTCCATACATTTCTTTACCAACTGGCGGAGTCCTCCTCTATCCATAAATACCACACACTCCTCCAGGAGCCGCATATACTTAACTGCAGCCGAGTCTTATCGCATTTACTACAATGAAGCAGCACCCCTGTGTGTAGGCTGGCGCCTGGCAGTAGGCACAGCACGCACTAAACACTCCGCAATTTTAATCGTTCACCAGACGATATAAAATGTTAATGTAACTGCTTACTTATTGCTTAGCTCTGCCTGCCTCTAAAAGGAGCTCGCGTTTACTGTTCGCGTTGTGTTGCAACCGTCGACGCGACGGTGCGGTGGTCTAGGCTGAGGTTACGCCTATTGCAGGCTCAAAACCGTAAATGAATTACGGCGATTGGCAGCAATCGAGGAGATAATTGAATCTTATGGTATACTTGAAGTATTTATACTACTTTTTAATACATTTTTAAAAAGTTCAAATTAATACCTATATACCTAAAAGTAACATACCTACTAATGGGGCATTATTTTTTATAAAAGACTAGCAATTTACTCTCGATATGCTTAGGTGGCGGGTGCGTGCCTAGGTGTCTAACAGTACTATTGTTAAGCCAGTAGGTATTTTCAATACACAATATTTCATCCAAATCTGTCCGGCTGGTTCAGCGCGAGGGGTAACAAACACACACGTACGCACTTGCGCAGTAGAATTGTAGTCCGATTACAAATACCTACATACTTTCATTACAATATTTATCAAAGGAGCATAATGTAATGACGAAAGAAATAAAATGAAATAATAAATACGTACATATTATAAACTAGCGGCTCACCCTCGCTTCGTTTGGGTTCGCCTCTAGAAAAGCATAAACAGATCTATTCCACGGGACCCGTTCATTTTTCGGGGATAAAAAGAATATTGTTGTTTGACCGGTAATATAAGGTATCAGCATGCCAAATTTTACTAAATTAGGTGCATAAGTTGTTGTGTACTGTATAAGTTACTATAGATTTTTAACTATCCCACGGGAATTCTTTAATTTTCCGGGATGAAAAGTATCTTAAATGTTGATCGGGGATACAACGTACCACCATGCAATTTCATTTAAATCGGTCTTACAGTTTCGGAGATTATCCAAAATTTTAACTATTGTTTTGGGGTTTATATTGTGTACATAATACATAATACGTTACAAACAAAAACAAATCTATCCCGCTGGAACCGTACATTTTCCGGGATAAAAAGTAGCATATTTGTTAGTGTGATGTATGAACTATATTATTGTAAAGTTTCATTAAAATCCAATCAGTAGTTTTTGTTAACTATCCCACGGCAACTCTTTAATTTTCCGGGATACCTATATGGTACCACCATGCAAAATTTCATTTAAATCGGTCCAATAGATTCGGATATTAGCCCGTACAAACAGACAGAGAAACAAAAAAATTAAAAAAAATCTGGATTTGTTCTATTTCTCTTCTTACACCCCCCTGACTCGGTTTTTAGCAAATTTTTTTTCTATGTACAGACATTCGACCTCTACAGTTTTGTATAGATTAAAGTTGACTTTGAGTTTGTTGTGGCTAATCTCAGAATCCACTATATATACATATTTTTATATGATATTCACTAGGGATGGAACATTTCACGAGTAGCAAGTGAAAAATCACGTGAAATGCGTAATCATACGTCACACCTGCTACTTAAATTCATAGTGGCTGCTACAAATCACAACTTGGTGAAATCTAGAGCTGTAGCAAACCGTATGTATTCGTTACTGAGTAACGGGTACGCCATCTAGTACCGAGTACCGAAACGTTACTCACGAATGCATTTCGTTACTCGCATTTTCCGTATACATTTTCGTACTGATGTTTTTATTGATTTTTTATTCAACAAAATACAATTTTCAGTTAATACCGTTGATCAGTAAATTGGGGAGTTTATTTATTTCGAGTTGCATGATTTCGGATTCTTAGAAATATTGTTTAGAAATAATTTTAAATTAGAAACAACAATTAAATTTAGAGCACATTTTTAGTTTTTATCCAACAAATACTTATAATTTTTACTGAATGATTATGTGTAATACGTACAGACATAACCACCAACGCTGAGAACGAGCTAGAAATGTTTATTAATGAACCAGTGCTTCCGCGCGATTCTTCGCCATTAGTTTGGTGGAAATCTCACTCCTATATGTACCCCAATTTGGCGGAAATATTTCATGAGCACTGTCACATCGTGGTGACATCAGTGGAGAGTGAGAGAGTATTTTCAAAAGCGGGAAATTTTGCAACCCAAAAAAGAGCACGATTAAGCAGAAAACGAACAGCGGAACTTGTATTTTTAAAAAGCAATGAAGACTATTGTATATAGATATCTCATAAAAAAATCAATCATCAAAAAAATCAAAAAGCAAAAAAAAATGATTATAAACAAATTAAAAAAATTAAGAAAAACAAAAAAAAAATGTATAAAATTCTTTTATAAAAATTCTTATTGTACATAAAAACAATGAACTTTTAAATACGCCAATGTAATTATGGAACTTAGCTTAATACAATTTTACCGTGTGATTACTCTGATATATTTAAAATTCATTTAATTTTACATTGTCAGTCCCAAGCCTGTAGAAGTATGAGGGAAAGTTCATTGTTTGAAAATAGGTTCATTCAAAGCACCATGTACGTATGCAACTACGTCAGATCTAAATCTCTGCTCCATATCACATCAGTAGCGCCATTGGTGACATTTCATACTTCATTTTAATAGCAAATAATATAAAGTGTGACACCAGACCGTCGAAATCAAAAATCTATGCGTGAAAAGTAGCAGGTGAAATCACGTGAAAAATTGTTGTAATTTCATCACGTGATAATGATTTAAAAGTAGCAATCATTTCCATGCTTAATATTCACACAGAATGAGAATTATCACGTTTTATAATAATAGTCAGGTGACATATAAATATTTTCGCGACGGTAATTATCACATACATACACATGACTTACTTAATGGCTAACGGCAATCGCACCTATACAGTGGGTGCAGTAAAGACAGCGCAGCGTCGAAAAGTCGTTGTTTAGTGTTATATGTGAATAATGTAGAAACAAAATAGTTGTAACATGTATATGTTTAGATTTGTATCAGGATTTACTATCGCACAATGCAGCACGTCCCGCTCTGTGTAAACAATGCACAGTGTCGAATCAAGTACACACTACACTGGATAAAGTCCGCTTAGTGTTAGCGACACACACTCGGGCGTCGAGAGCTGCCCTGCGGCTGCGGCGCGTGACGTGTGCTCCGCGCGGCGCGCCGGCGGCGACTGCGGCGGCCAGCGCCCGCGGGGCCGCGCACGCGCAGTGCTCGCCGCCGCCGACCATATTCCGCTTCCTCACTCTTTTAAGCCAAGTAAACGACGAATTTACTGGAAACCAATGAGAGTTCCACATTCACCTAGGATTCCCATCATCACACCCTCGTTACTATGAGTAAAGTTGAGACAAAATCAGCCTAAACTCGACAAGTCGTTAATAATAACAAGTAATCAATTATAGTAGTGCCCACTCATCAGCTCATTAGTAACAAAATATAGATATTACATTGCAGTGTCTATGTGTATAAGTCTTCCGGGTACCTATAATGTATTGTACGGCCTACTATTATTAAAAAGAAATAAACGAACCTTGGAGCCAAACAGTTATCTCATTTTGCTCCCACATTACAACATTCAAATTAAAACAATTACAATATTCCGATTCGATGCGACACTCGAAGGGAGGATAATATAATATTTTCTTACATTTAATTTGATCGTTACCCGCGAGTGAAAGCAACCAAAGCATAATAAAAACTGCATTAACGCGGTAGATACGACTTAATTTGGCACTACAAAAATGTGGAGAATATAATAATAATGCCAACAGGCAGCTCGTGGTGAGCTATCGTTGAGTGGCGAGACCGCCTGGACCCGAGGTCTCCCGGGGACGTGCAAAGTGCAACGCAAGAGCAGAGTGCTCGAAAGGGTGAGAAGTCCGCTCACCCGCAGCCCGCGACGGCCGCGACACGGTCCTAGCTCGGTCATGGTATGAGATGGTGTAGTGGGCAGAGCCCTTTATTCAATACACCATCCAAACACCATTTCAGAAATCGTTATGTATTCCATATTTTATATATTATCTGGTGAATATCTCTAAGCAATTACATTGATTAGTCAGAGATGGATTCCGACCGATGCGTCACATTAGACATTTGAATTTCTTAAAGAGCCTCGACGTGTTGAACCTGTGTCCCCACGCATGCCTTACAACGGACCGAGCCCCTCGGAGCCCGTGAACCCTATAGAGATACAATAATGATAATAGGAGATAGCGCACGCGCGTACTGGCGGCGTAACAACAAAGGCGAAATAACAACAAAGTCAATTTAAAATTCGATTTAATTAACTACAACAGAGATATTTAAGACAATCATATTGAGAGTATTATTGTTCTCGCAAGGCGTCTACGCTACAGTAAACAACTAACAACAGAATATATTAAAAGCGGGTTCCCCGCTCGCGGCCGCGCGGCGCTCGCTGTCGTACAGTTTCATTTATTTATTTACTCCACTTCGGAATGTGCGCCGCCGTCTTATTTTACTAGCTATAAAAAATATACAAATCGCAAAGACGCCGACATTACAGCGACCAGAGAGCGCATCGCGCGGCGGCCCTCCGGCTACACTACGGCTATTTCTCATTTAACATTAGGTACCTTATTTCGTTCGGAATGTTTCACTCTTAGCTTCGCAGAAGAGATACAGAGAGAAGATATTGAAAAACGATAATTTTCGTTGTTAGAAATATCATTGTTCGTTCACATATAAGTAGCGCCTATTCTATAGATCCTTCGGAGATTCAGTGAGTCGACGGCGAGACACGTCCGAGGGTCTACTGCGTGCGCTAAGTGTCCGGGCGCGGCGGGTCCTCCTCGTCGTCGTCGTCGTCGTCTGCGTCGGCGTCGCGGCCGGCCTCGGCCTCGGCGTCGTCCTCGGCCGCCTCGCAGCAGCGCGCGCGCAGCGCCAGCGCAGCGCGGTAGGGCGCGCGCTGGCTCTCCGGCAGCAGGTGGTAGGAGCGCGAGGCGGGCGCGCGCCAGCGCTGCAGCACCAGCACGCAGGGCGGCGCCGCGTCGATGGTGCCGCACGACGCCGACAGCCGCGCGCGTGCCACCTCCACGCGCACGCCGCACACGCGCCGCGGCACCGTGCCGCCGCCGCTCGCCCCCGCGCCCACCCCGGCCGCCGCTCCCGCCGCCGCCCCCGCGCCGCCCAGCAGCCGCGAGTTGAACTCCAGCGTCTGCGAGGCGCGGCGGTGGCGGCGGCAGGGCGGCGCCACGCGCCACCACCAGTACGCGCTGCCGCGCCCCACGCCCGGCGGCGCCAGACCGCCCACACCGCCCACTCCGCCCATCGCACCCGCCACGTTTACACTCTCGTACACATTTTCTTCCACCTGCATAAAAAAAATTAAGTCTTAAAAATATATTATAATAATTTATTTAAAATATATACGAATATTTCCAATCATCGTCATATTTCAGTGCGCGTGCAGTGCTGCAGTGCGGCGTACCTGGAGCGCGCGCGGGCGGGCGCTCGCGTACACGTGCACGTCCACGCAGCCGGGGCGGCGCGCGGGGGCGGCACCCGACGGGGCGGGCGGCGCGGGGGCGGCGCCCGTCGGGGCGGGTGCGGCACCCGGCGGGGCGGGCGGCGCGGGAGGCGCGCGTCAGGCGCGCTCCACCACGGCCACGCCGGCGTAGGAGCGGCCCAGCGACATGGCGGCGCCCAGCACCGACCACTGCTCCACGGCGGGGTCGAACACCTGCCGAGCGCCGCACGTTCCCTTTCATTATTAGCTTATATACATACATATATGTATATTTTTTATATAAGATATTACAATCGTTATTTCTTTTTAAATAACGCTGGTATATTATTGTTAGTCGTAAATAATAGTATAGTCTGATTTTTAATTCGACGGAATTCTGACATTTCAGAAGTGTTGTCAACTTTGAAACATTGTCACTAAAAACGGAAAGCATTTTAGCAAAATAAAAAATAAACCTTTCTTGAATTTAAGGTTTCAATTAGAAAAACTAAGACTTAAAAAATTATTGCTAACTCTAAAATAGTAATTATTTTTTTTATTATCATATTATTAAAGTTACAATAATTATTAAGGAAATTATTTTTCTATTACAGGAATCTCTGTCCAATAATCCATTGGTTGAAAGCCTTTTTTAGGAAAACCCCTTTGTAAAATATTTTGTTTTACTCTGTTTTATTCATTTAACAATTAAAAATTTACATTATAGCCCGAGAGCTCGTGACGAATTTTGGGAAGGTCCTTTTGGCAAGTTGAAATTGTGAAAAAATATAATTTCGTGAATTGGCGAGTCCAGTCCCGCGAGTCTGGTATAGCTTTAGCGGTTATTTCGCTACTGCGCAGTATACAACATTCGCAAAAATATATCCAAAAAACATATTTTTGGCAATTTGATTTTTGTTTAATCCTTTAGTTTAGCTTTCATATAATTCAAAAAAAAAAACCCCAGACGTTTTTGTCGGTTATAAAGTATTGCCAGACCTCTCTAAAGACTCATTTTTTTTTATTCCAAAAAACATACTTTTGCAATCTGAATTTTATCTGAAATTTTAATCACGAATACGTGAATATAAATATATTGAGTAATTTTCAATAATATTTGCAAATCGCCAGACCAATTTAGCGGTTTTAAACCCTTCCCAGGCGTAAATAAAGTTTACAAATTAGTACTACAAAAAAGTCTTTTTAGGTGTAAGAAAGACAGCTTATCGAGGTATGCCAGCAGCTGATGGGGGCCCAAGGTCCTCGCGCTGTGATTGGTTATCGAGAAACCGCACGATTCGAGTATGGTTCGGGCTCTGCGTTCACAACAGAGTATTTTAGAGTAGTTTTTTTAGGGTTCCGTACCTAAAGGGTAAAACGGGACCTGTAATATATGTGTTCGAATATAGAACACTTCAATATTTTGATAGTTGTCAATATTGATTTAGAAATAAAAAGGGATTTGAAAGCAAATGGATTTTTACTAAAATTATCCAAATATTTCATTGGCGACGAGGATTATCGAGTTCACGAGGATTGATTTATTGTGTTTAGCATAATTTGGTGACTAAACAAAGAATAAATAATGGCAGAACGTAATATCGGTTCAACGTTTGGTGGTAATGTTTTTTTTGACCATCATATACAAGATTGGAGCATTTTTAAAAGTCGATTCATACAATATTGTGTAGCAAATAATGTACATGATGAGACTGACAAAACTGGTGTGAGACGACGGGCCATTTTGCTGACATCTCTAGCTGAGAATACCTACCGCATCGTAAAAGATTTAGTTTTTCCGGACGATTTGGATATAATTCCATTCAAGCAGCTAATAGAAAAATTAAATAATCATTTTTCTGCAAAGAAGTGTACCTTTGCCGAACGATATACGTTTTATAAGGCGGAACAACATCCAGGTGAGGATTTAGTAGAGTGGGCAGCACGGGTACGTAGATTGTCGCAATTCTGTGGTTTCAAACTAGAATTGGAAAATGCTTTACGTGACAGATTTGTATTAGGATTGGAAAATATAAAAGAGAAAGAAAAATTATTTGCTGAAAGCATAGAACTGTTAACTTTTGATAAGGCATTAGAGCTAGCCCAAAGCGTACGATGCGCACGACAAGCGATACAGTCTACCCAACATCATGATCGAGATCAATCTATGATGCAAAGTCAGCCAGTTTTCGCTTTGCAACGTCGGCAAGCGAGAAACAGTGATAATAGTACTGCTACCCAACGGCAATGTGATGTGTGTGGTTATAAAAATCATATAAAAGAAAATTGCAGATTCATAAATTACACATGTCAGAATTGTAATAAGAAAGGACATTTAAAGAAAATGTGTCAAATAAAAATCAATAGAAATAACTTTTTAGGTACTAATGACGATGGAGATGGTGTTAATAATTTTAATTTATTTAATTTACAGAAATGTATAAAAGATGAACCAATTACATGTTATATATGGGTAAGCAACTTAAAAGTATTGTGTGAAATTGATTGCGGTAGTTCTGTCTCTATTTTACCAACCGCAATATATAATGAATTATTTAAAAATAGTCATAACAATAGTTATCGTTTGCAAATATGTAATGAAATTTTTAATTTTTATACGGGAATGAAAATATCCCCAATAGGATTTGTAGTGTTGCCTGAAGTAACATATGAAGGCCGTACTAATCCACTAAAGTTTTATGTTTTAACGTCTAATGAAAAGCGCTTGCCTCTTTTAGGTCGTGATTTCATGAGATTATTCGATCTACATCTTTGTAATCATGACTGCAAAAAGAAGGATATAAATAGCATTGAAAATAATTTATTTAATGGGAAATATGCTTTGTTATTTAGTAAAGAATTAGGTAGATTTAACAAATATAAGGTAACTTTAAAAATAAAGCCTGAGGCGGAACTGAAATTTTTTAAAGCTCGGCCGGTACCTTTAGCATTGAAACCTAAAATAGAAAAGGAATTAGATAATTTACTTGAATTAGGTATTATTGAGAAAGTAGACCATTCGGATATAGCTACCCCTATTGTTCCGGTATTACGGCCGGATGGCAATGTTAGAATTTGCGGTGATTTTTCAGTCACATTAAATAAAGTCTTATATTTAGATAATTTTACAATACCACGTATTGAAGATTTATTCGCTAAACTTCACGGAGGCTTAGAGTTTAGTAAGTTAGACCTCTCAAGAGCTTACTTACAACTTGAGTTAGATGAATCAAAAAGGTATACTTGTATTAATACCCACAGGGGTTTGTATTGTTATAATAGACTAGTTTTTGGTTTGGCAAACGCCCCATTTATTTTTCAACGTACAATGGAACAGTTATTGGGTGATATTGATGGCGTTTGTATTTATTTAGATGATATTTTAATTACAGCTGCAACGAAAGAGGCTCATTTACAACGATTAGAATTGGTTTTAGATCGATTGCAAGAAGCAGGTTTAAGATTAAAACCAGAGAAATGTGAATTTTTCAAGAGTTCAATAGAGTACCTTGGTTATATTATAGATAAAGATGGGTTGCACAAGTCAAAAACTAAAGTCGAGGCTATATTAAAATGTGAGGCTCCAAAAAATGTAAGTGAGCTAAAATCGTTTTTAGGTTTAGTCAATTACTATCGATGTTTTGTGCCAAATACTTCTTCTGTGCTATACCCTCTTAATTCACTGCTAAAGAAAGGTGTATGATGGGTTTGGGGTAAAGATCAAAATGAAGCGTTTAATAAAATTAAATATGAATTAGCCTCAGAACGCGTGTTAGCTCATTATAATCCTAAATCCACCACCATAGTGACTTGTGACGCAAGTCCCACTGGCTTAGGAGCAGTGCTATCACAATGTCAACCAAAATGGTTGTGAGCGAGTTATAGCATATGCTTCACGTTCTTTGACTAAAGCTGAGATTAATTATGCTCAAATTCAGAAGGAAGCCACTTCAATTGTATTTGCAGTTAAAAAATTTAACCATTATTTATACGGGCGTTCGGAGCCGTTTGTTTTACGTACGGACCATAAACCTCTTGTAGCTATTCTTGGAAATAAAAAAGGTGTTCCAATTTTAGCAGCAAACAGATTACAAAGATATGCTCTATTTTTGTCGGCGTATAATTTTAATATTGAATATGTTAAGAGCAATGATAATATTGCTGATTTTTTGTCGCGTGCTACGGTTACAGGTAAACCAGATGAATCTGTCAGTATTGATCATTCCTTATATATAGATTTTATCGGTGAAGTTGTTTTACCGCCCATTACTGTTAATGATATTAGAAACGAAACTAAGCAGGATGTGGTTTTACAAAAAGTAATTAAAATGATCAATGAAGGATGGCCTCGTAAGGTATTAGACCCCAGTTTAAAGCCTTTCTTTTTGTGTAGAAATGAACTCTCATTTGAAAATGGATGTATATTACGCGGATATAAAGTAGTAATTCCTACAAGCTTGCGACAGAAACTTTTAGACGAACTATATAGATCACACTTTGGTGTAGTTAAAACAAAGTCAGAGGCAAGGTCGCGTATGTGGTGGCCAAATATTGACAGAAATATTGAAGAAAATATTGGTTCTTGTAAAGTTTGCAACTCGCATAGAAGTAACCCTCCACATGCGCCACTTGCATCTTGGCCTTATCCTAAAGGCCCTTGGGAACGTGTTCATTTAGATGTATTCTTATTTAATGGAAAACAATTTTTGATCGCAGTTGATGCATTTTCTAAGTGGTTGGAATGTTTTTATATGAAAAAGATTGATACTGAGTCAGTTATTAGTAATATAAGTGAAATGTTTAGCAGATTTGGATTAGTACGGACTTTAGTAACTGATAATGCTACGAATTTTTGTTCTAATGATTTTGAGGTTTTTTGTCGATTAAATGGTATTGAGCATTTAACTAGTCCTCCTTACCACCCCCAGTCAAATGGACAAGCGGAGGTAAGCGTCAAAACAATTAAGAGCGGCTTAAAGGCCATTGTAACAAATGATATGAGTTTCAGTAACTTAATGATTAAAATGCATAAGTTTTTATTCGATTATAGGAATTCTGTAAATTTAACAACTGGATTTTCGCCTGCTCAATTAATGTTTGGACGACCTCTACGTTGTCGACTGGATTTAATTCGTGATTGTACAAAACTACCTGTTTGTTTTCCTTCGTCATCTGTTGCTAGAGATAATGTTAGTAATGCTCAGATGCATCAAAGTAAGCAATTTAAAGGTAAAAGAAATGTAAATTTTGTAGTTGGTGATAAGGTACTTGTAAAACATTATTATTCTATTGGCAATAAGCAATATAGCACATGGAAAGTAGGTATTATTAATAGTTGTATCGGTTCTCGTATGATTAAAGTTTACATACCGGAGTTAAATCTTTTTACAAAAAAGCATGTCGACCAATTATGGATGTATAAAGGAAGTTCATCATCGGATAACGATATAAGTTCCATTGGAGATTACGTAAATGAAAATCATATTTTAGAAACAAAAGATACCGCGTCCTGTGGCACAGATAAAGAGGTTGGTGATGCGAAGGTGACACCGGACTAAAATAATGAAATTTCCGATGATGAATTTTTTGACGTAGATCCACCTGATGTGCATGAACCAGTCGGTAATACGCAATCTCAGGATAATCGACGTTATCCAATTAGAACAAGTAGAAAAACTATAAATTATAAGGAGTAGCCTTATTTAATTATTTAATTTACATCTTAATTAGTGTTGGAGGAATGTAATATATGTGTTCGAATATAGAACACTTCAATATTTTGATAGTTGTCAATATTGATTTAAAAATAAAAAGGGATTTGAAAGCAAATGGATTTTTACTAAAATTATCCAAATATTTCAGGACCCTATTACTAAGACTCCGTTGTCCGTCCGTCTGTCTATCCGTCTGTGACCAGGCTGTATCTCATGAACCATGATAGTTAAACAGTTGAAATTTTCACAGATGATGTATTTCTGTTGCCGCTATAACAACAAATACAAAACAATAGAATAAAATAAATATTTAAGGGGGCTCCCATACAACAAACGTGATTTTTTGCTATTTTTATAGATAATGGTACGAAACCCTTCGAGCTTCGGCGCGAGTCCTAATTTAAAAGATTAAACAATAATCGAGTTGCCAAAAATATATTTGCCAATTGTATTGTGTATTGTGCAAGCGTAATTATTGTTTTTATTAATAGACATATTTATGTACCGTAAATTGTATTCGTACCTCGACGGTGGCGAGGTTGGCGGCGCCGTCGTCGCCGCCCACCACGTAGAGGCGGCCGTGGTGCGCCGCCACGCCAGCGTTGCGGCGCGCGCTGGCCATGGGCGGCGCCGGCGCCCAGCCCTCGCCGCGCAGGCGCTCCACGCTGCGGCGCACGGCCGGCCCGTCGTGCCCGCCCACGGCGTACAGCGCGCCGCCCGCCACGCCCACGCCGGCGCCCGAGCGCCGCGCCGCCATGTCGGGCGCCGGCGTCCACGCGTCCGCCGCCGGGTCGTAGCGCTCCACGCTGGCCAGGCACTGGCGCGAGGCGCCGTCGTAGCCACCCACGGCGTACAGGCGCCCATCCAGCACGCCCACGCCCACGCTGGAGCGCCGCGTGCTCATGGCGGCCACGGGGCGCCACACGCCCTCGCGCACGTCCAGCGCCTCCGCCGAGCTCAGCCCGGTCGCGCCGTCAAACCTGCACACCTCATCGTTTCATATCCCTCCATGACCGCGGACACGCCGGCGTGTCAGTTAACTATAGATTTCTCAGAATTTTAATTAATTTATTAGAAATTTACCTGAGATGTTTTACTTTGTTTACTACTATTTTTTATTTAATTTTTTTAATAATTTGTAAGGGTTTGCAATTTTTTGGCAACTCAGATAATGATAATTAAAAGAATATAAAAGAAGTCTTTAATAGACTGTTTACAGTCTTCAAGTTATGATTTATAAAAATATAATGTATGCATAAAGTCTTTAAATTCTTCAAATTTTTATTTTTGCTTATATTATTTCATAGGTTAAATCTTAAAATATTGACTTAATGTATAATATTGTATGACTTAGTGTATTTACCGAAAATAAGACACTTCGTCTGAAAAAATCCTTCTTCGTGCATTATTTTTGCGACTTTTAAATAAATATTGCGGCAAGAATGGCGATTTATTTAAATGTGATTAAATACGAAGTTAACGAACGCAAGAGTACGGACCCGCCCACGGCGTAGATGACGTGCCCGATGACGGCGACGCCGAGCGTGGAGCGGCGCGCGCACAGCGGCGGGCCCGGCGCCCACGCGTCCGCGCCCGCGTCGTACACGTCCACGCTGCGCACCCGCAGCGTGCCGTTGAAGCCGCCCACCGCGTACAGCCGCCCGCCCACCGCCGCCAGCCCCGCGCGGCAGCGCCGCGTGGGCAGTTCGGCCGCCGCGCGCCAGCGCCCCGTTTCCATATGGAACGCCTCCACGTCGCGCACCGCCTTGGGCGCCTGCCCGCCCACGACCAGCAGCAGCTTGGGCGAGCGCGGCGGCTGGCGCGGCCGCGCGCGCGCGCACGCGGCGGCAGCTGCGGCGCGGCGCTCGGGCCGCAGCAGGTGGAAGCTCAGCGCCTCGATCAGCAGGTCCTTGACGCGCAGCTCGGCGCTGGCCAGCGGCTCGGCGGCGGCGCGCGCCACCAGCGCGTCCTGCGCCAGCAGCGGCAGGCGCACGTGCTCCAGCAGCGCGCCCAGCTGCGGGCGGCGCGAGGGCGCGTGCCGCACCCAGCGCAGCACGGCGTCCAGCACGGCCTCCTCGTCGGGCACGGCCACGCGGTCGCTGGCCAGCAGCGCCGCCAGCGCGGGCGCCGACAGCGCCAGGAACTCCTCGGTGTCGAGCACCTCGGCGAAGTGGCGCTCCACGAAGCGCTCGGCGCAGTCGGCGAGGTCGGCGCAGGCGTGCAGGTCGGCGAAGGCGCGGATGCCGAGCGCGTTGTCGGGCGACAGCGCGGCGGCGAGGAAGGCGCAGGCGCGCGCGCGCACGCCCGGCACCTGCAGCAGCGATGCCGCCGACAGCAGGCTCTGCACGTTGTCCTCGCTGATCACCAGCGAGTCGGGGTTGTATACGTACTCGACGATGGCCTCCAGCGCCTGCGGCTCCACGTCCTGCGCCACGCCCAAGGTTCCGTCTTTCAAATTTTTACTTGTAATCGAGTATGAAACAAAAACACGCAGTGAATACGAGGATATAGTCCTATAACCTGTATGGTGATGGTGGCCTGCGTGCGCTCGTCGAACTGCGTGAACATGGCGCGGAAGTAGGGCGAGCACGCCGCCAGTACGGCGCGGTGCGCGCACACACCGTCGCCCGCCTCCGCGCCGCCCGCCCCCGCCCCCGCGCCGCCCGCCCCCGCCCCCGCGCTGTCGCCACCCGCCCCCGCGCCCACTTCCTCCCCCGCCCCCGCCCCCACACCGCACACGCCAGGCGCCTGCGCCTGGGACGTGATGCAAATGATGAACATATACATATGTATATTAAGTGACTAGAGTCTATTAATCAGCTCAACGGACCCATTTCATTTGGTTCCTCAAGCGAGCGCATCACCACTGGGCTGTCGCTGTTGACTGTATTCGTTATACATTATTATTATGTTCAGAAACCATCACAATGTTTATACTGATACATCATACAGTCTAAATTATAATGCCACTAATAACTCTAAGGGGAGTGATTATTTCAGTACTAAGTGATTCTAAGTATACATATCATACTAAAAACTATTCTGAAACATTATATGTATATAATGTTATTTTTACATTATCGCTATAGCTCGCGAGGGCTCGGGTTTGGATCGGGCCATACCAGTGGCTAGGTCACTCTCACCGGTCATATCGATATCTCGTTATACCGAAAGACAAAGGTTAAAGAAATATAGAGTGCAGGGACGGTTACCAGCAGGCGCACGTCGCAGAGCAGGCGGTCGCGGCGCAGGCGCGCCAGCGCGTCTAGCAGCTGCGCCGCGTGCTGCGCGCCCGCGCCGCCCTCACGCGCCTCGCGCCGCTGCGACGACTCGTCCAGCGACGACTGCGACGCGCACCGCACCATCATACTGCGCGCACAAACACACATACACACTCCGCCCCACTCTAAACCTATGTTGAGTTTACTAGTACAGTAATTCTGGGTAACTTTGGACCGAACCTGATGAGGCAAATCGCTATGGTTTGACCATAATTTGTGCAGAATGACTACACAGTGATTGTGATTTACATAAGTGATCTTTTGACATTCTGAATACTAGCCACATTGAAAAATATATAAATTATGCGCGAATCTTGAGATATAGACAGAAAGATGTGCGGTCCAAAGTTTGACCTTGGGCTTGGGGTAGCATTAGATCATCTTTTTTTTGTGACCTTAAAAACCCATATTAACGGGTTATTTGTCATACAGATAACATCGCACCAGATTTACACAAAGCTACAAAACGCGAAAAAATAAGCTGTTTTGTTTCTACGCTAAAATTGTTGGCTTGTGAATTTTATATTTTATTGTATTGTTTATTCTCTGTTTGGACAGTTTTTTTACATTTGGATCAGCGTTGCCAAATTTTTATCGGACAAACCGGGATTTTCAAATTGTTGAGTAAAATAAGTGGAATTCTTTCATCGAAAGCGGGATATACTAAAAACCTATATAATCAACTATAATTTAAATACTCATCCTTTTATTTGAGTTTCACATTAAGTTTATTATATAACAAAAGATAGCCAAAATAGCCATAGAAAATTTATTTTAAATAAAAAATATCTTATTTTATTAATACTAATACTAACAATAATAATATAATACCCTGTATTAAGGCAGTTGAGTCTTCAGAGACATATGATTATAAATTATATTATTATAATATAACTAAGTCTTACTAATAGGAGTTATTTATTCATATTTCTATGAAGGTATAACTTCTTTTAAAGTTTCCTTTTTTTTATATAGCTGAGGAACTCTGTACAGGATAGATCAAAATAACATTATTTATAGATACCGGAAAACTGCATGCATGTGGAAACACAACACATGTAACATAATTGACATAATTTTAATATATTATTTTATCTATTGTGTGGTGTTCCATACAATTACAAAACTAATAATATACTAATCATAAGACAAGGTACTATTTGATATGGTGTTGATTGGTATATTGACAAACTCTTTACTATTTCAATATCAATACACAAACAATTTTTTTATTAGGTACTAAACTATATGATAACACTATAGTGTCAGTGTAAAGTCACAACTGTGCCCACAAGATTTAGTAGAAAGTGTGTTATGTATACTTTTGACCTATGTCTGCATTTTTTTAACTCACATTCCAAGAAATCAGACTAATATGAGTATAATGTTGAAGTAGATTACATAGTAAGTATGTTGTGGTTTTAGTTTGTATTTATGAACCAGTTACAGTGTTAATTACAAATGTAAGAGCAGTCTTTGTCGACTAAATTGAGTGAAAATTCAATTAAAATTTCTTTAATTGGAAAATAAAAATATATAGTTAAATGTATTAAATAGAAACTTAAAATATATTTTTTTACTGGTAAAAATGTAGGTTAAATTTATATAACTTTATAGAAACAAAGTAGTGTTCACTTTATCTGCTCATTTTTTAAATTCTTGTTGTCATAGTCATTACTTTTGTTACAAACATGTCTTTCTTTACTGCATCAATTGTGTGGCTTCTGTAATTTATAATAATACTAGCGATTCACCCTCGCTTCGCTCGGGTTCGTCCCTAGATAGGTATTAATGGTTAGTATGAAATACAAATCTTTAAATTACTCGGCTTTTCTGTACTATAATATGTATGTATTATACATATAAACCTTCCTCTTGAATCACTCTATCTATTGAAAACAAACCGCATCAAAATCCGTTGCGTAGTTTTAAAGATCTAAGCATATATAAGGACAGACAGACAGCGGGAAGCGACTTTGTTTTATACTATGTAGTGATACTCATGTACCTATATTTTGTCTAAAAGTTACTAAATAGGTTCAATATGTTTATATCGTAGATTGAAGAACCAGGCCATTCGTTTTAATTTGCTTCTCAATATTTGTAGTATTAAAAATGCTGGAACCATACCTGTATCTCGCTCTATCTCCATCTACCTCGGCCGCACTGTGCTCCACTCCTACACTGAAATGGTAATCATATAGATTAAAGACAATAAACAAATAACAAATAATAATTAATAACTCAAAAGTAAAATTTTAAATACTTTATTTCTGTTATATCATATTCTGTACACTTATACACTTTAAAAGGCATTTTATAAATCTATCTATCCTATATGTACATCCAATAAAATAAGTTCAAAGGGTACAGTGATACTATCTAGATATAACTAAATACTTTGACACAGCATTTACTGTTTTTGTAAATAACAACCAGTATTTTGTCTAATGCACAAATAAGGATTACGTCCCAGCTAGCAGACTCAATGTCAACTGATATTACATTATTTTATAATAACTCATTTGTTATCTTGCTGGGTCCATTAGCCAACAATATTATGGAGCCTACTCTGTGTGATAAACAAAAACAAACATATTGGTTAAATTATTGCACAATCAGTCTGAGAAGTTGGAGTCTTGGTTGTATTTATTTATTATTTAATATTTGTTTACTGGCAAAAAAAAACAATCATTAACTGAGGTGATTCTGCCTATTTTAGTGATGACATTTTTTTGTACCATGAAGCTAGAGATGCAAATAAACAATGCAATAACTTACAGGCCACGATCACGTTCTGAATCCCCATTATTTGCTTCCATCGTACTCTTTAATTACAAAATCATTCGCCGTTCACTGCCCTCACTACAATCACAAGGTAAACTTAGTAAATTTTACTTAATCAAAATAAATAAAGTCATATTGAACACCATAGTCGCTTTCATTTGTTCATTAGTAAATATTTTAGTTAGAAATCGTTAAATAGTAGTAAAAAGCATTCAAAAAAGTAAAAACAAATAGGATTTCGATTTTGACATTTCAACTTTGACAGTTACTTTATCTAGAGATAAGACTGGATGTTTAAGAAATTTGTAAAAGAATATAAAAAAATAGGAAAGAATATAGGTAAGAATATATTTTATTAAATATTATAATATAAATTTTTATAGTCTTTAATTTCTTCATCACAAGTACCGCCATCTTTTGGCAATATTTGAAATTATCTTTCTGAGATTCTTACTTCGAGAAAAGTTATGATGTCTTTACTTTAAAACTTTCTTAAATAAAATATGCTTATGTAGAGCAACAAAATATAATTGGATAGAGGTATGAAGTTTTATTTGTCAACCAAAAGTATGTACATAATTAAAAAAATATATTTATTTAAGGCCGGGTCCAATAATCTACCTTCTTTTTTAACGTTGCGAAAAGCATTTAGACTCGACGTGTGGGACTCGCCGGCAATTGGCAAAGCCTACTTACTGGCTTTGCCAATTGTAGTACTCTACCCGCTAAATCCCAACGGAACCTCTTCCGTCTTAATGGGGCGTCGCAAGATCGCTTACGCATTTAACCACGACGCCCTGATGGCAGGTGTGCCGAAGCAGACCACAACAATCATGGGGTTACTCCATGGTCCAATCTGCTATCATAGAAGTCCCAGGAGCAACCCCCATAGCACACCGACCATCGAGGTCGAGGCGTCCCAGTGCATTTCTTGGCCTCGCGCCCGGTTACACAATTCGTGACTAGTCACTACATAGCGGTACCGACATCTCTGTGTCCGCGAATATCCGCGCCCTTTTTTACTTTTTTTAAAACACATTCCTATCGGCCAAGGTCACATAAGTAAATGCCTTATACATAGATCATAAAAATTAATCAAATATATTATTTAAAGAGGTCGAATGTCTGTACATAGAATTTACTAAAAACCGAGTCAGGGGAATGTAAGAATAGAAATAGAACAAGTCCAGTTTTTTTTTCAATTTTTTTGTTTCTCTATCTGTCTGTTTGTACGGTTTAATCTCCGAAACTGTTAAACCGATTTAAATAAAATTTTGCATGGTGGTAGCTTATATCACTGGTCAACATTTTAGATACTTTTGGTCCCAGAAAATGAAAGGGTTCCCGTGGAATAGTTAAAAAAACTATAGTAACGTATATACAGCTTAGTACACAAAAACTACTGATTGGATTTTAATGAAACTTTACAGTAATATAGTTCATACATCATAATAACAAATAAGCTACTTTTTATCCCGGAAAAACGCACGGTTCCCGTAGGATAGATTTGTCGTTGTTTGTCTAGAAGCGAACCCGAGCGAAGCGAGGGTGAGTCGCTAGTTTTGATTTATACCTACAGATAAATAGATTTGAAGTGTCTGAAATGTGAAGTGGACTCGTTTTCCGCGCTTAGACTCCCTTCTGGTCCGTTGTGCGTGCGAATCCTGGCTATATTAGCCATCCGAGCTCCGCCCAGAAGCGCAGAAGTTTCCTGGGAACTTCACAGGCTTCGCGGAGCGACCTACTGGTCCGAGGATTTCTTCACGTTGAGAAGTTACAGCTACGCTTTCCAGGATTACGTGGGCAACTGATTCTTCAGCGCCGAGGCACCCTCTGCACAGAGGGGTGTCCGTTGCGCCGATGTTATATAAGTGTTTGTGCAAGGGACAGTGGCCCGTTATCGTCCCTATCATTATTTTAAGATTTGTTTTATTGAGGTTTAGTAGGCGTTTTGTTAGTCGTGTGTTTACTGCAGGCAGAGCTGATCTAGATTGTCTGCAGTCTGCAGTTTGCGACCATCTGTTGTTTTGTAACGTCGTGGATCTTTGGCAGATCCAGGTGCGAATCTGTGCAAAGGGTCTGGGGAGAAGCGGGTATGGGCCAGTCACTTCTAGTTTTGACCCCCTCTTTGCAAGTTCATCAGCTGCATCGTTGCCATGTGAGCCACTGTGTGCCCTGATCCATTGAAGGGTGACTTGATTTGTTGTTGATATCAAGTCCAGGGCGTTGTGACATTCAATTATTAGTTTGTTGTTGGTTTGTTTGTTATTTAGCGCCTGCAGAACTGCTGCACTATCGGAGAGTATTTTTATGTTATAGTTGTTTACCCCACGACAGTGCACGGTTCTTAAGGCTTCCGATATGGCTACACATTCGCATTGGAAAATCGAGCTGTGTATGCCTAATGGTATTTGTGTTTTGATGTTGAGATCAAGGGAAAATAGACCAGCTCCTGAGACTTCTCGTGTCTTAGAGCCATCCGTATAAATACGTAGCTCATTGGCAGGTGAGTGGTCTTGTTCCTCTTCTCTCATAGTTATTTTGTATCTTTTGTTAAACATATATTTATTGTGTGTTCTATCACACGTCTGTCTTGGGACAGCGTCACCAGGTATTCTGCTACGATGTTCAAACCCCATTTTAGCAGCCTTAGGAAGATTCCATCGAGGCCTGCAGATTTGAAGTGTCTGTTTATAATTTTAAAATAACAGCTTTTTACTAAATCCTGAATCCTAAAAGCCAAATAACAAAGAATTGAATTTAATTAAATGCTTAAGAATTTTTTTATGGTACTTATAAGAAAATCGCAATTTAAAAAAAATGTCTGTCTGTTAGTTCCAGCTAATCTCCGAAATGGTTGGACTAATTTTGACGGGTTTTTTGCTGGCAGATAGCTAAAATTTTAGAAAAAGAATTAGAGTTCCGCTCAAAAAAATAAAAAACATATCCAGGGACGCACCCGAGCGAAGCGAGGGTAAGTCGCTAGTTTTCAATAATATTAGGTATAATTTTTTACATTCCATTTATAAATTCAAATTGGAATAAAAGACAGGTACATAAGGGCCGCACGTTCGCACGCACTTTATTAACTTGTTTTCATCTTTTTAGTTTGTTTTACACGCAGTCGGGTTTTTATTTTTATAGTGTATTTTTTTTATTTGTAGACGACTGTACAATAATACAACTTACATACTTACAACGTTTACGTCTTCAGGATCATATAACTCTGCTAATATGGCATTCTTAACTAATAAGATTTAGATAACTAAGATTTTTTAATTAATAATTCTTTTACAGCTGTTTTATTCCGTCTACTACCTATATTATTACTACTATAGTACTTACCTATATTATTATTAATTAAAAAATGTTCCAGCGTCGGATCACCGGATGAGCGACGTCCAACGCGCCAAGCGGCAAGCGCGCGGCGTGTTGAAAGTTAATTGACAAGAGGGAGCATGCAAATTTGATGAGCCGAGGGCGGAGTCGTGATGGATTGCTTTTTGATGAGATTTATGAGTCGTCGCCGGCGCCGACACACGCGTCCCACGACACCTATATTGGGTGGCCATCGATGTCAACACTTAATTCTGACATCGTTTGTAATCTATCTGCCGCTCGACGAAACTGATCGTTTCCACACAGTTTTTGAGATTTGAATTCATCAGTATATTATGTTTTCACTTCAACGAATCAATACGTGTAATGTTTTTGTCTATGTTTACTTCATTTATTCAGGTACTAGCATAAATCTGTAAAAAATGTTTACTTTGTAGGATGCGAGGTACCTATTATAAATAAGGTATTGAGAAAATCTGTAGTAACGCGGTTTCAATCGTGTGACAAAATGAGAGGTAGATAAACTGGTAAATTTTGTAAGAGTTTAGAAAATTGATATTTATGAAATTGGCAACGTTTTTTTACCTAGCTACCTCTTGTTTGAAAAAACGAAGTTTAAAACAATTCTAGGTCAAAGGTAAAATTTTCGAAATGCCTGAAGTAAAATGTAGACAGAAAGACTGTCATCTCTATAATGTCCGCCTGGTATTATATTGTAGCAATAAGAGAGTCTGGCGATATTGCTCCAAGAAATGTAAGCTGTTAATTTTTAGACTATTTAAATATGTTTTTTTTTTTAATTTATATGTATCTAATAATGTTTGTTTTCTTGATCTGCAGATATAATATGTACGAGTATTTATAGTTGCTAGGAATAATATGGGCCTGCTCGTAAATTATATTTTGACATAATTTATGCACGTCTCTGGTCTCCCAGTAGGTACCTGTCTTGGTGAATATTCATAAGCTTTAGTAACTAGTTGCATCCTAGCCTTTTACGTAGTACCTACATGTATACTTATGTGGTAAAGAAGAGCAAAGTCATCTATTTTAACAATTAAAAAACTCTTTATAGCTATCGAAGATATGCCAAATTAGATTAGGTATGTATATGTATATGTATCCCTATTTAAAAACTCCAATAGGACCTGTCAAAAGCGACAAAAGTCACATAGAAACCAATAAATATTTATTGGTTTCTATGTGGCTTTTGTCGCTTTTGATGGGATTCTATTGGAGTTTTTCAACAGGAATATCACTCTTGTGTTACGTAATGCTAGTAACCATTCAGTATAGTAGTGAACTGCTTCTTATTTTACTACTAGTACTAATTCTACTATTCTCTACTAGTACCTACTAAACAATGCGAAAATAAATACATAATAAAAAAAAACAAATGTACAAATGAAACAAAACTTAAGAAATAAGTACGCTTGCATATTCTTACTTACTCAGGAAATAAAATATATGTATTTTTATTTATATTATTTTAAATGTCTTACTTAAAATTATTATTTTTAATTCATTATTACTCGAGCTAATTAGCACGGCCGTGTCCGATGCATTTTTGCCAACACACAATGGAATTTTGAAGCTTTGATGTATGCGGAAATGTTCACCCCATCGTCATCCGCCGGTGTCAAGGGCGAAAAGTGCATACGGGGTGTGCACTGTGCGGGCAGGGTGGCACCGGAGCGCGGGGTGAGGCGCATAGCAACTGCGAGGGGTGCAAGCTGAACAAAGGAACATTGTTGCTCCCGGTTAACGCTCAGTTTTAATAGCATCTAGCATACATCTGCTCGTAGCGGTGCAGCGCCCGGGGAGCGGGGCGGGCGAGGGCGGTCGCGGGCTCCCGAGCGGGCGTCGATCAGGAACAGCTGTGCGCGTCGAACTCCGGAGATACTTCGTTCCTATCGAAAAGTACGATATTTAAAGCGGAGAAATTTTTATAGTTTCTTACATATCCTCAATGGAACTGAATTGTCCAGATGGAATGATTGTTTCAGATATAATCAAAAATTTCCGTACATAAAGAAAAGCGGGAGGCGTGCCCATAGTGACAGGCTAGAGCCTGTAGAGAGAGACGGTAGAGTGCGTCGGTTAGAGTAGAAAAGGGACACCGATACCGGCACGGCGCCGGAACGAGGACGAGGACGAGCGAGGACGATGGCTGTGCCCGGCTCAGCTGATTTTGACTGTTACTAGGCGGGCGGTGGTGGTGAGGGGCGGGGTGGCAGCCGGCGGATGGGTGGCTCAGGGGTGGCGGACTCCATTATACACTCGGGCGGCTGGAAGTTGCATGGCTTATGAATATGTATGCGAAGGTATAATTTTTGACGCCGCTCTCGGGACACGAGTGCTCTAAAAGACCGGCTTATGCATAAAATGCATTCATTCTCTATTTAGGTGCTTATCTAAAGTTAATTCATTTTTTGGCGAACGCAGGAGATAAATAGACAATGAAGGCCCAGAATACCATAAAGGCAGTCTATTTATCTCATATCTTTAAACGAGCAATTCTTGTATGTATATATATATAATTTGAATCTCGAAAACGGCTCCAACGATTTTCACCAAATTTAGCACACAGGGGGTTTCGGGGGCGATAAGTCGATCTAGATAAGTCTTATGTCTGAGAAAACGCGTGCTTTCGAGTTTTCATGCAGTTTTCTTTTGTATTATTCCACGCAAAATATGGTCGGTAATTTGCACGCTCGGGCATAAGCATCGTGGTCAAGCGGCCAAGGTGCAAGATCAGCGAACACAGGTGTCCAGGTCGAATCTCGGTCGTATACAAAGTTTTTACTTTTGTTTTTTTTTTATATTTATCCAAGTTGTAATTTAAAAAAAAATGTACTTTAGGCCAAAAACTCCCAGCGAAGGTCGGTAGCCCAGGTACTTATTTATACATTTTATGAAGTATTAACTGGTTCACACTTGCACGTTGGTTATTTTTTAAATTTTAGTTAAGGAGATTTATAACCTACGTGACAGATGAAAACTTTTATAAATAGTGTTCTTAAGAGTTTACTTTTTTAAGAGTTTTTAAGAGTTTTTCTTCTTAAGAGTCATAAGTAAGTTCTTAAAGAGCTTTGTGTAACTTAAAAATATTCTTATGACATTTATTTATATTCACGCTAGCAGAACCCGCGGCTTCGCTCGCGCTAATATTACAAAAAAACTCGAAAAGGAAAGGTTTCATACAAACTTTCATCCTTTATTTTACCCCGTTATGTGATGAATTTCAAAAAACGCTAAAATAGATATTTATTTAATTGTATTGAAGTCAATACTAACTTTCAAGTAATTCTGACCACAATGTTTTTTTGGGTTCTCTTAAAAAGTGTTTTTCCGTGGGAATGACATAATATCCCTCGGTAAAAAGTAGCTTATGTCAAACTCCAGCCCTTCAACTATCTCCTCACAAAAAATCACGCCAATCCGTCCCTCTGTTTCGACGTGAAAGAAGGACAAACAAACAAACAAACACACTTTCTCATTTATAATATACCTAAGTATGGAAGTATGGATGTTTCAAGGTAATAAAAATATTTACGTTTTTGGTTGTTTGAGTTATTTTAACAACAATTTTCAGACTTTTTGATGTCTTTGAAGCCCGTCCTTAATGTTTTTTATGCTCAGTCTTACTGATTCTATATTGTAAAATGATAGTAGGTATATATTAAACCCAATGCTCGCGATTCGCGAACGAAATAAATGACCACACGCTTTGGGAAGGAGCTAATTTTTGAATAAAATAAAGTTATTAATTTCTTAAATATTTATAAGTTATAAAGTATAATATGAGCGTTGATATACAAAAACTCTATCTGTCAATAAATATGAGGCCATATTATGATCAGGATGACAACTCCAAATTAGAGTAGCGCTTCACGAAATAGATAGTTATGTACATAACAAAACATAAAAAAAACAGTCGAATTGAGAACCTCCTCCTTTTTGAAGTCGGTTGAAAACATAAGTAGTTGGACTACTATGTTTAGTTCGGATAATGTACATTAACCTATATATTTAGAGTAAAAACGAATCTTAGTGAATGGCACTAAAAGAAGCTGATTTCTTCGTCGTTATTGCAATTTGCACTTAATAGCTCGTAGCAGCAAGAGTTACATCTATTGACTTTTGTTTAATGTTATTTTTTTTTGCTGCTTTCTGAAATTTACAAAGGAGCTAGATAAATTACTGATAATGTATGAAATACGAAAGTATTCCATAAACTTGTCTTCGTTAGTATATAATTGTTTTTTATTAACGTATTAAAATAACCCTCGACCTCTCTTCACGAAAAGGTCGTGACGCCTTTTTCTTCTCTCCTGTTTTAATAACATTTGTACGACGAGATCATCATCCTCGTCAGCAGACGCCGGACGCTATCAGATGCAACCTACGGCGTTTGTTGCAGTCTGCAGACCAACGCCTAAAATTGTTGTGACGTGACAACGTCGAGTTACGCTGACCCTCCAGCCCGCTCTCTAGCGTCCCTTCCTATGTCCCGCGACATGATTGATTTGTATTCTATAACTACTCCAAGTCCAAACACTTAACAATACATCAACATCTATACACAGTCTTTATACAATTCAATATTTATTTATATTATAAACTAATAAATAATAAATAAAATATAAATATTTATATAACTCACTCTAGCTTCGCTCGGATTCATCTCTAAGTGATTATTCAAAGTGACACATTTTTTCATTTATGAACCGATTATAATAAAACAAACATTAAATGTTAAGTGAACGTGCATAAACGTGCAGACAAACAGACAAAAATTCTAAAAATCATTTTAACTAGTCCTATTGCGTTAATGAATACCCCCAATAATAGTTTTTCTTAAATATCTTGCATATACAGACAGCGATCAGTTACAATTTAATCATATTATGTATATGTAGATGTATCCTGTATGTCAAAAGTGATTAAGTAATAACTTAGAGGTAATTTTAACCATCAAAAACATACTGTAAAAATATTGCAAGTCTCGCAACGCATCTCTCTACCGCAAAAAGCTATGAGATATAATGTAAAACCAAGTCGGTTAATTTATTCATTACCTATCTATGGAAGCATCTATCCGATAACTTTGTCATAAATCGTTACCGAATTAGTTAAGTTACAACATTTTATAGTGACCGTATTAATATTAGATATATTTATTTCTTTAATTAATAGAGTGACTTGGCCATCGCACGGAAACATAATCACATAAGAGTCTACTACTTTAAATAGTCCTAATTAAAACTACCATGACCAAGGTGGACGGACGACTTGGTCAAAGTCGCTGGAGCTCACTGGATGCGGATGGCACAAGACTGGTTGTCGTGGAAATTTTTGGGGGAGGCCTATGCCCAGCTGTGGACGTGTTTGGGCTGAAATGAACGGAACATAGTACTAGCGGGTCAAATTGATGCATACACTAACAATACATAAATAATGCACTCAGAACGTAAATATTAGGTAAATTTTGTTATTTGTAGGTTCTGTTTCTGTTATCATGTGCGATGGCCAAGTCATTCTATTAATTAAAGAAATAAATATATCTAATATTAATACGGTCACTATAAAATGTTGTAACTTAACTAATTCGGTAACGATTTATGACAAAGTTATCGGATAGATGCTTCCATAGATAGGTAATGAATAAATTAACCGACTTGGTTTTACATTATATCTCATAGCTTTTTGCGGTAGAGAGATGCGTTGCGAGACTTGCAATATTTTTACAGTATGTTTTTGATGGGATCTCATTTCTTTTTGTAAATATTTCTTCTTTTTCCCTTTTCTTGTACTATTTCTTGTGTGTCAGCTAAGGACTTCTTAAAAGCCCACTCCCTGTCTCTGTGGGATTTTTTCAGAGGCTTTGATATAACAAATTTTGACAAGTCTGGATGATAAAAAATCTAAGTCTATTGTATTCGGAAATTGCGGATTCCTGGGCTTCATTACTACTATCTTATGCATTAAGTATAAATATGTATAGTTAATTTAATGAATATTTTAATTTCGTTGTTGACCCTAAATACCTACCCCGATACTGATATTGAACTTACGCAAGTTTAATAAAACGTGTAGATTTATGTCTCAATCTGCGGCATCGTAGGTAAATCCCGAAGGTTGTTATACTTAATTATTATTGCTTGTTCAGTCAATTTTGATGCAGTTTAATAGAAAAGTGAGGTTGCCAACTCACTTCATTCACTGATTCCATTGGCCATTTTAAAAGTAATTTTCGAAGAGATTGATATTTCATGACCTCTATATTCCATGTTCTATTAGGTGTGCACAGTTACGAGCAATGAAATATTAACAAGTATTCTAATTCAAATCAACATCATACTTTATAAAAGAAAATATACGAGCTTTGTTTCAAAATATGTTGGGACAGTAACACACAGAACCATCTAGTTCCATGGTAAGCTACGAGGCTTGTGTTATGGATACTAGATATTTGATACACTACACATATATAACTTTAAATACATACATATTATAAATATAAACACCCATGACTGGAGTACAAACTTTAGTCATCACACAAATGAATGCCCCCAGCGGGACTCGAACCCGCGACCGCCGGCACAGAAAGTAGGGCCGGGCCACTACAAACTGAGCCAAACGTGTCGTCAAAAATTAAGTAATCGTCAAGTTTTGACGTAATTAGGTATATATTTTAATAAATTCATTATAAATAACAGGTAATCGAATATTAGTTGGTAATACACTATACACGCTTCACGTTGTATTTATGTACCCATTTGTATATGCATAAAAATGTATACAGCTACTGAAAACGCTTGAAATAATATTTTCACATTTGAATAAAATTTTTTAATGTATACAATAGTTGCAATATCAACATTTATAAATAAATAGACGAATCGTGATTAGGTTAGTAATTATTATTATATTATTATTAAACATACATACAGGTTAAACACTAACCTAACCTCCTTTTACATTGGAAGTGACGACAATTATATGTATGAACTGCACAAGTAACTTTGTAATCCCATATATCGCATATCTATTTGTATAGGATTACAAAGTTACTGATGCAGTTTGTTGTATATCTCGAAAAC